AAACTAGTAAATTATTATACTAGCTTAAATATAAGCTTACTAGTAAATAGTTAGTATCTAAGAAGGAATTCTACTAACGTAAGCGGATCCCTATACTAGTATTTAACTATAGTAGTACTAAATATATCGTAGCTACGCTACTAACTTTCATACGGTATCCCTTTAGAGTAGTATAATAACTACTTATATATAATATTAGATTTTAGTATAAAAAGGTTAGAGAGTATAGCGGAAGTCTATTTAAGGATAGTAGTTAATTTATCGTATACTATATTTAAAATACTAAACCAATTTATCTATATTATAAGGCGCTCTATAAACTTACTATTAAATTAACCGAATTAGACCTACTAAATTAGTTACTACTATAATAATAGACTATATATACTTACGTTAGACGGATTATTATATCTACTCTAGTCTACTAGAATATATATACCGCTCTCTTCTTCGAACGTTTTTATTAAATATATAGTACTAGACGCCCTCGTCGCTATAGTTATAGTATTTCTACTATATATATTAGACTAATATACTAAATTAGTACTATAGCTACTAGTAACGCTCTCTATAGATTCTAGGTCTAAAATATAATTAGAGAATATAGTAGTATCTTTATATAGGGCTATATTAGTAGTAGAAGTATCTAATTCTATAGACTTAGACTTCTAATTAATACTTAGCGGCTTAATACTAATAGAGTAAACTAAAGAGTTCTATTAACTAATATAACTATAAGTACTAAAGCCGCGCTATAACCTAGTTAATAGTAGTAGCCACGGGCCTAATAGTTATAATAATAATAGTAATATAGTAAGCTATGCTCATCTATACGGTTCCGAGTTATAGTATCTACGGATTATATAATATATACTACTAATCTTTCTACTATAGTATTAGTAGAAGACTACGGTCTATAGTATCTTAAGGTATAGTTACTATAAAGGAAAAATACTATAGTATAATTATTAGTAGATAGTAATAATATAGTATACGGTGGATATTCTAGGTATATACTAGAAGAAGTTAGGTGTAAGCCCGTCGAAAGCCTAATATATACCTACTAGCCCCCGACTTCTACCTAGCTCTTAGCCCCTTAATTTCTATATACGCTTATATAAAATTATTAATAATAATACGTAAGTATCACGCGTCTATATAAAATACTATATTAGTCTATGTCTAAACCTTTATTATATCTACTAGCTAGTTATTATCCCGCTATCTAATATTATTATCTAGTAGATTACCAACCTATAGCTAATAAAAATATCTACTAATCTCTTATATATCTTCTCTATAGAACCTCTAATATAGAAGACGGTTAAGGAGCTATCTAGCTACTATAGCGGTAATACTAATAGAAGATAATCTAGTAACTATAGTAAACTAAACGGGATAGATAAACGAAGATACGATATAACGTAGACACGTATTAGTATTAATAATAGAGACTTATATAATAGCTATTAATATAAAATATATATATATATATACCTAGCTTATCTTAATATATTTATTTATCTACTAATAAACTAGTAGTCTAGGTATACTAGTAACGAATATAGTAGTAACGCCCTATATAGCTTAGATATTACGGTAATATTCTACTATAATAGTAACTAGAGATACTACGGTCTTATATCCTCTTCTCTACTATATTAGCTATCTAGCTTAATAGAAGAAGATAGAGAAATAGTAGTAGAGAGAGAATTAACTATCCGTAAAAAGAGGCGGTCCTATAGAGATAGTCTCTAGCCTTATAAACGAGACTAGTACCTTATAATAATAGAGATTTTAATCGCTATAACGTTTTTAGACCGGTTACTACTAGTATTTAATCGCCTTAATATATAGCTAGATAGTAGCCTAGATAGTTTTAGAATACTAGTATAATTAGTCTAGATAGCCGCCGGAGATATTAATCTTAGTAGCTACTACCTTAATTATAATTTATAAAATATATCTTCTATCTATATTATTACGCTAGTAAAGGAAGATATAATAGACTTCTATTACTAACTTCTCTCTAGAGTTAGATAGATAGTATCTAAATACTAGGACTAGGAGATAGCTAAGAAGAGAAAAGCTAGTATAAGTAATCTAATATATAATAACGTGTATATAGAAGTAAAGGTATATTACTTATATTATATTAGACGTATTACTAATTATTAGTATAATACTAGTATAACTCGGAAAATATTTATAGAGCTAGTAGTAATTAAGGCTCTAAAGTTAGTTCTACTATAGTCTCTAAGATTCCTTAGATTAAAGGAGTACTATAGTAGTATATTCCAACTAATCCTACTATCTATAATTACTATTATATATATTATAATAAGGCATGCCCTTAATAAATATAGTAGCGGGTAGATACTAAACTTATTCTTTAGTTACTATAGATTCGTATACTCTCTACTAATACTAGATATATATATATACTTTTATCTAATTATATACTAAATTATATAGAGAAATAGTAAGCGCTAAGCCTAATATAGTCGAACTAGGCGCCCTACTATATTAACTATATTTAAAAATTACTAATAGTATTAGTATTTATAGTACTAATACTAATTAACCTAGATACTATATATATAAATCTATATAAAGATAACCTAGATAACTTCTCTAAAGTAAATATAGATAACTTAGATAAGAGTAAGGAGTCTAAGCTATTAGATAATATAAGTATATACTAAAGTTATAGAGGCTATATAGATACTAACTACTATAAAAAGAATAAGTTAGATACTCTAAACTAGTTAGATAAGTACCTTAAATTATCTTATATACTATTAGATATAGATAAGAGTTCTATACTACTAGTAGTAGCTACGGATAAGATTATACTATCTTAGATATTAAGTATAGATCTACTCTAAGTAACTATAGGAATAGTAAATAATAGTATATATATATATATATATAGTATAAATAAGTCTATTACTAACTTATTATCTCTAGTTATAGCTACCTTAACTAGTAGTCTATCTACCCCGACTAATACTTAAATTAAAATAAAGTTAGATAGTAGCGGACGTTTAAGTCGGGTCTTTAATCTATATATAAAGAGTATATACTTTTAAGAGAAGTCGGATATTAGTATATAGCTAGAGAACTATATAGACTACCACGAGGCCGAATAGATAATATAAAAGAGAATAAAAATAGTAACTAGAAATATAGAGGGAAGTATCTAGTAGAAGAAAAGGTTATTAAAGATAGTTCTAGATAAGAATATCTTTTAATAGATAAAGGATACCTTCTAAAGATAGAAGAAAGAAAGGTCTACTATATTTTATTATAGCTATATAGTCGGAGAGAGCTTAGAATAGTACTATTTAATTTAAGTTCCTAGTCTAATTAATTTTTAACCTCTACTCTCTATTATATACTATCTTTCTAGTATTAAATTTAAAGACTATAATTAAATATACTAAAGATATAATTTAAAATAATAAGATATATAGAGTTATAGAGATACTTTAGATAAAGATATTACTTTAGAAAAGAGACTTCTATTAAAATAGATAGAGTATATAGAGTAGATAGAGTAGGTAGAGTAGATAGAGAAGCTAAAATACTATATACTATTTATTCTATGAGAGTGATTAGTATATAGTAAATAAGTAGTACTAGTAAGCTAATTAGTATTAAGAGAATAACTAGTACTAATTATTCTATTAGTATAAATAGTACGTTTAGTATAAACGGGACGTTCGGTATAACTAGTATATTTAGTATAAATAGAATGTTTAGTATAACTAGTATATTTAGTATAAATAGGACGTTTAGTATAAATAGAACGTTTAGTATAAATAGAACGTTTAGTATAAACGGGACGTTTAGTATAAATAAAACATTTAGTATAAATAGAATACTTAGTATAAATTATATAAAGCCGTCCCGTTAGAATAGATAGTAAGTAGATCTATCTAATAGATATAATAGAATGAAGGAATACTTAGAGAGTACTTAAGAGTACTTAGGAGCACTATATCTTTCCTACTAGTAGTATAAATTATATAAAGCTATCCCGTTAGAATAGATAGTAAGTAGGTCTATCTAATAGATATAATAGAATAAAAGAATACTTAGAGAGTACTTAGAAGTACTTAGGAGCGCTGTATCTTTTCTAATATACTACTACTACTACTACTACTAATACTATAAATAAGAATCTAGATATTGCAAGTATTACTACTACTACTACTACTACTACTACTACTACTACTACTACTACTACTACTACTACTACTACTACTACTACTAATACTATAAATAAGAATCTTATAGATATTATAGATACTATAAATAAGAATCTTATAGATGTTATAGATATCGCGAGTATTACTATTACTAATACTACTAATACTCTAATAATAGATACTAATACTCTAAGAGAAACTTTATTATAGGAAAAAATTATTATTTTAAATTACTTATTATTTTAAATTATCTCTAGTAGCTATTATAGAAGGTAATAAGAAGATAAATAATAGTAGAAACTAGAGATACTAGATTCTAGATAGATAAGATAGATTCTATAGTTAGTCTTATTATAAAAATTAATTAATACTTAACTAAGACTTAATAATACTATCTATAATACTTAGACTAGAGAAGGTATATATCTATAGAGTAAACTACTCTACCTAGTTATATAATATTATTATTATTATACTATATATATTAGAGATTATTATACTTAGTATACTCTATTAATTAATATATATAGATTACTATATTACACTAAATTAACTAGTTTAGTCTCTTAGAGTATAAAGAAGTTTTTTTAGAATATATATATAGCTATATATATAGTTCTTTCTAGTTAAATACTAATATTATTATTATTATTATAAATATTTACTAAGTTAGTAGAAAAGTAACTTACGTCTTTTATATAAGTACTTATCTAAGAATAGCTTACTATAATATATAAGAAGTAAGAAAGTAACTAGTAAGCTATATCTATGTAAATATCTTTGAACTTAAGCTAGTACTAGAGTTATATATAGTAGCGACTACTAAAACTGAACTGGATTAGTACCATGTAAATGATATGGCATTCCTCGGATTGTAAGAAGAAGAATCTCAACCAGACCTAGGTTATTCCCATTTTTTAGTACATTTGCTCCAGCAAAGGGGGGAGCGAGGCTCCAGGAATCAAGTTCAATCGCCTTTTCTACGGTAATATACCCCCTAATGGCGTCGACCCAAGGAAAGGATCTGAACGCTCTGACGCGGGTATCCACAGGCCACGTTCCAACTCTGTCCGCCTTCCAGATGTGGTACTGTAACCGTTGCTGTTGGGTATTCGCAGGGTCCCAGGCAAAAAACATACATTTCCATCCCACGGCGAGTATGAAGTTCAAAGGCCGCGTAGCATGAGCGTGGCTAAGTCGTGCCACTGTCTCTATCATGAGATCTTTCCATCCGTGCGGCGTGTCATGACTTGCAGCTTTACACTCCACCCATAGGTAATCTCTTTCCGAATCCTGAGGGGGCTGGCCAGGTGTCGTTGGAGAGGACGTTAGTTTCACTGCTATCACATCTGGCCTGATCTGTGAAGGTGTCTGGCCCATTCCTCTGTATGCTTCTCGGCGGACAGCCCAAGTCACACCGTTCACATCCTCTTGGGAGGGAAAGTAGATATTAAGAATTGCTGTCCATGCATTCCACACAACATCTTCTTGTGTGTAAGTCGCTCCTTTAGCATAAATTCTGCCAATCTCTTTATACGCAAGGGTTGATGGTGTCCAGAAATGAGGTGTAAAGGCAGGAATTCCAGGATTCGGGGGATAATAGGCTGCAAGCTGAGCAGGGGTGAGATGCTGGTGCTGTTGCTGCTGGTGCTGGTGGTGCTGCTGGTGCTGCTGGTGGTGCTGGTGCTGTTGCTGCTGGTGGTGCTGGTGGTGCTGCTGCTGGTGGTGCTGGTGGTGCTGGTGGTGCTGGTGGTGCTGCTGATGGCTGAGTTTGGCTAAGTCAGAAGACAGATGTGGCACGACGTAGACTCTAGCTTACGATGACATCTTCAGCTTGCTTCGGTGTGCCGAGGCCTAGACTCGTATTATCTGCAGCGAAATCAGCTACAAATGAGGTAATATAACAAATGAAGGGCGAGAAGATCTTGATGGTTCATACGCAATCGCCCGAGTCCATTGGGGTTCCCATTTTACACATATAATTTTTCGCAACAGAGGGAATACTGGCGAAATTTAAGCGGCATAACATAGCATAGCGAATCGTAGGATGCCAGTTCGAGGCGCCTGTCGAGGCGCCTTTCAAGCATCTACGAGAACCTACTGAAAAACAGAGGAGAGCGCAGCAACGTGCGCCGCATGGCTGCGTTGGCTGTGGTGTATCTACGCAGGCTAAGAACCAACGAAAGTCTCAATATAAACGCCCAGAGATGATCGGCGAAACGCGCATAAGATTACCCACTATTTCCTCGAATAGCGCGTCGTTTCAGTAACCGCTCTACGGCCTTATGGCGCCATGATAGCCATTGGAGATATCGCGAGAGGTGTTCGAACATGTCCTGTAACATCTGCGTGAGCCGTGTCATGGTGTGCTGGACATACTTGCGGCTTAACCACGCTGTCCTGTAACTGATGTCTTTACTTCAAACAAGAGTGGTTGAATCGGATTTGGGTTACTAGTCTTCGGCAGTCTTAGAACAGCGGGATGCAAAGTGATCTCGATTTGGCATCCCAGTCTTCTGACGACCTTATTCGTAGCGAAACAATACTATGAATATTAATTGGATGAACAACTCATGGAACGATTGATTGATTTATAATTTGACAGAGAGAGAGGATTTGTTCGACTTTTTGAATAGCTAACAACTCTTGAAACTCATAGGCGACCGAGAGTCACGACTCTAGGCGAGTACATGCTGATTAGGTCGACCGCTCTAGGCATAACTTCCTAGGCTTTGCGACCTGTTAAGCTATCAAAGGATGCAACGAAAGCTTTGTTCCAAGGATCTTTGGCCGCTCGAATGCTTGGATCGAGATCAAAAGCTGGCACGGCTGGCTCCCCTGTTGGCCGCCAGTTCAGTCCAGGTGTTTGATGCGGTGACATCTGTGTGGCAGCCACTGAACCTTCCCACTGCGCCTGTATGGCTGCAGCAATGTCTTGAGCAGAAACAGTCCCGACCACAGTTCCAGATGGCTGCGTTGATGCGCTATTGGCTCCTGATTGCGTGCAGGGGACCCAACGGTTGTTCTCGAGAACGTATAAATGGTCGTTGGAATAGACGCGGCCGTCAGCAGCCAAATACGAGTTTGGGGGCACTGTGTATGACATGCTAGGGCATCATGTTAGAAACTCAATACTACACTATACTAATGATAGTCATGGGCACTATACTTACAAGAACGTAGGCTAGAGAAGCGAGATCTATGATATGTCGTAGAAGAAGCGAGATCTGTAGTGTGTTATGGAAGAAGCGAAATCTGTAGTGTGTATGTTGCAAGGTGGGGTTGGAACGCTGAGCTGTATTGGGGGGACAGGCGGTACTTTATATGATGTTAGCGGTAGTAGATTAAGCCTTTCCAGTATAGGCTAGGGCGTATTCTAGCTATACCTATAACTCTATACTAAGCATATAGCTAACTTATTAATCTACTAAATTAATATATTAAAATATACTAATTAGAATTAGAACTAGTATTTATTATATTATTATTATTATTATTATTATTATTATTATTATTATTATTATTATTATTATACTTAGTATACTCCATTAATTAAGGTATAAAAATTATTTATTACTCTTAATTAACTAAGTTAGTCTCTTAGTAAGTATAAAGAAGTTTTTACTTTTAATATATTTTTATATTTATAGAATTATACTATTAGAGAATAGTAGTAAACTTTTCTATAATAGAATTAAGTATACTCTATTATTCTCTCTAGCTATACTACTATTTAATAACTCTATTCTTAAGTTATATATAGTACTTAAGCTACCTTCTATACCGTTTATAATAGATCTATATACTATTTAGTTAACTAATCTATTAATAGTTATATATATATATATAGTACTAGATTAAAAAAAGAGTTCTATAGACCATTTTCTACTAAAACTTACCTATTTTAAGCTAAGATTACTCTATAACTAGATATATAACTATAGCTAGAAACTCTAGATATACTTATTATTAGTATAATCTTTAAAGCTATATAATTAAAACTTTAAAATTCCTATAATATCTTATATAATTAAGGTTTTAAGTTAAAGATAGATTAAAGAATTCTTTTAGCTATAATTAATTAAGTATATATAAATTTTAAAATATTATTTAATAAGCTTTTAGTATACTATAATATATCTAGAACCTATATTTTAGATTTAAATTTTATCTTATATATAAGGCTAGATATCTATATTTTAAAATCTAGAGAATTTAGTAAAAAGTTAACTAGTAATTATATAAGATATATATACTTAAACTTTAAATATTAAACTAAATCTATAAAAAATTTAATACTACTTATCTCTCTAAATATTTAGATAATTCTATCTAAAGTAGATGAGTTTTAGTGGCAAATGGCCCGTTGGACCCTTTTTTTTACTAGTGACTGTAGTTGATAATACCTCGTATCCTCTCTTATGCCGTTAATGCCAAGACCGCTACCTGGGTAACAGCCCTGGTGGTTTTGCCTTGATCCCGAGGAAGCTCAGCTATTACCAACATCTGTGAAGACGTTCGCATTTCCAAACTGAAGAAGCTCTTACGAAAGAACCCCCTCATTCGCTCTTGGGTTTCATTACACTAGCGCCAGCAGGCCCACGACTGTTCTACTAGGAATCATGGCTACTGCAATCGTCGAACGCATGGAGCAACCTGCGGAGGTGGCCAGCAAAGTGCTGAGAAGAGCCCAAGTGTCCAAGGTACAACAAGCCCATCGACAATCACAGATCTGAAGACTACTAATGTATAACAACACAGATGACCAGAGCCCTCCAGAGTCGACTTGCTCTCGCTAATGTCAAAACGAAACACGGATGGGAAAATCTCAGCATAGACACCATTGAGCCGAAGATTGATATGGAACTGAAACGCAAACGCCCAGGATCGAGTAACGATGCTTTCTCGGACACTTCTTCGATTGTCTCTGGGTCTCGCCCAGCTAGTCGATTAGATTCTTCCCCTCTCGCTGCACCTCTCTTCTCTGATCAAAACGAACGAACTGTTAGGAGTTTTCGAGTCTCCAAACGTCGTCAAATCCAGCAAGCCAAGTACCCTGGGTCGAGCAATCACACCCGGGTCAAGACGCGACACCCAACAACGACAGTACAATCATGGAAGAGTCTTCATCGATTACCCGAGTCATCACCGGTCTATAACCGCCGCCATACCTATTTTCCATCCTCCAGACACGGCCCCAGCCTGTCTTTTGTACCAGAGTTCTCTACAGCCCCGCATGAACCGACTTCACCTGTCATGTCAGAGGATGATGATGAAGACTTGCCTCTGCATTCCTTCCAGATCGCATCAAACATACAGTCGTCCCCGCCGCCACGCAGCCCTCGTACCCCTCCGCGAGCGCTGGCCGGACCCGGTATCGGACGCAATGATCCATTCAGTCCCTCAAGGAATACCCCAAAAGGCGAGGAAGATGCCAATCTGCTTGTTTATCTTGCTACATCTCCCTCCCAGAACCAGTCAGAAAGACGTAACCGCGTTACGATGGCACCGTCGACCCCTCCACCGAGAATCACGCCTCTTCCATCGTCTATGATGTCTACCCCGGGAGCAGGCGGCGGAGGAGGAGGTGGAAGTAATCTTAGCGGGTTTGGCTTCATGACTCCTGGAGCAAACATAAATTTCGCCGACTTCATCAACGTAACTCCGAGTCCTGGTCAGCTCGGTCGTACTTGGGCACGTACCCCCAAAATTGACAAAACACCTAATACTACACGGGAAGCCCGTCGATGCCTCAACTATGATGGTATTATGCCTCCCAGTCCATCCGTGGAACGAAACACCAGCGGCATAACTGAAGGCCTAAGTATGGACCTAGGCGGAAGACTGCCGGTGAATTAATGCAGTGCAGGCTTATTGCCATCCTAATGCCGAATCATGATTGATGACCACATCATGTTAAACTTTGATCGAAGTCTATTGCTCAGCCTAGCAAAGATAGGGGGAATCCTGATGTATTGGACGGAACTGGGAGAACTGATTTACTGTGTACGTTTCTTTAAAGATGTGTTTCGTCTATGACGACCTTTCCTCCCCATGCATGTAGAGTGGACTCACCATGAGCATGGCTATATACGAGGCCAAATCTGGGAGCAGGTGGTTTTGCCGGCTATGGCATTGCACATAGAAACATATCAGGCTTGCAGGTCTCGGCAACTAAGCTGGCTAAATTATCAGTAACAAGCAAGGCGTTCCGCTGCTATGATCTCATGATCAAAGCAATGAGCGAGTAAGAAAATGCGGCTCGTTTGGCAATACTATAGAATGAATAAATTCGCTGGACTTTGCTCGGCCTCCTTTGTGATCTACCTGAGCCCACCAAACGCAACGAATCGCTCCCACACGCCCATTCCTTGCTAACCTTGCCAGAGCTGCACATGACAAAGTTAGACCGCCTGAACTGCAGTACGTCAGGCTCGCGATAAGTCGCTTGCCTCATTACGAGACTGTCGGGAAGGGCAGATTTGCTGCTGATAATAGATGCTACTAAGAATGGATGCTGCTGAGCTGTGGATGACAAGGGCCAATAGGTGTCTGATTGCTGGTCTACGCGCCCAGAAGTCCAGACGCGCGTCACGCGCCGTTAATTGACGGAACTCTAGCTTCTTCAAGATTAGTGGAGTCTTTAGCAAGATACTCTCCTGGTATTTTGCCTTCTATACGTCGATATCGAGATCCGGTCTGCCCAAAGGCTCAGTCAGACGTGGGCACCTGTAATCCGAATCCATAGCTCAATCCGAGCTTAAATTTTGATATAGGATATAACCTTAATCATGGATCTACGCATTAAAAACAATTACTAAGACAGTATAGTCTTAATCCGATTAATTAGATTACTTATATTAGATAAGATAAAGTAGATCTATATAAAATAGTCTAGAGCTTTAGATAGAGATACTATAGCCTTAGTTTATAATAGAATTCTAACTACTTCTATAACCAGCTATTATATCAACTTTATTATTATATAAAACTACGCTACTACCAATGTAACTACGAGGTAACCCACAGCATCAATAGCGGTCATCACCGTTAAGTTCCGCATTCCGGTTATACTGGACCTCTTTCATGGCCTCGAATAATAGATAGCTCTTACCAGTCGATGTCCACCTAAGATCTGAATTATGCTAATTGGCCTACTGGACATGGGACTCGGCATCATGAGGTCCTTTTAACACCCGCTTGCACCACCTAGGCACGTTTACCCGTCACTTCACTCGGGCTTGCCGTCGTTCTGCATGGGCATGAGGTACTTACCTAGGTAGGTATATTTTTCTGTCAGGTCTGCATTCATGGATGCAGCTTCCCTCTTCCTTGCTATTTTTCTACTCCAGGACTTACACCTCGCCGCTAGAGTCCACCCGTACTCGTCCTTCTTGCACATCTTCTAATGGCGCATTCTTGGCCCTTAATCCTTCGACCTTGTCTCTTATACTTGACGTTGATGTTGCATATCAATGATCCGGTGCTTTGATGTCATACCCAGTCACTACCTAAGAACAACACTACACCCAATTGTTCTCCCCGCCGTATACTTCCGCGTAATCGGTATTATGTCGTCTTTTCTAAAAGACATACAGAATCGGTCCAAGAGTTTTCGATCAGAAAAGTCACGATCCGCAAACAACGCAACCAAGGCTAATGGCAGACCTCAAAATGGCAATGTCTCAGCACCGCCGAAGCTGCTCTATAACAATCATTCTACGTCTACACTGAACTCCGCATACGGTGGTACATCCACCCCGCCAAGTACAGTGCCATCCGAGGATTCATCGTTCAACCTCAAGCTCAACAGCAATGGCAGTGGGGTGCCGATTGTACCATCGAGACCGCAAATACCAAGCAAGAGATATAGCATCAATGTGAGTGACAGACACCTACCGAGCCATGTACTTAGACATGGACTAACGAAAGGTTGCCGATAGGGCTCCTTTACGTTACCTTTCGAAAGTGTAAGAAGCCCTACTACTACATCTCCATTTGCGCCGCGCGTGACGTCCATAACAAGTAATAGCTGGGTAATCAAAATCTTCAGCGTATAAACCGGTATTTAGCTAAGATGGAGTCAGGTCAACCAAAAGATTTTACTCGTTTCAGGGCATATCGGCGACCCACCTTCGAGACCCCTGGATGGCACAGTCGTAGTCAACCATCACAACGACTCTACTGCGCCTACTTCCTGGCAGGTATGTGAATCACAGTTCAAATCACTTGTGTATTTGCAGCCTGGGCCTAACAGGCTTCGATTCGACTTTTATTCTCCCAAGATCCCTCAGAGCAACACGTCCACTCCTGTGCATTCCAGCTTCATCAACATCAACTATCTTCCACTCACATCCTCACCACCTCTCCAACTAGCTATAATTGTCGGAAAGGACTCACCGTTCACATACGATGCGGTGCCTGAACGCGTTGCGAAAGAGGGCAATGGGATATATACGGCGGTTCGCAAATACAAGATGGCAGCATACCTATGGCAAGCTTTCACTGGCGAACAAATGAATAGAAATGGGTTTGGGAGGAGATGCTTCCGATTTGAAGAGGAGTGGCAACAAGGCTCCCTCTCGGGTCAAGACTGGAAATCACACATCATGCGCAGTGAAGCGAAAGTGCACGTCATAAGGTCAGGAAAGACTGTAGCTGAAATAAGAGATCTTGATATTGCGCAGCAGTATGACGGCGCAAAGAACAAGGGTGACTTATACGGGATTGCCGCCGACGCGATACGAGCTTATTTCAGCATCCCGAATGGCCAGACGCAATACGTTGCAGCCATGTTCCTTGACTCGCATTGGGACAAAGAAGTTCAAACTATCCGCGGTCATGCTGCTCTTGGGGGAAGTGTCGGCAATCTTCAGCTTGCCATTTTCGGATCACACGCTCTCCAAAGCTACCCTGCATGTCTGGAAGAAGTAGGAACTGCTTTCTCCGACTGTACAAAGACGGATACAAATTACGTTGCAAACGACTGCAACGAGGCCGGGAGTAACTGGGAGTCGGCTAATGTTGGTATCGGAGCTCACATGCACGAGGTTGGGCATTTATTCGGCTGTCCTCATCAGGAAACCGGCGTTATGCTTAGGGAATATACCAAGCTCAATCGTACCTTTACCTGCAGGGAGCCATACTCAACAAGGACCAACTCGCGCGGCCAAATCTGCTCCCAGCAGGACGAATGTGGATGGCACAGACTAGACTGTCTTCGGTTTCGGTTCCACCCTTGTTTCAGACATGAGAGCGATCAGCCACTCAGGGAAGATGGAAGCATACAAGTTTGGTCAGGAGACAGCATTGTCATGGTCACAGCTTCGACTGGCATTACCTTCATCGAGATCTACACCGAGGGTGACGATGTATGCAAGCACTGGATTGACTATGTGGGACCGCGTATAGATGGAGCATCGAGAGATGGACTGCCACGGCAGTTGTCCTTGACAGAAGCAGATCTTCGTAATCTTCTACCGGAGTATTTGCGGAAAAGGAAGCTGAAACTCGCCATGTATTCAGCTGGTCAGTGCAAGCATATCATCGAGGATTTCAGTGTGTTACTGAACCCAAAGACGTCTCGAATCAAGCTTTGGGATGGTCGTTACGGATATAGAGGCGGTAAGCTAGGGTACTCTCAAATGGAAGGGTCTGAGCCGCACGAGGTGATACTGGATAGTGCTATGGTACAGACTAAGCTCATGACAGCTATCCGTGTCTACTCTGGCTTTGCGGTCGACGGTATAGAATTTTTCTACGAAGACGGAGCCAGTCAGCTGTTCGGGAAGCGAGGGGGTAAACTTGGCGGGTCAGATTTCCTTCTGGACACACGCAAAGGGGAGCTGCTACTAGGGTTCTATATGCGAACGGGACTTTGGATCGACGCGATCCAGATTCTCACCAGTCTTGGAAGGAAGAGCGAAGTGTTCGGGCGACCTGATGGCGGTAGTGGGTAAGCCTGTGTCCTTCCATCTCATAAGAGCACAGCGCACTGACTATCCAACAGGCAGTTACTGATTCCACCTCGATCATACAACATCGTCGGGATCTCTGGATCTTGCGGGCAGTGGCTTGATGGGTTTCAAGTCATCATCGCTCGTTGAAAATGGCGAAGCTACTACTTTCAATGACTACTTCTTCTTCTCCTTATTTTTCCCTCTCTTCGGCCATCAGAATGCAACGCTGAGTGGACATAACTGGCGGATGTTAGGAGCGACAAGTCCTCAAGTGGCTAGACTTGGATAAATCTCTCCCAAACCTATGTAGTCGGATCCACAAACCCTCGTATACCGGCAATGATCCGCCACGCTCCCAACGCTTGTGGCTCCATCCAATCCTTGTCTCGGGCATCCACATTCGATTGACAATCCTTTGTCCGGACATATTATACTGATTTCTAGGTCCCTCTGTGCCCAGAGGGATACCCTGATGTTACGGTGGCCATGTCTCCATTATCGGATCGTTATTTCAGGCGCATAACGGCCTCGTCATCCCGGACGTTAAAGTCACCCAAATCGCTGCATTGAAGGCTCCCGTCCGGTGTGACATTCGAACGCATCACGTAGACTCCAATCTGGGCTCCTCAAGGGCCTTTAAAGATGCGATCATATGCATGGTGCAGAGTCTGGAGGTATAACTGTGTATAATTGTACTCATAGCATTGGTATATCCTCCAAGGTACAAGGGATAGCATGTACATCCTAGACTCAGTACACAAATATGGTACATCACATCTCACATTCTGTTCGTTTCGGTTGCACCGGGGCTGCGTTGGTGTGTCAAGGTGTAGCAAGACATAGCGCCCTCGTATGCGATATGTGCACTCACGGATCTCATGTCTGACTATGCATGAATGACTGCCGTGGATCAATCCATACACACTGATGCATGTATTACCAAAATTTGAAGCGCCCAAGACCATACCACCTTTTCTCTTGTTCCTCTTTCCGTCGCTTTCGCTCCTCTTCTTGCTCTGTCTTCAGCCGCCTGGCTTGCATGGCTTGTTCTCGCCTCTCTTCAGCCTTCTCCCGCATGATGTCAACAGCTCTTTTCACGCCATCCTTCTCCGCACGTCGATTATGTTGGCAATATTGATACATACCGAAGCCCACTACAACCCACGTTCCCATAGCGTAATTTGTAGACTTCCATAATGATGCTGGATTCAATGTCAGTCGAGATAATCATCAACCCTCTCCATGAAAATTGACAGGGGGCACAAACCTCCAAAAACTTTCGCCGCAGCGCCAAGAAGTGCACCTCCCCCAATTGCAGGCAGTTGACTTTCTCTTACACATGGCAGGCGATGAAATTCTGTGAAGTCTTCGATTCGTATGGCTTTGGCGGCGTCAATGGCTGTGATGCTCTTCATGGCGTCTTGTGAGGGCCCGGTTGCTTGTATCGTACCGTCGGGAAGCATTACGGTGTTTTCTCGTATATTCATGGGCTTTTCAGGGCTGAATCGTGAATATACGCGCTTCTTGTAGTCTTGCGTGCGTTGGTAGGACGGGTCTTTCATGCGCTCTTCTTGGTCTGCTGCTACAGCTGGAGGAAGGCGTGGTCTTAGCCCTTCAGCGTTGGGAGTGTGAGGGTGGTCGGCCATATTGGTGAATGCAACTATAGAATGAAGTCAGGCGACTGTTGAAGGTCAGCGATCGATATGCAATTGATGATCGTCATTGACTGAGATGGAGCTCTGCGCAGTCTTGATCATGGGCAGTCGGGCGCTATTCTATTTCGGTGTTAATTGGAAATAACACACTAATCCTAGGCTACGCGTCCTCGGGTCGCGTCTACTTATACAAACCACGGCTCTCCTCCTCGTCGCCTCAAATGATACGTTTGTGTACGTTTCCGCGAATACTACTCTCGCTTATGGATGCACTGGCACATTTGATGACCCTTTCGTATTAGCATATAACACTCTTGGTACTTTCCTCTTGATTCGCTTCGCATCGTCCATCCTACCACGCCTTATCTGCTATGGCTTTCCGGCGACAAGGACATCCATACCGACGACTTGGGAAGAATGGCCAGACGTCATACGGACCGCGGAATAAAATAAAGACTGTTGACGCCTCTTCACTTCGCTCTACCGAACTCACGTCACAAAATGAAAAGCTCGAAGCGACGCGTCTCGCCAAAGGCATCGATGAAGCTATGGGCTTTGCCCGGTACGAGGCCGGTAAGCATCGTGTTGGCTGGCTATGTAACATGCACAGTACGAATGTCGAAGACGAGAAGATACTGGGTGGGCGAGCAGGCGTGGATTTCTACTTTATTGGAGATGACAGCGAGACCTTCAAGGCTACGGTTGAATATGACCCATACTTCCTGGTGGCGGTGAAGCACAGCCGAGAGCCAGAGGTTGAGGAATGGTGCAAGAGAGCATTTGAGGGCCTTATTAAGACTATAAAGCGTGTGGAGAAAGAAGACTTGCAGATGCCCAACCATCTTCTGGGGTACCGCCGGACCTTTTTATTACTGACATTTGCAAATGTGAATGATCTTCTTGCCGTACGGAGGGAAATCTCTCCAGTGGCTGAGAAGAATAAAAAGAAAATGAGCGCGATGGAAACGTACGCGGAGGTTGCCAGGTAAAGAGCATGGTCTATTATAATTAACGTTCGCTGACAAGTGCAGCACGAATGCAGGCGTCGACGTGTTTGACGATGATCATGATTATGATAAACGACCTAATGGCATTAATGCGAGTGATTTTATTGTTGATATTAGAGAGTACGATGTTCCGTACCATGTTCGTGTTGCCATAGATAAAGGTTTGTGCCACCATGTGGTCAACGTACTGAGAAGATACTAAAGTTCGTCAGATATTCGAATAGGAAAATGGTACACCGTCGAGGCGAAACACGGTGTAATATCACTCACATGCCTTGAGGATCGCTTGACCAGAGCCGACCCAATTGTAATGGCCTTTGACATCGAAACGACAAAGCTGCCCTTGAAATTCCCAGACGCTCTTATCGATCAGATCATGATGATATCGTATATGATTGACGGGCAAGGTTTTCTGATCACGAACCGGGAGATCGTCTCCGAAGACATCTTGGATTTTGATTACACCCCGAAGCCGGAGTACCAGGGCCCGTTTATGATCTTCAATGAACCGGACGAGAAGAGCCTTCTGGAGAGGTTTTTCGAGCATATAAAGGACGCCAGGCCGACTGTAATGGTCACTTACAACGGTGACTTCTTCGATTGGCCATTTGTGGAGGCTCGTGCTAGCGTTCTCGGCATTGACATGTATCAGGAAATCGGGTTTCGCAAAAACAGCGAGGACATATATCAGTCGAACTATTGTGCGCACATGGACGCGTTTGCCTGGGTCAATCGTGATAGCTACCTTCCCCAAGGAAGTCGTGGTCTGAAGGCAGTCACTGTTGCCAAGTTGGGCTATGATCCGGATGAACTCGATCCTGAACTAATGACACCGTATGCGAGTGAGCGACCTCAAACCCTGGCGGAGTACTCGGTATCAGATGCTGTCGCGACTTACTACTTGTACATGAAATATGTACATCCATTCATTTTCTCTCTCTGTACTATCATTCCCCTTGGTCCTGACGATGTCTTACGCAAGGGTACTGGTACACTTTGCGAAATGCTGCTTATGGTCCAGGCATATCAAAAAGGAATCGTTCTCCCCAACAAGCATCAAGCTCCGAAAGAAGCATTCTGGAATGGTCATCTACTGGAGAGTGAGACATACGTTGGTGGACACGTTGAAAGTATTGAAGCGGGAGTCTTTAGGAGTGATATCCCTTGCAATTTTGCACTCGACACAAGCGTAATCGATGAATTGATCAATGATCTGGATGATGCACTCAAGTTCAGCATCGTGGTTGAAGAAAAAAGGTCGCTGGAGGAAATCACAAACTACGAAGAAGTCAAAATGCAGATCCTAGCTAAGTTGCTTCAGCTAAAAGAAACCCCAAATCGGAGTGAATGCCCGTCGATATATCATTTAGATGTCGCATCGATGTATCCTAATATCATGACGACCAATCGATTACAACCAGACTCTATGATACAAGAGTCCGACTGTGCAGCTTGCGATTTCAACCGACCGGGTAAGACTTGCGATAGGCGCATGCCATGGTCTTGGAGAGGTGAGTACTTACCTGCGAAACGAGACGAGTACAATATGATTCGGCATGCCCTTGAGAACGAGAATTTCCCAGGTCGTTCCGCTAAGAGCGCCCCAAGGTCTTTCAGCGAACTACCAGAAGACGAACAAGCAAAGCATGTCAAGAAGCGGTTACAAGATTACTCTAAGAAAATCTACCATAAGATTCATGAGACCACCACAATGGAAAGAGAAGCCATCATCTGTCAGCGTGAGAACCCGTTCTATGTCAACACTGTGCGGGACTTCAGAGATCGTCGCTACGACTTCAAGGGTAAACAAAAAGTGTGGAAAGGTAGAAGCGAAGCTCTAAAAGAATCTGGCGCCCCAGCTGCCGAGATTGATGAGGCGAAGAAGATGATCGTTCTCTTCGATTCTTTGCAGCTTGCACACAAGGTTATCTTGAACAGTTTCTATGGATACGTCATGCGAAAAGGATCAAGGTGGTATTCCATGGAGATGGCGGGTGTTACTTGTTTGACAGGCGCACGGATCATCCAGATGGCTCGTCAGCTGGTTGAGAGAATAGGTCGCCCGCTAGAACTCGATACTGACGGTATTTGGTGTATCCTTCCTGCAACGTTCCCAGAGAACTTTGCATTTAGGACAAACAATGGTAAAAAGGTCGCAATTTCATACCCCTGTGTGATGCTGAACCATCTGGTGCACGCCAAATTCACCAACCACCAATATCAGGACCTAGTAGACCCACAGACATTCAGATACGACACTTATAGTGACAACTCAATATTCTTTGAGGTCGACGGGCCATACAAGGCCATGATCCTCCCAACTTCGAAAGAAGAAGACAAGAATTTGAAGAAGCGATATGCGGTGTTCAATCATGATGGGAGCCTTGCGGAATTGAAAGGCTTTGAGGTGAAGAGGCGTGGAGAGCTTAAGCTCATCAAGATCTTTCAGACCCAGATTTTCAAATTCTTCTTGGAGGGAAGTACGCTTACCGAGACCTATGGAGCTGTGGCTAAGGTAGCAAATCGCTGGCTTGACGTACTGCATTCTCACGGTTCTACCCTGGCCGATGAAGAGCTTATCGATCTCATTTGTGAGAACAAGAACATGACAAAGACGTTAGAAGAGTATGGCGCACAGAAATCAACGGCCATTACCACGGCGAAACGCCTTGCGGAGTTTTTGGGCGAGCAGATGGTCAAAGACAAAGGCTTGAATTGCAAGTACATCATCTCTTCGCGACCTAGAAACGCGCCCGTCACCGAACGAGCAATTCCAGTGGCGATCTTCTCTGCTGAAGAGCCCATCAAAAAGTATTTCCTGAGAAAGTGGCTTCGTGACGACCCTGGTGACATGGACCCCCGCGATGTCATTGACTGGAACTACTACCTCGAGCGTCTCGGATCTGTCATACAGAAACTCATTACCATTCCTGCAGCCCTTCAAAAGGTGCGCAACCCAGTCCCGCGAGTCGTACATCCTGAGTGGCTGGATCGAAGGATCAGGACCAAGGACGATAAGCTTCAGCAAAAGAAGATGACCGAATTGTTCGACAAGAGGACTCTAGGCGACTCTAATGCAAATACTTTGGGAAATCGTATGGTGGCGGACTTTGAAGACTTCGGGGCCTCACAAGGCACTTTGCTTTTGAGAGGGAAGAAGGGAACAGCAACTAATATTCCGCAGTCTCAGAAGAGAAAGGCCCCCGAGCCTGTTGTTCCCACCACGATCGACCCTTACGCAAGTTTACCCAAGGTAATACCATCGATGACTGAAGATTATAGTGCATGGCTGCAGTACCAGAAGCAAAAGTGGAAGATTCAGAAACAAGCCCGGTCACGAAGGCGTCAGCTCTTCGGCGACAAACGTACTGATGCATCAGATGCTCTTGGTAGTCTTTTCAGGAGTCAAGCCGAACTTCTGTTCATCAGCACATGGCAATTACTCCAAATTCAAGAGACTCAAACACCAGGCGAGCTCAAAGCATACGTTTTGATTGATAAGAAGGTCCACTCTCTCAAAATTATTGTGCCACGGCACATATATTTGAATCTCAGAGGTCAGGGTCTTCCAGATGTCTCTATCGACGGGTGCGCAGTCGAAAAGCTTGTGAATCACACTCTGCCAAATGGACATGCCTCAGTACATCTGTTTAGACTCACTATGAGCGAGCAAGTCTATATAAAGGAGAGCAAGAAGTTTTCGGCTCTTTTTAATCATCCGAGCGTCGAGGGTGTCTACGAAAAACAACTCCCTCTCGGCGTTCGGGCCATTCTGAAAATCGGCAGCATATGTACATTTGACGAGAGTCAGAAAGGAGTCCTTGGCAAAGGTCTCGAACAAGGTTTCGATCTTTCGTCACTACACCGTGTGTCTGCCCAACAACCTTATCTTACCAGCTCACCGCTCGAGTACCTCTATCTCTACCATGTCATTGCTGGCGATAAGCATATATATGCTCTGTTCTCAACCTCCAAGTACACCGCGCATGTTATTATGCTCTCTAGAAACAGAGAAGGACAGAGTCTCCCTAACGTGGACAAGATTTATAAGGAAATGTTCCAGGAGCGTTTGCAGAAGTCGAAAGGACAACCATGGCAAGATTGCTTCGAATATCAGAGAGAAATCAAGTTCAAGATCGTCCAGGTCACGACCCGGCGAAAGGCTCACCTCGAACTTTCAGATGCTCTTAAGAAGCTGCGAGCAGATGAGCATAGTCCTCTAGTCCTCGTCACGCAGTCGCCCAATCACACGATGTTATTGTACGATATTCCCAACATGAATGATCTGCCTGTTTTGCCTCTCCGTCCGGACGAATCAGACAAACAGCTCCCACCCCTTGGCTGGCAGGCTTTTATCGCGAAGCGGTTAGTCAACCATTACCTAGACCTAGGTGCGTGGATTTCTCACCTTGTCGAGCTGTCTCGTTACGGTAATATTCCCCTATGCAATGTCGAAAGCAATGACCCTTGCTTTCTAATTGATATTGCATATGCACGCCGCCTCCAGAAGGAAAAGGTCGTACTATGGTGGTCAGCTGGTGCGAAGCCAGATCATGCAGGACACGAAAAGGACGATATACTCGGCTCACTAGAGACCGTTGAAATGCCCTTAGTTAATAACCCAGGCACGTATTCATCCGTATGTATCGACCTAAACATACGTAACTTGGCTATTAACACCGTCTTGTCATCTTCGGTAATCAACGAGATTGAGGGATCTGACTCGGTTTCATTCAATCCTGCGGCCTCGTCTGACGATAGTGCTAGCAAATGCTCGAATGTACTGTATTCCGACAGTGCCTTTGCATCAGCTGGCATCACTGTCCTGCGTGAGATGCTCAAGTCCTGGTGGCTAGAGGCTGAGAGGGGGAGCTACATGGCTGATGTCATGGTTCAGCATATTGTTCGGTGGGTCGAAAGCCCTGCATCCTTTCTATATGACCGTTCCCTGCATTATTATGTGCAGGTAATGTCTCGAAAGGCTCTGCAACAACTCATGGGCGACTTCCGAAGGGTCGGATCACATGTGGTGTTCGCAAGCGCCAATCGCCTCCTACTTCAAACTACTAAGTCTGAGGTCGGCAATGCGTATGCGTATAGCCAATATATCCTCAAGACTGTTCAAGCTAAACCGATCTTCCAATTCCTCGATATTGAAATTAAAGAGTACTGGGACTATCTCGTGTGGTACGATCATTTTAACTACGGCGGTAAGGGCTGCCAAGAGGTGATAGAGGCGGAAAGTCAGACACTCGACACTATCATGTGTTGGCAACTGGCAACCTTTCTCCCATCTAAGCTCCAGGAAACCTTCAACAGCTGGGTTGCGGAGTTTGTCGATTTGATGCACGCTCGTAAGCGTTCTACTCTCGCGAACGTCGCAGATGGAACACGTCGTCCTACACAGTTACACTTCCAACCGCTGACTGTTGACCCCAATGAAGAGACCGACTTCCTACCCAAGACGTTCTTGAAAGCCCTGACCAAAGATGTCACTAGTCTTCTTCGCCGGCAGCATATTGAGCTCATGCACGCTGAGCTTGCTCCTGACTGGGCATTTCCCAAATTACCTGGCTCTCACCTCAACCTCACAGCTCCAGTACTGCAGCTTGTCAAATCTATCATGCAAGTTCTGAGCCTCGACAAGAAGCTCAATCTGGAAGTAAGAAGAATCCGTAAGGACTTGCTCGCCCTTTTCGACGTTCGCGAATTCAGCTCTGAGGCCACATTCCACAATCCGAGCGCAACTCTCCCAGTCCGAGGGCTTGTATGCAACGAATGCACGGCCATACGCGATATCGACCTCTGCCGTGACTCAGAGCTTATGCCTCTCCAGATCTCGAGCGCAGACTCGGCAGTTGGGCCGTCGATGGCGAAGTGGAGATGTCACAATTGTAATTCGTCCTACGACAAATTGCGCATCGAGGAGACACTGGTTGCTAAAGTCGAGCGCATTGGCCTCGAGTGGTGTACGCAGGATCTAAAGTGTAGTAAGTGTGCGCGGTTACGGGCCAATGAATTTATGGAGCATTGTGCTTGTTCAGGAGAGTGGGTAGCCACTCAAAATAGGGAGGATATGAGGAAGATGTTAAAGGTTTTCGGGAACATGGCTGGCTTCTACGGTTTAAGCATGTTGGAGTCGTTGGTAAATGATATGCAAGATGGGGTGTAAGGGGTATCGACGACCCAGATTCGCATTTTTCGCCGGTAGGACTAAACGTACAGCCACTTACTAGTCTATAGATATCCAGCGTGTTCGAATGTTGTATAATAACACCTTTCGTTTCGAAAACCAAATACTAGTCGTCTATTGTATATATCTAGCTAAGAAAAAGACTAGTTCGAAAGAAACAAAGACTATTAATATAGTGTTAGATCTAGTTACTATCTACTGGTAGTATAGGGCAAAATCAGTAGTGATATATATGAATTTCCGAAGTAAAAGTAAATTTTCCTTTTTTGGCTTTGACTTCTATTACGTATTTTCATCTAGCTCTAGTTCTAATATGTATAACTATACTATGCATGACGATATTTCTTATGAATTTTCTAGAAAACTCATCTCCCTATCTAGGATAGTTATACTTGAAAAACGTACAAATTGATTTCTTGGTCTAGTAGAAGGATCACAAGCTCTAGACTTCCTATTCCTTGACAATGGTAACTCATTTCTCTCGATCCCATAACTCCTCCGTGGAAATTGAAACAAGTTGTAAATCGAATTTTTACTCCCGACGATGCACTTATCCTCCAGACGCCTTGATCGATTCATCGCAGCAGAAGGACGAGGGGATTTATTCAAGCAACACGCTCCGACGTATCCTTTACATACCGATGTAAAAACAGAAATCATGTGACAGCGCCAAAATAGTACATCATGAGGACAACTCTCAATAGTTATCAAACTGATTACGACTGACTTGCATAGCCATGACTATCATCCATACCAAGAAGACAGTCCCAACTATCCAAAAGGAAAACACGGCTTTCCAGGACGAACCTAAAAATTCGTATTAGTGATCAACTTTACATGTTTTGAGACGATTCGTGCGTGCTCACAAATGCTGTTCTGCTCGAGCCATGCCAGTGTATTCGAACTGACCCCCATTACATTCATGTTGTCCACATACGTCGAGCAGAGATTATTGACATTAGAGTTCGATCCAAAGAGTTGAATACCCGTGCCGATGATACCCGTGATGAATAGGACAAGCAATACGAATGATAAGAGCATCATGATACCGGGCAAGAGTCGACGTTGGGCGATGAGAACGAGTTCAATGAGTATGAAGATGACGGTCAGGGCTCCAACTGTGATACCATATGGAAATATCCTGTCATGCGGTATTAGCATTACGGGCAGAATGTCATATGTATGGACGGCTTACCAAGGTACCCCTAAATTCATTTGGTTCTGTATCTGCCAGAATGATGCATTCACTCCGAGTATGGTTCCTGCCGTAGCCAACATGACTATTGTCCACACATTCAACTGGATGTCGGGCCAGTAGTATTTCTCGCGCACCACCACAGCTCTACCCACAACTGAGCGCGCCATTGCCTGTATAACGATCTTTCGACCTGGCCTGAACGCTTTGGTGTCTGGGAAACGCACGCAGCTTTAATCAACCAGTTTATGTAGCGTCAGAGGATAGCCAGCGCAGCGTTTGTATGTTCCGTAGTGCGACCGACGTTTTTTTCCGTGATCTGGTGGGCAATGTAAGGTGACGTGACCGATGGTCAGTCTGGCGCGAACACTGCGCGCAAGTAGCAGCGGATGAAATCGTTGGGAGCGGAGGAGTGCGGAGACGGTACAGGCGAGGACGACAGAGATATTTGCGAGAGTGATGGTTCAGTGTAGCAAGACAAGACTGCGAATATGCATACACAGTATATGTTGACTTTGGTGGTTGGAAGAACAACTATAGCGAAGCACCACAGCGACGTGAAGTTGGTCGCGCAGTGTATGGATCAATATGCGCCAGGAAAGCGGGGTGGCTGGGGATATCGGAGGGGGCTGACACGGACACTAGTGCGGGATGCCGTGGCAGCGAAGCACACGTCACGGAGGAATATACATAGTACACACCAACTATCGATCGACCCAATTCTGTATTTATCGTATCTGTATTTATGGGATTACCGGTCCCTCGAAATCTGCGTATGCGCGGTTTGTTTATTTGCTGTCGCCCTAGAACCACGTTCTTCATCAAAGCCCGGCCACCCCGGCCCATATCAAAATTACCAGAATTAAGGTTGGTCAAGCAGCATATTTCACCACACTGCTTGTCTTTAGCACTGTTACAGTAAAGGAACATTGACCTGGTGACACTTCGCTGCTTGGAGTGTCCCTAGACTAATGTTTTAGTATTGTACCGGGAAGGATCTGAAAGGGTTGATCTCTGCAGCTTTTGATATTCAGTCCTCCAGATACAGTCCCACATCGACCCTCTACTAAGTCGCTGAAGGGCCCAGCTCGATTTGCCAATTGAAGTAGAGCGCCGTTGCAAGGACTCGCGGGTGGCAGTGATCGGGTCGGGTTACACTTGCTGAAGAGCAGAATGGTGCGGTGCCTTGGTGAATTTCCAGTGACTGGAGTTCAATCTTAAGACAGCTAGGCCTCTAGGCGTGCCCACTCTACCTAACAGTGGTTATGAATTGATGACAAGGCTGGTCTATTATCACAGCCCCGTATTCAAAGCGAACGTAATCGAAGTGAAAAATAGCACTGGAACCAATCGTCAAGCAAAATTGCTCTGGTAAACTTACTAATGTCAACGAGAATAAGCCATTATTGGATTGTTCGGGATTTTTGTCCACGGGAGCCATAGCCTGGGCACAATAATCCAGTGGAGGATACAATGAAGGAGAAATTTGGCAAGGAGTGCAAAAGGACAGCGACAACGCTGGCAGAGTTTATTAGAAACGTTGACATGAGGCAGGTGGGCGCCAGGAACCCACAAAGAATCGAGTTGCGTTTATTGATCTAAGCGAGGCATAGGGAATATCCTACATAAGATATAGGTCTACTTCATTCTAGCAGTCGGGTGAGGTGTGGCAAAACTCGGTGTACCATGTGACTCCCTGGAACAATTAGGTACAAGAACAATGTCAATTGACAAGCTAGATATGTTTACGACAGATCCAATTGCATTCCTAGGAACGAGATCTCTTGCAATTCGCCTGATATGAGAGTATGCACATTTTTATTACACTACGACTCATTGGTTCTAAACGTGGCATTCAAGATCCCATTATCATGTCTATCGATAATGCCCGAAACGAGTTGTCGTAAAACTATCACTTCGCTTTAACGATAAATATTAGATAAGGTATAAGACCAATGGAGATACAGCAGCACCGTTCCAAAGGAGCACTAATTACCTCTTCCATACCATTCAGTCGACGCCCGCAAATAAGAAATGCAGCATGAATATAGTACAATAAGTCTAGGCGATACATGTGATTGTCCATGTCATCACCTCTTCTTTGTCATTATCTTGGTTATGGCATGGCGAATGACCACGCCAGCCTTTTCTGTCTCCTTCTTTGAAAGACCAGTCGTAACACATATTTTGAGTGCAGGTTGCGGCTGAGGACTTTGAGCAGACACAGCAGCTCCAAGTGGCTGCGGCATGGCCTTTAGTCTAGTAATCAGAACACCGTTTGCAAGACACTGGACATTTTAGCACGAATAAGTAAGTGTAGAGGAATTGGTGTCGTACCTCATCAACAACCTCCTGCAAGATCCATTCCTGCTCTTTTTGGCCGAAATTACGAGAGGTGAGGGCGTCCTGCTTAAGGACCAGCAGTAGAATTGGATTGTCCGTAGCACTAGTGCACCGCACCCAGTCACTCCGAGGATCCAACTGAGATCTCATGGCTTTGATGTTCTCTCTGAGCTGGGCTAGGATCTCAGGAGATTCCTGAATTAGCCGTATGGTCTCACTTGCTGTCGTTGCAAGCATAGCCGGTAATGCAGCGGAAAACGTATAGGAGGCGGACGACAAGCGTTGGTGACTGACAACTTCTTCCGTGCCGGCGCAAAACCCGCCTGCTGCGCAGAGTGGTCCGGAAAGATTGCCGATGATCATGTCGACCTGGGTTGGGTCAACATTTTGCGCCTCTGTGACTCCACGACCAGTGCGACCAAGCACTCCATAGGACCAAGTCTCGTCCAGGATAATGCGGAACTTGTACTTGAGCTTCAGCTCAACCTGAAACTATTAGCCAATGGTCATTGCCACTGATCAAGAAACGCGTACTAGTTTGGGTAGATCCACAACGTCGCCAGTAGTTTCGAAAAGCCCCTCAGTAATAATGAAGCGTCTGGTCAGTGGTTTCTTCATCTGCTCTTTCGTGACCTTCTGCAAAACCTGTTCGAGGTCCTTCATGTTGTTGTGCTCAAACCATTTTACCGTGCTGCGGGAAATTTGAACGCCCTTCCGAGCAGAGTAATTCAGAGCGCTATCCGCAACTATAATGTCACCCCGCTTCGAAAAAGCGGGAATACATCCAGATATCGTGGAGAAGGACTGTGCGTACACTATACATGATTCTACACCCAAATGAGACGCGACGTCGGCCTCGGTCTTCATATGAACATCTTGCGTTCCGTAGAAGCCTGGGGGTCCGCAAGGTCCTACTCCATATGTGCGAAGTGTCTGAACAGCTTTCTCTTTTAGGGTCTCATTACCAACAAAGTTATAGAAGTTATAAGAGGCTAAGTTCGTGACCGTACGTCCATTGGAGAGTTTCGATTTGGGGCCGGTGGGCCTGCGGCAAGGTAAGAACATGTTCTACAAAGTCAAAGCAGAAGTCTCGTACCCGACAATGACAGGACGTTTCTCGTTCTCTATCTCTTCAAAGGCTGTTTGAGGCGCAACCAATGGCTCTGGCGTCCAATCGTCCACAAGTTCGTCGATCTCCTATTCGCATGTCAGAGCGCGCCCGGTGGGTAAGATGGATTTAGACTACCTGCTCAGTGAGCGCGATCTTCTGTTTCTGGGTAGAGTATTTAGGTGCAAGTAGGTAGCGCACTGCGAAGAGGAAGAGGAAAAGTTCAACAGCGGAGCGCACAGGATCGTCTTGGTAACTGGACTTGATGTATCTCAGGAGAATTGCTGAACCGGGAATCTTCTGAAATTGCACATTGGCTTCGCTGAACCACTGGTAAAAGGCGTCTTGAATTTCGTGGAGATCCATATCGAGGGCGGAGGTTTACAGGAAACTTTGTAGGTGCGTGGGTGAGAAAGGGGAGAAATTGAAAAGTTGCCTATGACACGCGTGCTGCTTGTCCATGGCGCGCGGTCGTGGCCGCGGAGATCCGACCTCTAATTCTTGACGGGAGGCCTGAGGCACCAACAAGCGATAGTTGAACAACACAGCACGAAGTTACGGCGACGAAAATTTATGTATTTAACTGCCATATCAATACTTCTCATTAAAGTCGCGTGTGCAATCACGAGTGGAAGTTTCATAAACAAACAAAATGATCGAGAGTCGATATAATATATTTCCTATCTTTACTATAACTTTTCAAGAATACGTTGATCCGTGTGTTGATAGTTTATTTACGTGTTAATGCGCCGATTGACCATGTCCAGGCTCAGTTTTTGTGAACGAGCGAATACTTCAGGAAATTGGTTATACTGTAGCCCACCCGGAACTCGGTCCGTACAGAACAAAAATGCAAGGATCGAAGCCAAAAAAAGATTACATCATTACGTTGCCATTGCAGGGGCATATGGACAAGAGTCGTGCTCGCAGTGTTGTACAGGTCCTCCGAACAAACGGCCATGTCTTCCGGAGATTCATCCGCTGTCCAACATTGAATCCTCTCTAAAATGCTAGCCGAACCATCCGTAGTCTTGAGTCACTGCCAGTGGGATCCGCGCCACCGGCAATAGCAGTACCAGTCTGTGAGGTTCCCAGAGTGTCGTTATTGTTGAGGTTAACAGGTTGTACAAGTTGGAGAGGAAGGTCCAGGGTTGCCGGATCGAATAGTTCGAGTTTTCCAATAACTGCAGGGCCCACGACCAGTGCAATGAGCAAGAAGAACATGACGAAATACAGGATGGCGTATCGAACGATACGTCTCTTACGCAATTTGGTCTGTTTCAGCGAGTAAATTGGTGGGCGAATTTGACGGCTACAAATGATTAGAAAGTGTGTTAACGATTCAAGCATTGGACATACCTTGGTCTGAGCCAGAAGAGCATTATGGAATGAAGCTTGTCGATGTACGGCAGCAGGAGTGCAGGCGTCAACATGAACAGTAGAACGTGACCGAGGACAAAGTCCGCTGCAAACATTCCCAGTTCGGTGATCTTGCAAAGGAATTCGCGACCAGGCTGGGAGATGGTGTGCCAACCCATGGCGTACCATTTGCCAGACCAGAACGCAATATTAGCGCTATCGGCCTTGAATTCTCGGGTCAGAGCAAGCGAAATGATAAGCTTGTAGAACCACCGCTGGATGGCAGTAACAGCAATCATACCCAGAAGGGTACGGGCAAAGTTAAAGCTCTCAAGGAAGAACATAACTTCGAAGAAGGCGAGAAGACCGAAAACAGCTACACCGTGGCCGATTCCAGCGAGAACAGCAGGGAACTTCTTGCAGCACATTGTAAGAATGGGGCCCATGCAGCAAGCCATACCAAAGAGACCTGCAAGAACTCCAGCATTGACGGCGACTGGACCAAAAGCGACAAGACCAAGTCGTACGAGTGCATTGGTCTGCTCGATCTTCTTTTTACCATTCCCCTCATTCTCGTCGATCACACCCACCTGGGAGTTGATGAAGACATAGGGAATTAATGTGACTGCCACCAGAACGAGGGGCCCAATGATTTCACTGAAGAGGATGTTGGTTATGTGTGCCCTGGGTACGTCGCCGGAAAGTTTAGAGCTAGGGTCACCGAGAACTTTACGTTTGTAACCAGTGATACGTGTACGGGACAACCTACAGAAACCAATCCACGAAGCAGCGTGCGAACGCGTGTTGCCGCGGGAAAGCCATCGGAGGTATTCGCGGTAGTCGATGAAGAAATCGCCCCATGCGAACTGGTGAGGATTGAACAAAAACGGCGAGATAGTGAGAGCGATACAAGTCACCCAGAACCACAACAACCACGGCACCCAGACGGTGACAGTACCGAAGAGCAACATCATAAGCGATCGTGCACCCATGTAGATAGATGGACCGGCGAATCGGGAATACAGGATTCCAAATGGGATTCTAGCAGTGGCAAAGCCACGACCTGTTCCGATATACCGGGCACCTCCGAAGGACAAATCTTGATGCAAAGCGTTGGCGTAGATCTGACACACGAACACCTCAAAGAGTGGCGACAAGGATGAGAAGTGCTTGGCAAGACGAGTCGCCGCGCGCCAGACACCTCGTTCGGTCAACTCTTGAACAACGAGCGGTACGAAGGAGATGAAGAAGACAATGAAGATGGAGATGATGCAAATCTGGATCCAGTTGAGAATTGGAACAAGGTTTGCACAACCTGTGGGATATTCTGGATCGGTAATTGGCAGGTCCTTGTTGTAACTGCAGGTGATGGTCTCGTGTCGGAGTGCCCCCAGGTTGACCAGACAGAACATAAACATCTGAACCGACAGAATAATGAACAAGTTGTTGATGTGGAAACCAGGATGAGCGTAGTAGAAGGACAAGAATCGATCCAGAGGTAACTGTGTGCCGAGATAATAGTATTCTCGCGACAACATTTGCTCTCCCATGCCAGTGCCAATCTTTGTAGTGAAGTTGAGAATGGAACCAAATCCAAGATCACGGCCTTTACCACACTGATAGTATTCGCAGTGCTTTATCCGACCACCGCGTAGAAGTGCGTTCATTCCAGCGTAGATGTCTTCATTGAGATGCAGCCCCTTCTGTGCCTTGGAAACTCCACCTCGAGTAGTCATGAAGATACCATTGAGGAAGTCAGGATGACCATAATGGAGTTTACCACCGATTTGAGCCAGGGTACGCGCGAACATAGTACCAAATGTCTGTTCCTTACCAGCAGCAACATCACCAAGGATACCAATGTTCTCAGAGAAAATGTACTCGCGAGCACCCAGAATGGCAACAGGATTGAAGTTGTTCGAAGGTAGACCGGGTGTGTACGGTGAGACATTGTCGTTCGTCATTTCCTCGAATTCGGCCAGAACGCTGCGAATCTTGAGACACTCCTCCAAGTAATTGTCTTGATTAGCATCGATGAGTTGAATGTATTCGCCACGGTAGAATATAATGCAGTGGTTCTGGTTGTCAGACTTTCCGTCACCCAAGATAGGGTTACCGGAAAGCATGACTCGAAATTTGGGACGGCGCATACCATTCTCCATGATCTCGGAGTGGCCGTCTATCAGAGCGGAGTATAGGCGAGGTTCCTCGCCTTCGTTGACAGGCGGTTCTTCATCAAGATAAGCAATCTGGAGGTCAGGATACGCGCGGAGTAGAAATTCTGTGTTTTCACGTTCCTCCTTGTTGAACTTTGCGTAACGCTGCATAGAGACGACAATTTTGTACTTGCGACGAGCCATTCGTTCTAATTCGCGTTCGAGTTTATCGGAATTTCCCCCGAACATTTGGACAACCTCGGGGTTTTCGACACGGTATAGAAGTTTTATGGCGCGACTATAGTTCATGAAGCCAGAGATAGTGCGGTAAAGAGTCTGTGCACGAAGCGACGCCCAAATGCGGGTGCGAAGAGTGTACTCTGGAGCGGCAGATTTGAAGCCAATACAGTAGAAAGGTAGATCGTCAATCTTGCTCTTTTGCGTGTCTTTTTCGCTCTTCTCGTAATCCCCATTGAATTGTGACGTCTCATCTGCCAGGATTTTGGTGTCCTTGACAAAACAGTCCCACTCGTGAGGATGGAGTTGCTTGAGGTACTCAAGCATAGTGACTCTCGAGTATGGCTCGTCCTCTCGAATGATTTCTCTGAGGGAGAACAGAATCTTCTCACCGTAGTGAGGAATCATGACGGTGAAAGTTGGCATATTGTCGACCGGCAGAGGCTCGGGTATTGGTGTTGAGAGTGATTGTGCGAAAAAGGAGATTCGTCGTTCCGCCTCGCTCTGTGCCGGGAAGAACTCAGTCTTGAAGGAATGATCTTCTTGAGAGACGAAAAAGGTAGGAGCGCGAAGTGTCCTCTTGCCCTCTTGTTCCGATGGGACTTGATGGTAGAGCAATTTCTGAACGTGATCAATGGCAAGCAAGTGCTCTCGATACATTGAAATCACGATGGCATTCCAGACCTGCGATATGAGGACTTTGGGCTTGTACTTGATCTCCATATCAGTAGTAGCAAGAATCTTCGAGTAAATGCGTTTTGGGAGTCTCGAGAAGACGTTCCTCCAGGGAGTCCAGATCGAGACACCCAGGTAAAAAGATCGAGCAACCGAGAACAGCATGTTCAGTATGATGTACCAAAGGTACGTGTCCAAGAAGAACAAAATCAAGTCCGTGAAGATCATCAGACCAAGCAGGATTTGCGGCTGGTACCGGCAGAGGATGGTGCCGATAATCTTGTCACCGACACAGTTGCGAATCTTCATAATTGAGAGAATTCTGATGGGGTCACGAATCGACAAAGTCAGAAAGAAGTAAGATTCGGCCATCTTGGCGGCGAAGACAGAGACCCAGAGTCCATAAGACATCCACATGTCGTTTCCGCGGAGTCGAGGGTAGCTTGCGGTGAAAGTTTGGCTGGCAACATACTGGCGAGAATTCCTGGTCAGGTAACTACCGAATAGACCGCCCAAGGGCATGACCGAGAAGAAAAGGAACGACGCCAGAGCAATCAGGAACTGGACCACCCCTAGGATCAATGGTATTTTGCCGTCTTGCTTATCCATGAAAAGAATGTACACGCTTGGAGCGATGTTCAGAGCGAAGATGCCAATCAGGAAGAATAGTCGCTTTGTCAAGTGTTGTGCCCCAGCCCATCTGCGGGGTACATAAGCCCATTCGGTGACAGTCGCGAGGATCATGATGAGAGAAGCAATGCCACCGCCGAGACCGACTGCAGACCATTGCGCCGCTGCTTTCGGTGGGTTGTTCTTCTGCTGTTCGTAATTTTTCGTGTAGAGAGTGGGAGAATTGAAGGCCGTATAGAACCAGAAGGCAGTGACGTGAATCACCCAGATACGGTTGAAATTCACCAACATGTGAAACCAGGACCGGTTCTCTTTGTATGTCTTGAAAAATGCCTTTTTCCAGTTGATATCTTTTAGTTTCTCATATCGCTCTTCAGGCTTCAGATCGACGATCCGCGATTTATCTTCCAACACGATGCGCTCAATGCCTTCTGGGTACCAGAACAACTGGTTGCAGTCATCGTAACCAATAATGTGAGAGTGGTCGCGCTCTCGACGAACATATTTGCCGTCAGCAATCTCATAGCCTTGGTCTCGACAGTATTGATAAAGAGGTGTGATGACGTTGTTCAAGTACTCAAACTCCTCCACTGGCTGTGTCCTGTTTTGACAAGCTGGTGATTGGAGATAATCGTCGGCGCACTTGAAAATGAAGCAGAGGCATTCTGGCATAAACCGAACCTGATTTGCTTCACCCCAGCAGAGAAGATAAAGAGCAATTTGCCGAGCACGATCATGTTGTGACATGCGGTTCATACGGCTCTTCCAGCGGTACTCGGCTGCTTCAAGACTATTGTCGCCTTCGAATGCTTCCAGAATTTGCTCTTCATTGGCTTCGCCATTCTGCGCCGCCTTCTTGGCTTTTGCACGGGCCTTGCGTGTTTTTCTGTCTGCCTTTCCGAGTTTCATGTTGGCAAAACCCACGGCATCGTCCAAATCCAGGTGGGCTGCAAAATACCATCGTCGGTAATTGGCATTTTCACCTCCAATGTAGTCGGCATGAAGTGAGAGAAGGGCTTGGTTTGGGGTCATGCGAGAGGCGCGGGAGTCCAGAAGGGTCATGAGATGATCGTACATGTTACGCATGCTGTCACGCTGGAAACCAAACTTTGCGGTCAAGTCCATGAAGATGTCTTCAAGCTCCTCTTTCGTCAATGGAATTTGTGCATCAGACGTCCAGGCCGGATAAGGCTCGCGTGATCGTTGACCAGCTGGCAGGGCATTACCATACTCCATGCCATAGATTGGTGTAGATGCACCGGAGGAGCGGTTGCCACCGTAGGAGATTTGAGAAGATGGTGGGCGATACCCACGGCCTTGTCCTTCACCGTAACTATTATAGCGCTCATCACCGCGCCCTCCGTAGTAATCCATGTCCGCAGCGCGAGCCATGTCAGAACGCATAGTGAAGTCACTGAACGTCTCAGAGTCTTCCTCCGAATCATGACCCCTTCGCTTGGGTTTTGCAGCATAGCCGCCTTGGGAGTATTGCTGTTGGCCTCGGCCACCTTGATCATAGTATTGATCGTTATAGTACTCATCCTGGTAGCCCTGGTTGTTATTGTCGTAGTAGCCATCTTGCTGGTACTGCCCATTGTTGTTATTGTTATCGTAGTAGGCTCTGTAAGAATTTAGCAAGCGTTATGTGAACTCAAATCAAGCCACTTACGACTCGTCATAATAGGCATCGCCGTGTTGCTGGTCTTGATAGCCGCCGTTGTTTCCTTGATCATAATAACCTTGTTGGTCATCGTGGTAATATCCGTCGTTGGTTTGGCCGTAGCCATCGTCGTATTGACCACCCTGTGGTTGTCCCGACATGACTGCGATTATTTACGACTAGGCAGATCTAAATCTAAACGATGGGTGATTAGCCGTGCTGCTTTGAGTTTCCTAGCGTGAGAAACACGCAGCAAAGGTCAACTCACGTCAGATTGTAACCATTACCGATGTGGCGATAGCAAGATGCTCGTGATTGATTACCAGTGTAAAAGAGTCGGCGTAGAAACGAGCGTCAAGAGAGGGATTGTGGTTGAAAGTGTAGTAGATGAAGCAAAGAGACTGAGCTGATCAAACAATCAGGTCAGAGCGTCCAAGCACAGTTGACAGCGACTCCGAATCGTGGACAGACGATATAGGAATCGTCTTGGTAGGAGCAGGTAACGAAAGGATGGCTGTAGTGGACGAAGACGTGAGCGGTTGTTGCTGTGGGCGACGACGCGCAGCTGCTGGAAAAGTCTGATTGGTAGGTGGCGCTGTCTCCAACGAGATTCACTAGCCGTCAGGGAGAGGATAGAAGAAGTGAGTGAATGAGTGAGTGTGAAAGACCTCTTCTCCCTTCTGTACGACGAGTCCCAGCAGTCGAAAGAACAGGCAAACACAGCGCAGTTGAACGAAAGACGAAGAACGAGTGGAGCAATCCGGGCAGAGGGTAGGAGTGAGTGATAGCGAGCGTTGAAGAGGAGAAGAAGCAGGTTTGGCGGTAGAGGAACGAGGAATAGGGGGGACGGAAGATTCGGGGCCTGGGTGGGAGTGGCGGGCAGTGCAGTGAGCGCAGGGGCCTGATAAGCCAACCTGAGTTTATTATTAAGGGGGCCAGCAGGGGGTTTCCTTGGGGGTAGGGGGGGGGTGTCTGCTTTCTGCCTCTGCCTCTGCTTCTGTAGTACTAATTACAGTACTTTCTACCTGTGCCTCCCCAACTTTTGGCTGTGCTGTAACTGTTGGGTCGGATCAATCCATGATAATATGGGTCTCTCTGCCCTCCTCGACGAGTGGAGTCTTCCACTAAGATAATTAGCGACGCAGCACTCCAGCGGCTGCCCTGGCCGAGGATGCGCGGCCTCTCAACCACTCAGACTCGCCAGTCGGAGGCATTCTTTGCATGAAGCCTTGCCCGAACGAGTGAGGCGTGGAACACCACACACCACTGCTGAAAACTGTGTCAGACACGCATACACACATCTCCCTAGATCTATATCGTCTGGAGATTTGACGATGGTATGAGAAGCAGACAAAATGCAGAATCACACTTACAATCTACGCCGGCATATCACTGCATCTGCCGCATTCCGGACTTTCCGCCATGGTGTGAGGACGTTGCAGTCCTTAGCAGCAGCCAGCCGTTCACCAAGACGTCCGAAACATCTCGCCACCCACCCACGCTCCACCGCTTTCGCTTTCAGCTCGATTGTCAATCTCTCCACGTCATAATCGATATTTCCCAAATGTACTAGATCATTTCTACAAACAGCATCTGATCTGCCATCCTCTTTGATGAATCGACTACAGCGCGCATCGAAAGACCTCGATTATCTATCTGGAATCGTGCCCCTGTCCCTGTCATGTTGTTACTCACAAACGCTCTCAGCTACGACTTCGGGGAAATGTTAAAAGGTCAAGCAAGCATGATTGTACACGTGGGAACGCCATGGAACGCTACGCTTCAGAATACGTGTCACACCAGCCTTACCCTCCGCGAAGAGCCTTTTTTTTAAAAAAGAATGAAAGAGTTCTTCATTACAGATCCAGACTTCGTCCTTGTGGTTAAGCGCGACGCTAGGCAACTTATCAGCTTATCGTGTTAAGATCTATCCTTGGGGCTGGGCAGAGCCTGTGGCTGTGATGGCCCATTGCTCTCACGAGACACCTGTCCACCTGTCAAACTGTCCAATTGATCCTGGGATTGGTCGGTTCATTGATTGATTGATTGATTGACTTAACTGACTGACTGATCCATCGGATCATATTCATCATAGTTTATATGCATGCAGGTGCTAGTTGGTTGTCAACAATATGTAAGGTTCGTCGCGTCAGAATATCGAGCTCGAGTAATCGTAAGGGGCGTGCAACGTGCGGCGGACAGTAGGAGTAGATCATAGTCCAACTTGTGCAGCCTCCAGGGGCATGCGTCTGAGACACACACATGTACACGTAGACCGTAGACGTATATAGTCATGCCTGGGCCATCTAGATTAGAGAGTCGACCTTCGGAGAGCAGGATTATGGTCCGGATACAGGTATTGAAAACTGTCTACCTAGCTACGACATGTAAAGGTTGTCGATTGATGGTTCCGCACTCTACTACTGCAAAAGCTTCAGCGTCAATTCACGACTACTACAGATACACGCGCGCGTTTCGAGTCCCTCCCTTATCCCTGGGTGAATGCAATACTTGTAACTTGTAACAGAAGCATCTATATTCGTCTGACGCCACCTGAGCGGGGACACAGTCCACTGAGTGCTCAGACTTTTATGCTTCTCGAGGTCCGCGACTGGCTCACTCGACCCTATGGTATGCTCTTCAGCGTCTAAATATACCCTACACACAAGGCAAAGAAGACTTGAGGACCCAGTCATTGTTATTTATTGGGAATTGGGGCTGCGGCACCGTTGTGAAGCCCAAAAAGTATTAGCCCGCTACATAAGTGTTACTGCAGGTGATGGACGCGTCAGACTGGCGGTTTGTCATCCTGGATAAGTCCCGAGTCGGGTCGGACACCAAACATCCGAGTGAACAGCAGTGAACCTAATTAAGGTCTTCTTTGCCTCTTCGCCCCTGACGGTTAATGCTAAGCATTGTCCAAGACCTCTCTCTTCCTGCCTTCTCTCTCACCGTCGTCAATCGCTATTACTGGTCCCATTAAGATAATTATTCGATATCTGTTCTCCGCCTTGCACTTACTTGATACGTTCTAGCTGTTCTAGAACCATTTACCCTCTTTTACCCTTTTACCATACAATAACTACCGGTGCTGTTACCTGGCCACGCGTTGTGCAAAACATCGCCAGGACAACCCGTCAGAATACTGACCACCCGGCATCGCATCACATCACATCACATCGTTGCATTGCCTTCTTCGTTCTCTGTATCGCTATCAAGCCATCAATACTCGCTCCGGCGACAATGAAGAACTTTGGCGTTGCTGTTGCCGTCGCGGCTCTGGTATCCACTGCCGTAGCCGACGTACCGGCGATCGAAATCAAAGTACGCATTGACACTCCAACCCAAACTTGGCACTCACTGACCTTTACAGGGCTCCAAGTTCTTCTACAGTAACAACGGGACACAATTGTTCGCTTGTCCTTCCAACCTCTTTGTCGCTTTACTCATATGTGCACAGTTTCATGCGCGGTGTTGCTTACCAGCGTGATGTCTCAACAAACACAACTGCCGTACCAGGCGCAACCTACAGTGACCCTCTCGCGGACGTCGACAGCTGCAGGCGTGACATACCCTTCCTGACAGAGCTCCGTACCAATACAATTCGCGTATACGCTGTCGATCCCGACAATAACCATGACGAATGCATGTCGATGTTGGCAGATGCTGGCATATACGTGATTGCTGATCTGTCTCAACCCTCCGAGTCGATCAACCGCGACGACCCTTCTTGGGATGACAATCTCTACAGCCGTTATACCTCGGTCATCAGTAATCTCGCCAAGTACAATAACACACTTGGCTTCTTCGCCGGAAACGAGGTCTCGAACAACGCATCAAACACTGATGCTAGCGCCTTCGTAAAGGCTGCAGTTCGCGATTCCAAGGCCTACATCAAGAACCAAGGTTTGCGCTCCATTGGTGTCGGATACGCCACCAACGACGACAAAGAAATCCGCGAGAACCTCGCTGATTACTTCAATTGTGGAAGTGACCCTGCCGAAGCCATTGATTTTTGGGGTTACAACATCTACTCATGGTGTGGTGATTCTAGCTACGAGACTTCGGGCTACAAGGACCGCACTGAGGAGTTCGCCAACTACTCCGTCCCCGTATTCTTTGCCGAGTACGGTTGCAACGAAGTAGAGCCTCGTACTTTCACCGACGTTCCCGTTCTGTTCGGAGATGATATGGCTCAGGTCTGGTCTGGCGGCATTGTGTACATGTATTTTCAAGAAGAGAATGACTTTGGTAAGTATCTCGTCAAACCTAAACGATCATCTATTGAATTTTCACAGGCCTCGTTTCGATTGATGGAAGCTCCGTCTCTACCCTTACCGATTTCAGCGAGTACTCCAAGCAAATTGCGACTGTTGACCCCAGCGGTGTCAACTCCAACAGCTATAATCCTACAAACACTGTACCGGCAGACTGTCCGGCCGTCAACACTGCCTGGTTGGCTGAGTCGACCCCTCTACCACCGAGTGCCAATCCTGAGCTCTGCTCATGCATGACTGCATCCTTGACTTGCGCAGTTAACGCAGATACCAGCACTGAAGATTATGCTGATATCTTCGACTACATCTGTGCGAGCAGCGACTCTGCCTGTGATGGCATTGCCCATAATGCCACAACTGGCGTATATGGCGCCTATGGCATGTGCAATTCCACAGAACAGCTGTCCTTTGTCATGAACAAATATGCTGCCGCCCAAAATGGCCAATCTAATGCGTGCGACTTCGATGGCAAGGCATCCTCCAAGCGTGCTTCGTCCCAGAGCGACACATGCAAAAACCTGATGAGCCAGGCAGGTACTGACGGCACTGGCACGGTCACGAGTCAGCCCAGTGGGACGAACGGCGCTGGTGCCGGCACAGGCACGGGCGATGAGGGTTCTGCTGCTGGAGTGACACTGGCGACTTTGAACATGGGTTTCGCTTCTCTAAGCGTATACCTCACTGTCGCTGGTCTCTCGGGTGCCGCCATGGTTCTCCTGTAGAAATTTCTCGATGCCTTGTTTACATTTTTCTGTGTGCATAGCTTTGGGCTTGTGAAGTGGGCAGTCTGCCTTGGTGGTGCGGGAATGATGGTTCTATTGTTGGCTGTATCAACCAAGCCAAAAACGCGGACACTTGGTTCTATATTTGAAAGTTCGTACTATCAGGGGGCATGGGGTTGGTCGTTTGTGATGAGGTTGGCGCATGAAGAGCTTGTGTTCGGACATTTTGGTTGGATTGTGGAATGAAGAAGCCTTTGTCTTGATAGGTGGTAGTTTAATCTTTCGAATGAAGAAGTTTGACTTCCACTTTTGAAGTTCACCGTGCACGTGTGCACCGGCCGATGTGGTCGGCTATATAGCTGCAAACGAGTCTCGAATCATGCAGCGTGCACCATACCAAGTAACCTCTATTAAATCGAGCTTCAGCTACTATATACACAGTATGGGAAAAGGAAAAGTCGAAATCCGTGCTCCTAGAGATTTCTTTGGTACGTACTGCCTTGTTTCTACATACCATACTTGCCACTCCAACCCCTGATTCGTAGCCCTGATGCCCTTTTTTTGGGTGCAGGGTTATCCTATAGTTTTAGTATTTTCTATGCGAATAGGCCTGCCTGTATATCATATTTTGAGCTCGAAACGAGCAAGTTCGTCACACATGGCACTCTCACACTACGCCATGAGATGCCTCCATTCAATCGAAATGGATACATGGCGCGAGCACGAGATGCACAAAGAAGCACTTAATGACGGGAATATAAATTACAATCCTTTACTCTAAACCAGTCATACCCTCAGCTTAACAGCTCTCTTCTGCCCTGGCCGTGCGATGTGTCGTGGAGTCATCCTCGCACGCTCCTCTCTTCGCACCACGTCCCTCCTGAACCTCCCATCCGCCCTCCTAGTCTCCGTATCCGTGCCGTCACCGAACACTCTGAGACCCCTAAACTCCCAGTACGCTTCCTGGAACGCATCGGGGTTATTCTGGACATACTCCTCGCAAGTCGCGGCCTTTGTGCGGTCAGCACAGCCCTGTTCGTTCCATACCTGGCCGGCCCATGCTCCGCAGAACGTGGTGTTGATGATGATGCGCAGCTTCCGGAAATGGCTCGCATAGTCGCACTCGCCCTTGAAGAGCGCGACCGGGGTGCCGAATTCAGTTGGGTCGGGCGTTTGGCCGAGAAGCGAGGGTGGGAATGTGGATGCTTGTGAGCGCGAGAAGAACCAGGCGGAGATGCCGCTCGTGCCCCATTCAAGGACGTAGATGCCGCCTCCGTTGGCGTTGAAGGCAGTGCCATAGTTGGCTAATGGGTCAGATGGGCCGGTGCTGTTGGCCATATAGATGGAGCAGCCGACGTTCTTGCCCTGGCCCTCCGCGTTCACGTCGCAGTTGTCCGTTACAACTGTACCGGAGAATGCTTTGCCACCGCCGTTGTCGGTGGAAATGGAGCAGCCTGGTGTGGTGTGGAGAGTAACAGCATTGTTGACAGCACTGTTCACGCCTTCGACGAGGTCAATTTCGCCGTCTGTGGGCCACTCGGCATCCATGCCTAGCAGCCATAGCGCAGGCCAGGACCCATCGATAGAGTCGGGCATGTGGAGGATGTCGGCAACGAGCAGACCTGTATCGTATCCTTTTTTGCCCTCGAGACGGACAGAGGGACGCCCCTTATCCGTGACCTTTGCGGTGTAGTCGACGCCTACGAGGACGGATGATATATTGGCCTGTCCTCCAGGGACTAGGTCATCCTTAAGATAGCCAACGAGGCCTTTGCTGATAGCATCAGGTTCTGGCTGGTACTGTACGAATCCATCGGTAGGGTCTTTGTCGCTAAAGAAGTCGAAGCCAGAGAAGAAGTTTGTCCCGGCGTAATCATCGACCAATGTATAAATCGCTGCGCAATGTTGGAAATAGACGGAACTTATAAGAGCCCACGTTAATGTAGAAGCCAACGAATGCATATTGAATTAACGAATGCTCGAAAGGAACTATGCGAGAGTAAAAGCGAATGCTCGCGGGTAAGAAGATGCGCCTGACGCGAGTCGTGGAAGATGTCCAGATCTGAATACGAAAGCTGACCAGCAGTATGATAAGATGTGTACAGTGAAGGATAAGCCGTTGCGAATGGGAGCGCAGAAGGAACGAAAAAGGAGGAAGGGAAGATGCGTAGGTACTCGGAAGTTGTAGTAGTAGTGGAGTAGTAGGGATGGGAGCAATTGACACAATGTCACCTACCCAGTGTGTTGACGAACTCAGCAAACATTGAATAGGAGACAGTCTTGGGTGATAAGACACAACCTGAGATGAAGTGTGGCGGATGTCTATTGCATTGTTCGTGAACATTGTTACTGGAACACGACTGATCACCAGCATCCGCTCGGGACGTAATTGTTGACTGGGTCGTGTACAACAATCAGCCTTTACACGATGCCATGCCCTCCGATCATGATACTGCCAGTCTCAACTCATCAATATAAACAGTCAACGAAGGGCTGAGACTCGGAGAGGGTGATGGAACATGAAACATTTTGTTGCTGGCGGGCGGCATTGTGCAAGCGGTACGTAGCACTGGCGCCAATAAAATACCTTTCCCGTCTGCAACATGAAACCGCCAATGACACGTTCAACAACACATGAAAACCACAATAGAGGGCTTGCAAAAGGCACAAAATCAATGCAGAGTTGCTATGAAAACTTCGAGGCAGATGTGTACATAATTACAGCGTATCTAATGTATCCCTATCTAGCGGTACGGATGCACTGTGATGGTACTAAAGCTATGATGGACTGTCTACAGGTTCCATAATCCAAATCTGGGACGCACTTGGAGAATTGCATATATGTCAAAACCAGAAGTTTGTTAGGTATCATTGAACGCCAGCTGTGATGTACAAGCTCAAATTAAGCTGGCCATAGACTATGGGTGCTGTGGCCAGCACCAAGCGACGGCAACGCATACTGTAGGCTGATTATCCGTACAGAGCTGCTAAATACTATGCAATGTATTCACTCGGCGGACTCGCGATGATTTCTTCGGCATGCGAGCAATGGCAATCGCGTAGAACAATTCCACCAGTCCATCTACTGATTCCCTAAGTACATGTCGTATCTGCCCTCACTCTTCTTCTTTAAAACATCCTCGAAGACCTGAAAATATGTTAGCTGCATCATACGACGATAAATCTTGGTCGCTTACCTTGAGCATCTTTCTACGAGCACCCACAGCCGCAACACCTCGCTTTTCAAGGTCTTCGTCCTTCAACTCAACCATCTCCGTCCAGTGCATGCTTTTCAAATTGTCGGTATATTTGTGTAGACGGAGAGTTCTGAGCCAGCTAGGGATGTCTTCTAACAGCTGAACATCGGTTGGGTCCTCTGGCGGCTTTGAGCTGCCTCGTCGTCCACGAGGCGAGCGACCCCGTTGCATCTCGGAATGATCGGAGACATATCCTTCATATCCACCGGGTACAGCCAATCCATATTGGGAGAGATTAATTCCAGGGACATTATGGTTGTCATAGGCTGCAAGATACCCATTGTTCTGCGGAGAGGTGAGATTGACACCGGGAATGCCTCCCTGCATGGCAATTCCTGGCGAATTGGGACGGGACCGTTGCCCCTGCAAGGCAACGAGCTGCTGTGCTTGCAAGGCCGCTGCTTGCTGGGGTGACAAGATCTGACCAAGCTGGTCTCTCATGACCATACCGGCATTGGGGAAACCACCAGTATTGGGCGCCAGGCCACCTTGGCCCTCAGTGGAACGGGTACGGCGGTATTTGCGGACATCATCAAGCTGGATGCGGTTGTTGACAGTGGAGAGGGCGGCGAGTTTCATGGCTGTGGCGTTGGCAACCATGTCGGTGTGATTGCCCTGAGCTTGGAAATTTGGTACCAACGGAGTATTAACCATGGACGCCCAATTGCCACTTCCGGCATAAGGTGAAAGTATGCCAGGCATGCCTCCAACGGTTGAATCAGCCGCGCTCAATGTAGTGTTCTGAATGTTCGAGTCTCCAGAAACTCCTTGCGGACGAGGGGACCGGAGGCCGGCAGAAGGAGGTGGCTGCGCGAATTGACCCATCGGCTGCTGACTGGATGAAGATTTCGGGCGAACACCACTTTGTTGCGAATCGGTATTGCGGCCCCACGGAGATGCAGGTGGTTGAGGGAGGTTCTCTTTTCTAGTGTCTTCGGGTGCTACATTAGGAACTGCGAGAGATGAACGATCAATGACGCTGTTTCGGTTCGAGGATGGAGGTACACCAGTATGCTGTGTAAACTCGGCCTTTTGCTTCGCAATGGCAGCAGCGGCATCTGGAAACATGGAGTTGATCGTTGACGGATCAAGTTGAGAGTTGCGTTTTGCTCCTGCGCCAGGCGATGGTGGGGGGCGACCGACCACTCCTACGGAGTTACGGGAGGAATCAACATTGAGCTTGCTCATAGCATCGTTGAGCTTCTGAGACATGGGGTCTCTTTCACCAAAGTTGGCTGGCGAGAGTACACCAGACATAGGGTGACTCTTGGCCATCTGCTGAAGGACCTGTATGAAGAAGCGGATCTGTACTTGGGTGGTCTGCTGGAGAAGAGCATAAAGGGCAGCAGTTCGCTCCGCTTCGCTGAGGACTCTGAACCACTGCTCAATAGCGCTCAACTCATCCTTGAAGTCTTGGTCCAACGTTGCAGCTGCCATTTCTTCCAGTGTATCCTCGTATTGGTCAATATCTGCAATCCATTGCTGGGCAGCTCGCTCCATTTCGTCGGGATTCCCGGACTGTGTGTGACTGAAGTATACTTCGGAGGAAGGACGCAGACCACGGTTAGACAAGGGAGAGGGGCTGTAAGCACCCATATCAGCGGACGCACGCAGGGCATGATTGGCGGCGATACTTCGAGAACTAGGGAGGCGCAAGTTGGTATTGGAGGCTTCCGGAGTGCTGTTCCGGTTGCCAGCGAGGTGGCTGGCAGACATTATAGGATGAGAGCGGTATTTACGAATAAAGAGGCAGATTCTCAAGATTTTGCAGACTTGATATTCTACGGAAGAAGAGCGTCAGCTGAGAGGTAGCTAAGAAGAGTGCAACTAGCAAGCATGTAGGAGGAGGGGAAGTGCTTACAGTTGGGTAGGCTATCCGAATGGACGTCCGCAGGTATTGTGAGCCGTAGAAAGTCTCCTGCAGTTCCTGCTGGCCTCAAAGGAGCTTCTTTGGCGTAGAGAGCGAATCAAGAGACAGGGAGTTGCATTCGCAGTCTTTGTTCCGAGGCACAGGGCTTGAAAAGGTGCTGGAAACGGTGGCAGACTGTGGACGGCGCGTGGAATAGATAGCCAAAGAGGCAACAAGTCAAGTTGGAGGAGGAAAATGTGGGGAGGAAAACCTCGACGAAGGCAAGGCAAAGGGCGACAAGCAAGAAAGTAGAATGGCGAATGGTGGATGGTGATAGAGGAAAGGCGTAGAGTTGACAAGAAGCGAGAGAGGAATTAGTGAGGTGGGCCTGGGCTGGTCGTAAAGAAAGAACCTGAGGTGTCCGTGTGTGTGTGAGTGTTAAGTTAGCGGGGCGTGTTAGGTTGACCGTTGAGTTGGTGCACTGTAGATCCTACCTAGGTGGTATACTAGGGTTTGGTAGTAATACTGTAGGTAGACGTAGACCTTACAGTGCTAATTTGGTGATTAATTCACCACGACCACTCTCTATACAGTAGCTGGATTTGTTGATGTATGTTTGAGTGACGGCTAGTTGTTCGTTCATCGCGTCGACCGGCTTTGACCGGCCCTGTCTGATACTTCTCCTGTTTCGAGCGAGTCAAGTTCATGTGCGCGGGCTATTCTTAGATCCACTGTTGACGCATGAGAACTCTGTGTACCATCACTTCCGTGTCGTCGGATTTCATGACAGGTATGTCAATCAGAAACACAATGAGAACAATTAGAGCTCTGTGTCCACTACTGCAAGCCATCATAATGATGGGCGGTGAAATGCTCCTATATATCACATGTGGGATATTGAGTTCGCCATACACTATTGAGGGATGTGTCATTTCAAGAGTTCTGTCTCCAGCAACCATGTGTCCATGTTACTCAATGCTCATCGTCTCGAGTGCAGCGAGGCGCATTTGTGACAGACGAGTATGTTTCGTTGGCAGGACGCAAGTGCCGTTCATGGCTACTTCTTCTACTGTCAGGCAATCACTTACACAGACATTCTGGGTCTGGTATATATATAGGGTTGCATCTTCATAGCACCCAAGGCTCAAGAGTCACGTTTACCTTCCGAGAACGCCCATAACGGAACCGACCATGACGGCTGCCTCACGCTCCCAGCTTCCAGAAGGTGCCACATTATTTTTGCTGAGGCTACTGGCTGGAAGTTGAGATCCACGATTGACGCACTCCCGTATAGAATCCTTGACCCTGTCTCTATTTGAGCGTAACGTTCGGGCGGATACACCCCCTCGGTGCATGATCTCCTGTACGCGAGGAGAGAGGCTGGAGGCCAGAGACCTCCAAAAGAACGAAGGAAGAGACGAAGTATCCAAGCTATGAAGAAGCGAGTCTAGAAAATTGGGAACTGGAGATTCTTTCGAGTCCTGCACGATCTCTAACAGAGGATGTCGTGGTGGCCTTATGGATGCAAGTAAAGCTTCAAGGGCAACGATATTTTGACAGCGCGCAGAAACTTCAAGTAGTGTCCGGTCAAGAGTAGGGAGAGTCGCTAGAGCTCTCGCAATGGAGGCCAGGGATGACTTCAAACCTGTTTGGATGAAGTCTTCAAGAGCGCTTACTAGCAGTGTTGGTTCAAACGTCGCGACGGTAGTCGCCGAGGTGGTTGGAGACAACAGGTAGAGGCAGATTAGAGCTGAAGTTGCTCGCGACTTAGTATCTTCGGTTTGAGAAAAATTGGAGGCCGATGTTCCGTCTTGAGATGCAGTAGATGCCAACAGGGAAGACATTGAAAAAGCTCTTACGATCTCTGTCGAACGCATCACAATTTTGTTCTCTGCTATACGCACTAGATCCATCTTGAGGGTACTGATGGCAGTCACTCTGTCCAGGCCCTCTCCTTCTCCCCCTGGCATGTTTGCTTGGAATATGTATCGGAGGGAGAGCAGCGTGTTTGCAGCCCGCACCATAGCCCTGTGATCTTCTCGCCTTGTTGGTAGACCTTGAAACTCTGACATTTGGACTTCGAGCTGTCGTCCAAGCATAAGGCTACGAGCTACACCCCGGCCCATCTTGACAGCTTCACATAGTCTCTCTGCGGTGATGCGCACTTCCTCTGCCGACTCGTAACGCTCGGTCACTTCTATCTCGAGTGTTTTATATGATTGTGTCAGGCTCGCTACCTGACCTTCCACTTCGTGTAATATACGTCCGCTTGACTCGGCATGTTCTCGCGTGTGCTGCAGAAGTGGAAGCGCAAATTTTGTCGTTAACGTGTCGATATGGGTGTCTATCTCTTGTACGTCGAAGAGAACTCGGGAGAGGGGAGTTGAAAGGTCGAGTGGTGTGTCAGAAGGATTATTCGTGGCTAGAACAAGGGTATTGGCGAAAGCTGTCGCCGAGAATGAGGGACCGAGGAATGAGTCGTAGTCGATATACGACGGCTCCTCCTCTTCAGTCATACTGACTGGTCGCGTTCAGCCACACGAAGACACCGCAAAGCGCAGGATGTTCAAGGTCTTGGACAGCTCATGTTAGAGCTAATAGAGTGGACGGCTACGGGTCCTAGTCGGGTATGTCGTGCCCCTCAACACCGTCCATGAGCTTGTTTGGATGACGATAGCAAGGTTGATAGTTCTACACAAGTAGAACCTTATCTCTCTTACAATTACGTCCTCTAAATGTGATTTCTATCTAATTTGTACTGTATTCTATCACTCGACTTCATCATGCCCTCCAAAGTCCGCTCCCCGCCTCATCGCATCTCGATATCTCCCCTCACACACTCCGCGTTCGCACCCTTCGGCACTGTGATCGAGAATCCTCTAACATCGCCCTCTCCCGCGACTCTCCTACCTCAGTCTGTTCATGCAAATCAAGGCACTGCCATAAAATATCTCGATGTGACCAATCTCAACAATCACTACCCGCTGGCAGGAAGCAAGCGACCAGCAAAAGCAGTGATAAACATGTTCGTCTGCGCGCCGCGGCGACTACGTACGGCACCTGCAGCATCTACGCCTACCGAGGACGAGCTTGACGGGTTCAGTTCGCCCTCACAAGGTGAGACGGTCCAGCTCTTTGACGTCTCGATCCTCGAGCGGCATCCGTACACGCCTCAGACCTTCATCCCCATGGGCCTGCCCACAAAGTCTACATGCTCGTCCTCATCTCTACACACATACTATCTCGTAATCGTAGCTCCGACTCTACCTTCTCGCAGACAACGCTACTCCACCACTCTACCCAAACCCTACCCTTCTGCTGAGCCAGCTCACAAACCCACTCTCGTTGAACGCTTCAAACTCGGACGTCCCGCGCCCTTCACAAATGACTCCCTTCCCCCACCGTCACCAGCCATAGATATGGAACTCAATCTATCAGGTAACCCGAAAGGCCGAGGAATGCCGGACCTGGGCAACATCAAGGCGTTCATTGCGAGGGGAAACCAGGCGGTGACGTATGGGCCAGGTACGTGGCATGCACCAATGGTAGTGTTGGGGGACAAGAGTGTGGACTTTGTGGTGGTGCAGTATGCAAACGGGATTGCGAATGAGGACTGTCAGGAAGTGGTGCTGGAGCGAGTCAAAGGGGCGAGCGAAGGGGCTGTTGTGGAGGTAGATATGAGGAGCCTGGAGAAGCTGATGTCTGCGAGAGTATACGAGAATGGGAGGATCAATTCAAAGCTGTAGGATAACGCTTATTGGAAATACTGCTTGGTCACATTCGTCGGTCGTGACGTGTGTGAGCGAGGCAAAACCCGCGAACGAAAACATACCATAATCCAGAGGATCTCAGATCATGTGGTGATGCTGAGTATGTGTATGATCGGCGCATTCAACGTAGAGCGCGTTAAGGGGTGTGCTTTAAGGCACACAATGCTTTAACGTTTCTAAAGCAGGAGACCAAGTTGCACTACTGCGGCAGCATCATAGTGTAATCCAAAGTACGTGATTCTGCTCTACTACCGAACGAACTGACGGAAGTTCACGGCGGATGGTCTGATGCTACGCACCTGATCCCTCTTATAAGATAAATAGGGGTATATAAGATGATTATTGACCCACTGGACAAAAGGCGCTACACTTTGCCTAATCGGCTTATATGCATACATATAAACAGTTAAAATTCCATTGGCGCATCTCATAATCTTGATACGCACACCTCATTACTTTGCCCTTCGCTTTCTCGTCGCTCGTCCTCCTAATGCAGTGTCATCCCCAGTTGTTGACGTCTCTGCTACCAACTGCCTCTCACGTTTCCGTAAATTTGTTGGTGCAGCGATTACGGTAGAGAAATTAGAGTAGCTAGATGAATCTACAGATGTGCTCTCTTGCTCTTGAAGCAACTGCGTGGAGGGGCTGGCGACCCTGTCCCCAGCTGGAGTCTGTTGCTGATGCTGGTGTTGCTGGTGCTGGTGTTGTTGCTGCTGGTGTTGTTGCTGCTGATGTTGTTGCTGGTGTTGATGATGCTGCTGGTGCTGGTGTTGTTGCTGGTGTTGCTGGTGTTGCTGGTGTTGCTGCTGGTGCTGCTGGTGCTGCTGGTGTTGCTGCTGGTGCTGCTGGTGTTGCTGCTGGTGCTGCTGGTGTTGCTGCTGGTGCTGCTGGTGCTGCTGGTGCTGGTGTTGCTGGTGTTGCTGCTTGGTGGGACGGACTCTGTTGTTGTGCTCTAGTGACTCATGCTGAGTCTGAGGTTGAGGCTGAAGCTGAATAAATCCTTGGCTGTGCATCTGTTGTTGGGAAGTCGGCTGAATGCTCTGGACCTCGCGAGATGAGGCTGGGACTACCATTTGCGGTACGGGCGCAATTAAGGACTGAGTGAAATGCGTCGGCATACCCCGCATGTCAGACACTAAAGTCAGTCTAGGATCTAGAGGTACATCACGCTGAGTAGTCGTGTTATACTGCATTACGGCTTGTAGATTGGGATCCTGATGCATCTGTGGAGGAGCGGTTTGAGGTGTGGCAAAGTGATTCCGATAGTCCGCCTGTGTGACACCAGAAAATGTAGCTGGGGTTTGCGGCTGCTGGATTACATTCTTGGTCGGTGTCGCTTCAGCTTCAGGGCCTTTGCTCTTACGGCGACCTGAAGATTCGGGCTTCGCGGCATTTTTGGACGCATCACTGCACTCTCCACAGTTCTTGATGACAGCACTCACCGTCTCCTTAATGCGGACCCAATGATATCGTTCGGCGATTGACGCGGTTGATTTGTTGATGCCTCCGTGGTTTTGCATATGAATCTGTCTTGCAATCTCGTATTGTCTCTGAGGATCAGATATAACTTCCTTCCCTTTCAGCATCAGTCGCTCGGGCTCCGCGTTCGTGGCCGGAATAAGCTTGTAATGCGTTGCGGCGCTACGCAGGCGACTTTTCTCGGCACGGTCAGCTCCATTAGGGTATTTGCCGTGCTTTAGGTAGTATTTGATCTTGTCGAAGCGCTCTTCTGAGGCCGAATCCTCGTCCATACCGAGGTCACGCCCGTAAATGATTGCGTCGACATATTCGTCCGGATATGACTTTAGATTACCGCAGCCCTTCACGCGGCCGATTCGCTTGAAGCCAAGGGCATCCCATATGCGACATGAAGCCACGTTCGTTTCATACACGAGGTTGAAAACAGAGTATGTATACCCCTTTAGCGTGTTAGTGAAAGTCTAATAGCTTCTGTTCGAGATCGACTAACAAGCTTCGGTGCCCACTCCAGATATCCTTCGCCCATAAGTCTACCAACGCCTCTGTTTCGAGCAGCAGGAAGAACCACAAATCCACCATTACAGACGTGGCTGGATCGGCCTACATAGTTAGGTTTGATATAGAAGCTGCCCAGACAGTACTTGTCCCAATCACAACCGTTTCGGGCCATGTCGTGGACTTGGTCGTGGCTCACAATTTCACCGACGAGCATGACTGCTCCGAAGTTGCCAAACCAATATGTGCCAAAGACATCAAGGGGGAGGGGCGTAATCATGGGATATGTATCGCCTATCTCTATCTCTTTGTTGAACTGATCATTCAGATATTGCAGCAACGAGAAGGGCACTTGCTCTGGGGCAGAGAACGGGATGAGAGTTGCTGTGGTCACTCGATCTCGCAGTATAACTTGGCGTGGGACTATATGGTCGGGCAGCGGGGCACCAGGCATCTGCATCGGACTCTGTCCAGAGACACGCGCAATGACTGGGGCAGTCGGGTCATCGAGCATGGCAGGCATCTTGGAACGAATATAAAGTACTGCGGTAGATGAACATTAGCATCTTGCATAGGGCACAGCATGGTTCTGACAGTAGGGAGATGCAATACGATAGCGATTGACATGATCGCGTGAAGTCAACTGTTGTGAGGCGGTGGGTGCGCGATGCGATGGGGCAGAAATACTAAGGGGGGGAGGGGGTGCGAGGATGGAGGCAACATACATGTATTTATATTGAGGAGAGAGAACGAGGCCTGGGGAGAGGAGAGGTGAGTTTTCGAGAGCACGCTGGGAGAGGATGTGCGATGAAGTCGGTATCGAATGTGCACAGAGCCCGAGAGAGCGGGCAAACAGCAAGGTGACTGACGATGGGCTAATTGGTAGCCTTGATGCCTTGATGCCTTGATGCTGTACAGCCTGAAAGTCTTTGTGCCTTATCCGGGGGAACTTCGGGACAGCTGCATGCCACCCACTCTTGGCACGCTTGGCCGAATCAGGTGTATCATTCTCCATTGTCTCGACTATAATTATGACACCACACCATACACCATCATGATACCTATTCTTCACTTGGCATGATATCATCTGCCGCCAACTTCCTCATGAATGCCCCGTCTCTTCTGATTTTCATGCTGACTTCGTCAATGAGCATATCGTAGCCTGGGAGGCATAATCCCCGTATACACACTGTCGTTACAATCTTCGTTTGACTCCATTGTAGACAGCGAGCATGATCCTAAAGCCCTGTGCGGACAAATGTATATCGATGGAAGCACAAACTAGAAGCCGCCTGGCGACCATTAGCAGGGACGGTGGGCACCACTGCCTGGTTCTGGCCCTTGGGCTTCCTTGCCTTGAAATTGCAGCTGAGGAGACGGGTGATACGTAGGCTACCTAGCTCCATCAAAGATCTTATAGGTAGGCTATCAGACGCAGTTGAGAGGCTGAGGTCCCCATCAACTTTCCTTCTTCCTTGCAGAACATTCTCAGCACAGTATTATTATCATCGGGCCACTTCTGCTGTATATATGACGGACGTTTTATCCCGGACAGTACGCAATTGTCCGCTGATCGACAACCACGCCCACAACCTCCTCCGTCCTGAATTTCTGGACCTAGAACCATTCGAGTCTATTACTACCGAAGCTGAGGGGTCCGCTCTGAAGCATACATTCACCTCTTTGCCGCATCTGCGAGCAAGGAAGCAACTCCGACAGCTATACGGCTGCAAGCACACCGCCGACTGGGAAGACATTCTTAAAAGACGTGCTGAATTGCTTCAACATGAGCCTGATGCTTTATGGAAGAAATGTTTCCATGGAACCTATGCAATTCTGATGGATGACGGACTTGGCGCTCCTGAAAAAGTTCACCCCTTCAGTTGGCACGACCGCCTAACAGAGGCACCAACTAAACGTATTCTTCGGATTGAAGCAGTTGCTGAGCACATTATACAAGACCTTTTGTGCAATGCCAGCGAAAGGAACCTCGAGGCGCCCGAGTTTCTCATCGACACGTGGGCTCTCTTCACGGATCGCTTAGAGGCCGAGATCATGACTGCTACCAAAGATCCAGATGTTATAGCTTTCAAGTCCGTCGTATGCTACCGCACTGGTCTTGATGTTGAGCCAGACTACAATGAGTGCTTGCTGAACATCGGCAAGCCCTTTGAGCACTATATTGTACGCTGTATCCGAAAGAGAAAATTCAGGATACAAAGAAAGATTGTAAACGATTTCGTCGTCTTGAAGCTACTCGAGATCATCTCGGAACAAGCACCGTACGGCCAGCTGACGAAACCAGTACAATTCCACACAGGGCTGGGTGATGCCGACATCAGTCTGCTGAGGTCAAATCCTGCATTTCTACAACCTCTCATTGAGCAGTACCCCAACATACCATTCGTACTCCTCCATTCCGCCTATCCCTATACTCGTGAGGCTGGGTGGTTGTCCACTGTCTATAAAAATTGTTTCTTAGATCTGGGTCTGGTTTTCCCGATGGTCAGTCGAGATGGTCAGATATCCATTCTACACCAGGCCTTGGAAGTCGTTCCTGGATCGAAGTTGCTGTATTCGACCGACGGACATTGGTTCCCAGAGACTTTTTGGCTAGCGAACATGCAATTTCGTGAGGCTTTGGAGGTGGTACGAACCTTGACCCGAATCGAAGTAATATACAATCAGACTCTCTACTGACGGCATTGTACAGGTCTTGCTCGCTAATGTAAATTCAGGACTTTTAGACATTTTCGAAGCTATAACCTTGGCTATGGATATCCTGTTCAACAACAGTAATACTTTATATGACCTTCAATACCAAGTAGACCTTCAGGATCGCGTAAGAAGCCTGCCACAAGCACTAACGCTACAACCAAAGCTGCGCAAGGAGAGTTTTAGAGTCAACATAATGGACAGGTTTCTCAAGAAACACGCCAGCATTAAGTTTGTCTACGTCCAATGGCTAGATTATATGGGCACGATGCGAATGCGGGTCCTTCCCGTCGCTTCGTTCGAACATCTTGTTAGATCTGATGGCAGGATCGGCATCTCACTGGGTCATACTGGAACGCTGCAGAACGATGAGATGACCCCAACTGTCAATAAGATTGACCAGATATATGTTGAGCCTGACCTATCTACGTTGCGCCGCTGTCATAACAAAGACCCACTATCCGCAGCTATGGTTCTTGGTTTCTGGCGAGATTGTGACGGTAACCCCGTCAAGAAATGCCCTCGGACTGGCTTACAAACGATCGTGGACAGTCTATCAGTCAGATATGCAATAAGTCTATTCATCAGCTTTAAGATAGAGGCCACATTGCTCAGGCGTACCAATGACGCAAACGACCCGTTCGAACCGATCACAACAACTCATGCCTGGAGTACGCTGTCCTCTGAGCAGTGGCTTGCGATACCTCTCCTCGCCGAGATCGCGGAGAATCTGTCCGATCTTGACATCGGAGTGCAACAATTCCACGCTAAGGCTGGTCGAGGTCAATTCGAGTTTGTGCTTGAGCCTTTGCCCCCCCTGGCAGCCATCGATGCTTTGATCCAGGCCCGCCTTGTGATACATCAGATCGCATCTACACACAACCTACGAGCCACTCTCTATCCGTCGCCTCTTCCTGGTATCAGGACCGCAGCACATGCGCATATCTCCATGACGCCGACATATGATGAACTACGATTCTGGGTCGGCGGTGTTCTGAATCATATAGATGCCCTATGCGCAATTACAATGCCTGAGGAAGTCAGCTACCGTCGAGCCGTGGATAATCAATGGACTGGTGGTACCTGGGTGTCATGGGGTACCCAGAATTGTGAAACCCCGCTTCGACGTGTGGACAAGGGTAGATGGGAAGTCAGATGCATAGACGGTATGGCGAACATGTATCTGGCAGTATCAGCCATACTCGGAGCTGGCTTGCTTGGCCTGATGTATGCCCAGTCTACAGAGGACCTGCCACGAGACTGTTCTAGTGAGTTTCGCTAGGGTCATCCTGCAATATTCCCTAAACTGACTGCCAATTGCAGGTAATCCGAGTCAATTGTCGGCTGAGCAACTTAAAAGTTACAACATTCATAAAAAGATGCCAGTGGACATTCGTGAGGCCCACAGAGCTCTCGAGGACGATACAGACCTGAGAGAGGCTTTGCCAGCGCCATTCACCGCAGACTATCTGGCAATGAAGAAGGTCGAGCTGAAGCTCCTCGCTGATATGACTGAAGAGAACAGAAGAGTATGGATGATCGAGCGCTACTAGCAGCGGCTAGTGTTGGGCCCTGAGACCATCAAGTACACGGGTGCTTATACAGCAGTTGACACATTGATGCTCAATGAAGACCCTAAATCTCCTATTCGTTGTGACTGCGATTCAAACCATATTTGATTGCATTGAAATCTATTTGCTGCAGGGGAAGTACAGAAAAACATTGCGTTCTTGACTCATTCATAATCGAACTAATCTCTTGCTCCATCACAACTAATACTCTCTGATTCAGAACGATCCAGCCGTTTCACAGCGCTGGATTCACACCTGTAAACGAAATAGGGCACCAGACAGAGAGTAAAGACGGTCCAGAATGTCTGCCTCGGTCTATTGATGGACTGTTATGGAGGAACCCAGGTCCAAGTTGCAGGCAGCCTAAAGGTTTGTAGGACGCCCGACAACAGCCCCTATATGCCTATGAAGTACTCCAAGACATGATCATTCTATTCAGTTTGACATGACGCGACATATTCCATTTCTTCAATTAGCTAGAAGTCTCATCTTGCAGCATAGTTGTGATACTGAGTGCTTATTTGACGCATAGCGACCTTATCATATCCAGGTCAGGTCTCATTTCAAACCCCATCGTTACTTACAGCAAATCAGTCCATTGAAGCTTCAATGCTAATCAGAGATATGGTCTGGCCATTGAAGACGGGAAGTGAACATAGCATTGGACATAGGCTCCAAGCGCCGTGTTGCTAAAGTCAAGCTCAATTAAGCAATAGTCAGTCGACATGGCGCTTGAGCATGCAGGATCTAAAGTTGTCTGGTGACCAGCACAAACGCCCCGGTGTTCGCTGTGAGTGTCATTGAGACGGTTGGGTGGTTTTTATGGCAAGCTTGTGATAATCACAAGCCATTGGCACAATTGCCTGGTGCTCGTTTCTCCATGCATTTTCTATACATTTGGTTCTAGTGCCCCTGTTCCTGAGTAGAAATAATGGAATAGCTCTGAAATATATTGTCCTGAGCGGTTGATCAATCGTGTTCGGGTATTACAAGCTTTGGGGTTGAGACAGTGACTCTCGGTGTACTCCTCGGTAAGGTCCTAGTTGTGCAGCAGAATGGAACTTCAAGAGTGGTATGCAGCATGTGGTTCCTATTGTTCAGAGGGAAAGCAACTAATATAACGTCATTCAGGCTAAGTCCAGAAATGATGTGAATATCTAAACATCAGAGAAAGGTCTGGCCGGGTGACTATTCGCGTGCGGTTGGTAAACCATGCTGGATGCAGAATCCGGGGAAACCCTTGGGCGAACTAAATACGCCTCTCGCACGTGTCGACTAATGGGACCACGAGGACTACACTGTTCGGTAGAACTGTAAATGGTCAAATGCATGCATAGACTACTTCTCGCGTCAAAATTTAGGTTGGCTCGTCGTTATGATCGCAACATGGGACGTCTAGACTTTCAGCTTCCACAGCAACTTCAATCGAGCCATCAGACCAACACAGCTCGATAGTGCAAAGGCGCCTGCAGCCATAGCTATGGCTGCATATATCGCTAGCATCCCAGCTTGCATTGCCTCATTCACTTTGTATCATGACAATATTGGCTTAGCCTGCTCGGCCATATCACCATCAGTAGCAGCATGTGGTTTTGGAAAAAGCGATATAAAACGCTCGAGATCCTTTCCGTAGAAGAACAGTATCCAGCAAATACCTTCCAGATAACTTTCCAGACATAATACTCAAGCGGGCTCCTAGTCAACAAACGAAACTCAAAATGAAGTTCGCAACTGTGCTCTCCCTCGGCCTTGTCGGCACTGCTTTTGCCTTTCCCAGCACTCCCGTCAAGCGCGAGGCATCCCTTGTGCAGCGGGACTATCCTACCATATCTTCTGCAATCGCTGATATCCAGAGCAAGACATCTGCCCTGGATACTCAGGTCAAGAACTACCAGACAACCGCCAACAGCGCCGCGGTCCAGTCTGCATCCGACAACGTCCTCGCTTCAATCAACAACGGCAATAGCAAGATTGCCGCCGGCACCAGTGTCACTCTGGCAGAAGCTTACCAGATTGGGAACCAGGTCGATGGCTTGACAAAGGTATATCAACTCACCATACATAGGAGATGGGAGAATTGCGGCTAACCGGGACATAAAGGTTGTCAACGGGACCGTCGACGACGCGATCGCGAAGAAGGCAACATTTGTCAAGAACAAGGATGGCGGCAAAGTGTACAAGGCATTCAATGACCAGAAAGCCGCTGCCACCAAGCTGGGAGCGACCATAAAATCCAAGGTGCCTGATTCGGCGAAGAACCTGGCCGACCAGAAAACTAAGGCCATCGTTGATGCGCTCAACCGTGGTGTTTCTGCTTTCCAGGATCAAGCCAATGCTTAGAGTATTTGTCTTGTGTCTGTCTCTGATGACAGTGGACATCTGGTCTAGGAATCATCACAGGAACGAGCTGAGGAGATTGGTGGACGTGTGGTTCGGATGGGTTTAAAGACCAAGCTTGAGATCTATGTTCTATGTATTTAGGTACGAGTTCTAAATCCAGGTGTATCGACCATAGTACGCATGAATGTTGCGGTTTTCGATTGGTTCTGTGCTTTGAGCCTTTGCTTGGCGGTGATGCCGGCTCGATCAGTGACTGGGGTTGCCTTCATTATGTTGTCAAATTCGTCGTCATCGTCTCCCCCGGACCCTGCGTCTTCATCCTCATCCTCGTCCTCATTCCCGGTCCCGGCCTCATAGTTTTTGGTAGTAGTATGTATTGGTTGTAATATGCGCTCCGGCCTGTGTCCGCTGTCCGCGCCCGGGTTTGTAAAAGGCTTGGCCGCCAGGACCCGACGCCGGAGCTCGGCCATCTCTTCTTCGTCCTCCGAATCTGAAGGGGGTAGCCCGTACGGATCTGTTTGGTCATCCTCCTCCCCATCACTTTCCTCTGCGTCGTTATCGTTGTTCTTGCTCTTCTTGTTACCAACTTCCTCGCCGTCGACGTCATCATCATCATCGACATCATCATCTGACTCCAAAGGTGCCCTTCGATTCATATTTCCACCACTCCATTCATCTCCTCCAGCATTCGCAGCTTTGTCAGCCCGGCTTTCTGAATACTCCCTCTCGATCTTTTCGAGCCATACCTCCTCGGTCTTCTTAATTTCATCCTCATTCTCGCATGCTGCGTATCTTTTAAGTAGTTGAGAATTGATGTCCAAGAACGCCTCTCCATATGAGAAGGTCGAAAGGACATGTTCTGCCCAGTCTGCGTGTCCACATATATAGAAACACGCTGCTAGCGCTTCGACACAGTTGAGTCGCCACGGGCGGCCATAGTTTGTAGGGTTGGCAGCGATGAGATATGGTAGTAGACGCTCGCATTTACCACCGATGCGACCAAATGGAACCTCCTCGATGCGGTTCCATGAGGCCTCAACAACGGCAGCGCCGTATTGCTCCAGAAGGTCCTTGTCTGCTCGTGATACAACTGTCTTGCCCTTGGGTCTAGATTATGCGATTAGCGTTGTATTAGACGAGCGGCGTATCATAGTCCAGCTCACGATATCACTACGCCAGCGTGCTTTTGACCAACATGTAGCTCGCGCATCAGTCCGAGTCGCATTAGCCGCTTCCCTGAACAGCGCTTCTGGTCGCAATGGCCCAGATCCCAACATGCCGCCTTGTAGGGTGGTCTTGAGCTTTGCCCCTCGTCATCATTTCCGTTGTCGCGGGGCGGAATCCTTGAACGGGGTGCGTTATTGTATCTGCGGCCACTGCGGGGATTGAAGTTGTCCTTCTTATGTCGGACCATTGTACGTTGATATGACAATTTAGGATAGTTGATGGGATAGAGGTGCGAAATGTCTAGATATATAGATCACAGACGAAAATACGTTGTTTCGAATGCAAATATCGTCGATGAGGTTTGGTGATAATTTAGATGAATTGTATGGAGGATGCATGCCCGGCCCCGCCTCAGCCACACCTGCGACTAAGCCGTCACAACCCCACTGGCCCAGGCAAACCAGCTTTCACTCGCAATTCGCAGTGGAAACATAATCAAGCTCGAGGACGACGATAAATCTGGCTTCAGAGCCTTGATATCATCCGGGATTTCACCGTGGAGGCAGCATCAGCACGAATGGCCGCCAGGGACCGCTTCGGCGGTTTCGGTGAGCCTGCGACTACTCCTCTCCAGCGGTATATCTGTATGTTTAGAGTGGTCATCTATTGATGCTATCGGAATGTTACAGGGTACTGATATGGCTATAGTAAATGCCTGCGACCCTCAGAACTTCGAACCGAACCTTGCGCTCAACCTCGAAATTGCGGACACGATCAATGCGAAGAAAGGCAATGCGTATAGTCTACCCTCGGCCGCTGTAAGGACACATAACTCACTGCATGAGCAGGCCCCGGGAAGCTGCAGTTGCCATTGTGCACTATATTAACCACCGAAACCCTAATGTCTCTATGCTGGCGCTCAACGTAAGCTTCCCAGGATGTAAGGCATCGCATATCAGGTACTAAATATCTGTCCTAGCTACTTGACATCTGCGTAAAGAATTGCGGATACCCATTCCATCTCCAAATTAGCACCAAAGAGTTTCTCAATGAACTGGTGAGGCGGTTTCCTGAGCGGCCGCCGATGCATGCGACTCGTAGTCAACAAAAGATACTGGAGTTGATAGAAGAATGGCGGCAGACTATATGCCAGACCTCGCGGTACAAAGAGGACCTGGGCTTCATTCGGGACATGCACCGACTTCTCAGCTACAAGGGATACGCATTTCCGGCCGTAAGACGTGAAGATGCTGCGGTCTTAAATCCCAGCGATGTATGTTTGGTGCCTTGAGATTGGTAAATCCAGAAAACTGACGGATGCAACAGAATCTTCGGTCTGCAGAGGAAATGGAAGAAGAAGAGAAAGCTGCTCAATCTGCGAAGTTACAGGAACTTATTCGAAGAGGAGGGCCTCACGATTTACAGGAAGCTAATAAGCTTATGAAAGTAATGGCTGGATTCGACACACGAAATAAGACAGACTACAGGGCGAAGGCAGCTGAGGAAGTTGGGAAAATTCAACAGAAGGCAAAGCTACTAGAGGAGATGCTACAAGGCTACAAGCCAGGAGACGAGATTAAAGAAGGAGACGTCTTCCAGGTCAGTCTATTGCATAGACCTAGCGATGTTGTACACTGACGGAATCAGGAATTGGCAAGTGCGCTACAAAATGCTCATCCCAAGATTAAGAAGATGTGTGAGGAGGAATCAGAAGATCAAGAGGCTGTTGCCAAGCTTCTGGAAATTAATGACAGTATTAATCGGACAATAGAGAGATACCGACTGATCAAAAAGGGCGATATCGAAGCCGCTTCAAGAATCCCCAAGGGTACATTGGGGACAAGTGGAGCTGGGGTCCAGAAGGGTCCTGACAATGAGTTATCTTTGATTGACTTCGGTGGTCCTGATGATATAGCCCCGACTGAAGATAACTCTACCGCGGCACCGCCTGCTCCACCCCCGAAAGGGAACGCCCTTGAAGACGACCTGCTTGGCTTGTCCATTGGCGGAGGAGGGACTTACGGTCAAACTGGTGGGATCTCCTTGGGAATGAGTACCAATAATGGAGCAGCAAATCCAACCTCATCATTCCAACAGCAAACATATCAGCCATCTCAGTCACAGGCGAACCACGGCCCCCCAATCGGTTTCATGAGTAATGGCGCTGCGTCTCAGACCTTTACAGCTTCACAACCTTTCTTTCCAACGCAGAATCAACAGATACCAACAACGCAGCACGTTTCCAAAGCGTCTGATCCCTTCGCTGCACTCACATCACCAAGTACACGACAGTCGTCTCCATTCCAGTTCCATCAATCGGCCACTCCTATACCTCAGACAGCTAACAGCAACTCCCTGCTTGACATCGACACCGGAGCTGCATTAACACAGACGCAACCAACGCCCGCAGCAGGGACAGACGATGAGTGGACATTTTCATCCGCGCTCCCAGATACTTCATCGGAGATTGTTGTGACGAGTACCAGTGTGAATATTACGTTTCACGTGTCTCGCCAATCTGATGATGTGATTCTAATCAATTCACGAGCATCAAACAATACACCCCAGCCTGTATCGGACTTCACGTTCCAGCTTGCCGTAACAAAGGTATGTTAGCAAGAACTTATAAAACAATATCAGCTAAAAGGATGCAGGGGTATACACTAAAGCTCGAGCCGCAATCGTCACGAATGCTCAGTCCTTCACAAAGTAATGGAATAACACAAACCATTCGTTTGCATGGCGTCGAACAGGGTAGAGGAAATGCAGTCAAGATTCGCTGGAAAGTGAGCTACCTTGTGGGTGGTGTACAAAGGAAGGATGAATCGGGCGAGATATCGAATTTGGGTGTAGCATGAAGTGAGTGCGTGCTCTAGCGATAAGAGGCTTGGAGCTATATGTTGTCAGGCCACGAGCAATGGAAGAGACATTTTAAGCATGGCATGACAAAATACTTGGCCAGTAGACAGACTGTTGTGATTTTCAGAGGCGACCAGGACAGTCTTAAATGTCCTAAACTCCACTTGAACTGTGTGTACCTGAATCTTGAGGCATCAAGCTAGTATATCCCAACAGGGTTAAAGGGTCTTGGCGCCCGCACTTTCAATTTCGCTCGCGGGCGTGGATGCAAGCGAAACGTCGAACGTCGAATTCAAAGCTACATCTACATTCGCCAAATCGACAACCACAACCGTCGCCATGGCCAGTATGTGCAGCAAATCGAAAGTTCTCACCACAGTTCTAACGAATATAGAATCAAAGAACTCATCTCAACACAATCAGTCCAAGAAGGCTCACCGTAACGGGTATGCAGCGCCCTTGAAGAATTACAGCGCGCCGGCAGTCATACGACTGACATTATCTATGCAGTATCAAGAAGCCAATTACCCATCGCTATCCTTCGCTTAAGGGAACTGACCCCAAGTTCCGAAGAAACCACAGACATGCTCTTCATGGCACCATGAAGGCTCTTGTATGTCCTTCCACTTGGCAGCAACACAAGAACACAGACTAACAAGCTCGCTCAACAGAAGGAGGCTAAGGAAGGCAAACGCGACGCGGTTTAAGAGGTCTCATGGTAAACATTGAGGGGAGTGCACATTATATGGGTTGAGCAGCGATGATTGGCGTCATTAGGCATAACCACTATCAGTGAAGATTCACTATGAAAGTTTGCAAGTATTCACAAGCAACTGGAAGGCCTTCTAGACCAGTGCCATTCCGCGTCTATTCAATGAGACCCTTGGAAATGACAACTCCAGATTCGATGGTGACAAGCTGACGTGATGCTGGTAGATGAGATAGGTGCTCAGCTAAATAGGACCTCAAAGTGACGGCATTCTGTGTACAGCACCGAGTTATTCTCTATGTTCGGTGACTGAAGGAGTAATTATGCCAATAGCGAACGCCTTCGTATTACCAAACACCTCACCTGGTTCAAACCACCAGGTAGTCGTGCATGAAACGTTAGGAAACATGTAAAAACACTGTATGTAAGTATAATCCCACATGTTATGCATTTCCATACTCTTGTCTCTGCGCAACCGTATTATAGTGAACTACTAGTTCACCATCCCAATCAAGTGAACAAACCCCGCCCTTGAGGTGACTTTTCTTGCTCTATCATGCTTTCATTTCGCCGATTTCTTCTCCGTGGCCTGACTTGCTCTTTCCTTTCCGTCTCCCTCTCGATCTGGCAGTTGCACTAAAGAGCTTCTACCATTCGTGATACGCATGCCTACGCTCCTCGTGGATACGATAGCGTGACATTATGGCCGATCAGCTACGACGACTGGTAAAGAATCCAACTCGCAACAAGCATCCTACCCAGCCTCAGGATGGCGACAAAGTCAGCGATTCCGGCTCTTCATTCAGTCCTGCATTCTCGCCTCTCCCCGCCCCTCCACGCGTACGACCGACATTTGGCAGCCGCCTCTCAAGCATGCTTGGGAGCAAGAATGACAGCGCTCCTAATAACTCATTCGCGGAGGATCTCAATTTTTCGTTCTCGCCGCCTGTAGATGAGTTTGCAAGAATCGACCCTATGGACCTGATTGAGGATATCATGTCCATACTTTTCACAGAAATCTCAAAGCCATTGTCACCCAAATACAACGGCTCCTTGTTCAAGATTTTTGAATCATTCCGGAACATGAAGGTGGAGAATGATAAATTTAAAGCTCTGATCGCGGAACTGCAAACCCAGCTCAAGGAGTCGAATCGGCTAAGACAAGTGGCCGAGAACCAGTACGCAGAAGAAGAAGATGGATTCAAGAGAGAAATCAAGCGTTTGGAGCTCATTATTTGCAATGGACCTCAAGCTGGAGGTATATCCGGGGTCATGCACGCTCGCCAAAACAGTGTCATCGATCGAACACGGAAGCACAGATACTTGGCACTTGAAGCTGAAACATTGCCCTTTGGAGAAGATGATTCCTGCGACAGTAGTCAGGACAGGAAGGGTCGACAAAGTAAGTACGGGGTGCTGTCGACACTGGCGCTGCTAGACAGGAGCACTTGCGATCCAGGCAGCGTCGCTAATACAGGTATAGCATCAGTGCGGGGATCTCACGCATCCGTTGCAGGTGAGGTAGAACTATCTCGTCGATTCTCAACATTCAGAGCTCCTGCCGACCCTACATTCATCGTCGGAACACTACCAACTTATAAGTCCACTAATCCACTCGTGGAACTGGACCAGGTACATCTACTCGAAAAGGCTGTGAACAAGGCCGATGATGACGGATTCAGTTCCGACGGTGACTTGCTCCCGGACGAGATTGCCGAACGTAATCTAGACATGACTCCGCAGCAGGCTCAGTTGGCGGAAAAGTTAGCCATCAGTGAGCTTGCATCGCTTATAGCCCGACGGAAAGATCTGCCAGTAGATCAGATCATCTCCACCATGCTTGAGTTTCTCGAAAACGGGGTATTGGGCAGTGAGAATGGGAACGCGGATGTCGCCAAAACATTTCGAGGATCAGGCGGCAGATATGACAATCGGTCCACCAGCAGTTTTCAGACGCAACGCAGTCGGCCATTCTCGTTTATCGCAGGGGATGATGATAATGGCTTGCATGCGCGCCCGCATCGCGTGAGCGGACCAGGATGGCTGGTTCCAAATGCACGGCGCACTCCAACCATCTCGGAACACCCAGGCCCTGTGCAGGAAGAGACGATTGAAGCTCCTTCTTTGAGCCCAGGGAGGCCTCTTCTTATATCGGAAAAGTCCAAGATGCCCAGTCCTGCCGGTACGAGCCACACCAGCTCCCGAAGAGCGAGCCCCGGATCTTCCCCTGCACAGACGTCTAGTTCCATGAACTCTTTCAGCAGACAAGAATCATACCAAAGTTCAATCAAGAGCACTGTAACGACGATGCGTCATGGATCTACGAACGAGTCGAGAAGAAGCTCGAATAGCGGACACAGTGACTTGAGCTATACTCGCCTTCCAGAGAAACGTGCTAATCTGACAGGCAATGCCGCCGCGCTGGCTGCAGCTCGAGCGGCCGGTAGAAGCAGTAGTGGCGGGGCCAATGGCAAGCACAAGGACAAGCATGGTGAGAATCAGCAGCCGCCAAGAAGCGAGCAGCCACGGCACAAGCACCGAAGCAGCATTAGTAGGTATGAAACACTGTATTCCGCATCACTGATGGACGATGAGAGTGAAGAGCACATGCAAGATTGAAGACGGTGAAGTTCTGACACGCGAAAACATGGCAGGGTTGTGGAAAAGTTGCGACGACGATATAGCGACAACAACGAAGTGAAAGTTGATGCTGGGGCGGATGATGGGGGAGAAGCAAAGTCAGAGCACTCGAAATGATTGTGTCTGGATGGAGCGAAGCGTCCGTATGGGGGGCGAAGTATTGGATGAAAGCTGGGAGTTTCCTGAAAGGTTTGTGAGTGCCGAAGGAATATTCGTGGGGTGAAACGAAAGAGGCATTATAAGCAGGGACACGTTATACAACGAGGGTTCACTGTGTGGTGTTCGGGGACCAAGGATGGCCAATTTAGTGAGCAGGCGTGTAGTGTGTCAATAATTGCCATGACAGCTTCCATTAAGGCAGGCGACTCGATGGGGAAATATGATTACGAGCGCGAAGAAGTGGATCTTGACTCGTACCTGATGCTGCCTGACTGTGACGCCACATTTGCCACCGGTATGTTACCATCCACCGCAAGGACGGCGGGTATCATGACAAGTCAGGCCAAGGACAGGGTGTGCAACAGTATAGAGCTCTAGAGTCATAGCTGCATCGAACATTCGAAGCCGACAAGGAGTACGCGTCCCTGAGAGAAGAAAGAAAGACAACGATGAAAGATCTACACTGCTACCCAGGCCTAGACCTGTGGATGTTAAGTCGGAGCGACCTGAATGGATGGATAGGTAGAAGAGAAGGAGATTGCGCCACAGGAGTTTGCCACCTACTCATGCACTAGCCACAGAACACGTACGCCACACTCACACACACATATCCGCGCTAAACTGACCCGCCGTGATGGTGAGGGATGATGATGGCGGTTGTGATTGGGATGTTTGGGGGTGGTCGGTTACAAAGTCCAAAACGTCCAACAACCCCCTGCAATAAAATATGCTTGTTCTCTCTCTCTCCCTCTCTCTCTTCTTGACCCCGTGCTGGATGAGTAAATAGTATTATTGTATTGTATTGTATTGTATGTTTGTTTTGTTCTAGATGGATGGACAGGCGTTTCTCGACCGTTTGATCGGCGTAGTAGTTAGTAGTACTGGATGGAGCGGCGGACGATGCCGAAAGGAAACGGCTTCTGCGTGGGGAGAGAGACACACATGCATACATACATACAGACATACACTATTATTGAAAACACTATTATTGAATTCTGGAGGGGAAAGGTAAAACGTCTAGTGTATACACAAGACAGTATACAGTTGGTGTGTGTGTGTGCAGCAAGCAGCCTCAGCGTGTTTGAATCTCAGTTGTGTTGGTTTTTTTTCTAGAAGCGAAATGAAGAGTTCATTTTACGTTTGATTGCTAGCCGAGCGAATGGAGAGGGGCGGATTTCCAAACAATAAAAAAGGGCTGAGATTTCAATGTCGGATCCAGACAAAACAGATATGGCGGCCGGCCGGACGTCAGACAGCGAGGAGGATTGGCTGCCGTTGTTCCTCCCTGGCCCCCGCCGCCGCTCGCTCGCTTGAAGAGACTTTTGTTTATTTTATTTTATTTTATTTTGATCTTATACGACGCAGAGATTGATTGTCAAAAGGTTCTTCTTCGTCTGTCAGACCACCTCACTCTATGGATGACGTACGAGGAGGAGGGCAAGGTTATTATCATTCCACGTGCACGCACGCACGTGGGATCCGAACGTTCAAACAAACTCTACTCGATCGGTGGGTGGACGAGGCAGGCCCGGGCGCGTAAATGTAAAATGTAAAATGTAAATGTAAACGTAAATGTATATATCACACCCAAGATATACGCGCGCACAGAGCACACAGAGAAGTAGGGCGGATGGTGTGTGGGCCGGGAGTCGATTTCCAGCGCGGAGGAGAAGGCCGAGTTTGGAAGAAGGTCCTGCAATTTCTTCCGACGGGCGCACGTGCGTGTCTTCTGAGGGCGGCAGGTGTGGCGGTATGCAGGTTAGGTGTGGCGTTGGGTCTGAAAACGTCGCCCACTGGAAGATAAGGTAACTAGGTAGGTAAGTAGTAGGTAGCGTAGTGCAACAGACAGACGCATAGTAAGTAAGCGAAGGTGTTTTTTTTCTTTCTTTACGAGTAATAAAATACGTGGCGAAGAGGTGGAAAGGAGCCACAGGCAAGAAGAAGCGAGTGATGTGATGGGTGGGACACGGCACGGCAGCGGTTGCATGTGGCGCGCACGTCCAGTACATGCAGTAAAAGTAGTACGTAGATGGAGTCATGCTGGGGCATGGGCATGCGTAATTCTGGTGCTGCAGTCCGCGTGGCTAATGAAGAAGGAAGAAGGAAAGGAATTCGATGCGGATGCGTGTGCGTGTGCGATGCGACGGGATGCCACAGCGAATCCTCCCCAACTTTTAGCTAAAAAGCCAACCAAGGTCCCCCCGGTGTCAAGCCTCTTCTTCGGGGGGGCAGGCAGGCAGGGGATTTTAAAAGGTGTGGAGTGGACGGGATTTGGCTGTGTGTTGTTGTGACAGGATGCTACCTGCCTGTAGCCCTAGAGCCCGCGGTTTGGGTACATCGATATCCACCTATAATCCTATAAATCGCAGGGGCATTCTGTGGCGGTGCAGATTTCAACCCAAAACAACGGGCTGCTGACCCCGCCGGCTTGGGCGCTTCTGCTCCGTCTGCTGCTGCTGCTGCTGCTACTCCCCGGCGCAGTCACTCAACCACACCTACACTCACTCTCACACACTCACCTAGCGGCCCAGCAGCTGTCACTAGCCACCCATCCACCCACCCACCGGCCACGCTCCGATCTTCAACCTCCTGCCGAACGACGATCTCGACTACGAACGACTACGACCACGACCACAACCGCGACAACAACAGCAGCAACACCTTCACCATCACCCACATTCCTCACAACCCATACCGCCCGGCCAGCTCACTCTCCCGCTCCGTGTTGCAGTGGCGTTTGTGTCGCACGTCTTCTACGTGACAAGCGAATATGTGCAGAGGCCAGTACTGGGTCCTCGCGTCCTCTCTCTCTCTCTCTCTCTCTCTCTCTCTCTCTCTCTCTCTCTCTCTCTCTCTCTCTCGCCTTGACGGCATTCCTCTCTTCTTCTGATCTCATTCTCTCTCTATGGACTGTACAAACGCCGAGATGATGACCGGGGAGGGGGGGGGGAGGCAGGACCTGAGGGTTTCCTTCTTAGCGATATTCTTGTCTTCCCTTCTGCCGCCTTCCTTGCTCTACTACTGTACAGTAATTAATTACTTGACTGGAGTCCGTCATTATTACCACCATCGAATTGTCTTCTTGCCCTCCCCCAAGTACATACTACTACTACTACCTTACTGTTCATTTCTACCGCCTCAGGCTTACATACTACTCCTCCTACTACTAACTACTACTCGCCCACTAATACTCACTTTCAGGCCACGGAGGCCCGCTTTTCGAGCCCCATCCAATACTATCTACTATACCTAGCTGGTATCTAGGTAGTCTTTTCCAAACTACACCATTTCTCGTGCGCTGTCAACTTGGACTGCTCTCTGCACCCGAGTCGAGTCGAGTCTGTCTGCTCTCATCTGCCTCTGCTGCTACTACTACTACTTCTACTACTGCTGCTGCTGCTGCTGGGTTCTGTACCTACCTATCTATACCCACTATTCTTATTTTTATTATTAATTATACCCCCCCCCTCCCCTCCCCCCTCCCCGGCCTACTACTTACTCAACTGTGGCCCACGCGCCGCTGCTCTCTCTCTCTACTGTGGCTTGACCTTGACACCTTAACCTTACTCTCTGTCCCTCGTTCATCTTCATGTTTCACTCTCGACCTCGTCCTCTATCTTGCTTCACTATTCCTTTCTCTTGCTCCCCATGCCATCTGCTCTCTTCTCAACCCGCTGAGTTTGTTTTTGCATAGTCATGTTCAGCAATCGGTACGTCCTAATCACTTCCTCTACTGTGCCTCATTGTTCAGCCTCACCGGCGCTAGCAGCACCCTTCGATGCGCACACTTCACCCTTCAATCCATATATACCTACTCCGTCAATACCTAACTTCTCTCTCAGAACAACGCGAAAACCGAATGAGCAGCTTCTCGCCGATTTCAAGTCAAACTATGGCGGAAGCCTGGCTGCTGCCAGTCGGCACTCAAATCCCACTCAGCCCACCGCCGGCACCTCTCTGACCGATGCGCTCGATGTAGCAGTCCATTTCCACAATAGGTACCACTCCCAAAACTTGCTTTCTGATTTCTGCACCTCGGATCCACATTAAACTGTCTTATACTCTATGTTCGCATCTTCTTCAACTTTTGCGTCCCTCAGCTCGCATTTTCTTTTTTATGCACATGCCTCATGGATTCCCTTGACTCCCATCAAGGCACGCTAACGCCCGTGGACAGGCATCCTGATGACCTGGACGACTTCAAGGACAGTGATCCTACGCCCAAAGCAGGCGACTGGGCTACTCAAACTCCTGGGCCTAGTTTCCTTGATCCAACAAGCGCCGCTTTCCACGACCTCGAGCATCAGCGTTCCGTAATCTTCACTCCAACTCCAGGGGGAACGACGAGACACCATATGATCGCCGGTGACTTGTCAATGCCCACACCGGGTGGCAACTTCAACTATATGCAGTTCCACACCCCGTCATCCATGTCCAGTGGCAGCGACCCAACACTACAGCTTCAAGGACCTCAAGTCACTACTCACAACATGCACGACTTTGCCCACCCAACAGCTTTTGCTTCACACATGTTTCATGACCCATTTCATGCCGAGATTGGTACCATTCAACACAGTGCCATGCAACATGGCATGCCTCCGCAACAGACCTTTGCACCACACGAGTTCTACCATCACCCCACGGCATACGAGCAAATACCGCAGACCATTGAAGAATCGCCTCTCGAAAGCATGCACGGAGATATCGACATGTCAGAACACTCGCCAGTAATGACTTTTCACCCACCACAGTTTGGTGTTCAAGTTCAGCAGAATCGCCCTGAATCGTTAATACAGCAGTGAGTTCAATTGCAGTTGCATGGCGTCTCGTCCCATCAAAGCTTACCATCTGCAGGTTCCGATGGCGCGTCAGTCTCAACGCCCCGACAGCAATGATCAAGTCCGCAGATGAAATCCCCATTACATATCTCAACAAAGGTCAGGCCTACTCCGTCAGGATCAAGGACTCGACACCCGGCCAAGCTTCCTCGGTCCCAAACAGATATCGAACCTTCATCCGCGTCTCATATGAGGATGAACAGCAGCGACAGAGACCTGGGTCATGCTGGCAGCTCTGGAAGGAGGGACGTGGTACGAGTGAGGCGCATCAACGAGGGGGACGCCTGCAGGCTGTCGAGTTTGTAGAATCAACACAGGCTGGAGGAGCTGAGATTACCGGTCGCCCAAGCATCGAACTCGAGTCGTCATCCTTTGACGGATTCTGTGTAAACTGGACCGCCGTCCCCAATCAGAACCCAGAATGCTCCGTCGCCGTGAGGTTCAACTTTCTCTCCACTGATTTCAGCCACTCCAAAGGTGTCAAGGGCATTCCGGTACGGCTCTGTGCAAAGACTGAGCTTCTGAGCAGCCAGCAGCCGCAGGCAGATACTGGCGAATTCGCCAATCAGGAACTGGCTTTTTGCAAAGTCAAGCTTTTTCGTGACCATGGCGCCGAACGGAAGCTTACAAACGACACGTCTCATACCAGGAAACAGATTGAAAAACTCCTGCAGCAGATCCAGCAAATGGAAGCAGGTATTAAGGACCCGGGAAAGCGGAGACGTAGTGGCACCGTGGTCAAGCCGCCCGTCAGCCAGAAGCCAGGCAAGGTTCCGAAGCATCGAAGGACTTGGTCTGCAACAGACGGTGCTTCCGGATCTGCCGAGGAAGACTTACGGGCCAAGCTCAAGGGCTTCCAGGACATGGAGAGCTCGACTTTTCCGGAAACACTATTCTATCTCAAGGGCGAAGAATTGGACGATCCGGACCTGCACCCAGTCCAACTTCCCGGAATGCTACAAGATATCGCCAAGGCGGAAATGACAGACGCAGCAAACTGGGACAAGCAAAGCGTTGCTGAGAATTCCTCTGTCGTATCGCCCAGTCCGAGCTCCATGTCTCTCAACTCTAGTGGCGAGAGACGAGAGACGTCATTGCATCAAGCCGTGCCGTTCTCGCGCGTCTCTTCCAACGAGTGGCGTAATTTACCAGGGCAGACTGCAACCGGTGACATGGTGCCAGGCGTCAAGCAGCATCTGAGTCCGCCAAGTCTACCATTGAAACTACCAAAATCAGACAGTCATCAAGACATGATCGAAGCCGTTGATGTAGATCCAGATTACCAGCCTCCTCCCGAACGAGCTATCAAGCCTGGTAAGTGACATGGCAGGCCTTTTTCTGGATGCTTGCTGACAAGTCTAGTTGCTTGCTTTTTCGTTCGGCCCACGATTGCTGGGGATAGATCCGAAGACGATTACTACTACCGCGCAGTATACCTCATGCAACACACGCTTATGGATCTTGTCAGAGGAATTGCGGGCAAACTCAACATCGAACCGACACTGGTCGTGGAGACTATCCGCATCCATCCTGACAAGGGTTTCAAGATCTACCTTGACGACGAGGCTGTACGCGAAATACCGGAAGGTCAGGATATGCTTGCAGAGTTCCACCCGACTGGAGATCAGGCTCCCGTGAAGCGGGAATGGGAAGCAGGTGCATCAGATGTCCAGGTCGACGGCGACGTCACGACGACCAAAAACGTTACGACGTCCGGTTACGCACTACACCTTCGCTACTGAAAGACTCATCACGTTGAGCAAAACTGCACGCACGGCGGAATAACGAACTGTAATGACATGGCCTTTTTTTCCATTTTGTCTATCCCAAGCGGAACTAGCACCGAGCGTCCATTCTTGAGGGGCCCCTTTCGCTCGGCGTTTCCGGAATAACTTTCTACGGCTTATGATGGGCGGAAATGCCATTTTTGATACCCCCCTTCATCCGCCATATCACCGGGAGACTTTGTGGCGAGTGTAACTTCTGACACCTACACACACACACATACACTCATATATCTCACGTACACTCTCGCACACATACCCACTCACATACTCACACACTCTCACGCACACGGCCTTTTCCGATCCCGCTTGGCTTCATGGGATCGGTGCGCCGATTTTGGCTAAAATTGTACCAGCATATGACGATATCTTCTTCTCCCATTAATTTCCACAGTTTTTTTCGATTCTCCACGTTAGCGGTAGAGAGAGCCTCAGATCATTTGTAGCATACACAGACAGGCCTTTGTAGGGCTAGCAGCGGGCATGTAGGACGCAAGCAAAGTAAGCAAAGCGAGCGTCGTTGAGTGTGGTGGTAGTGGTGGTGGTGGTTGTGGTGGTGGTGGAGGGAAGATGCTTGTTCGGGGAATTTTGGGAGCGGCTTCTGTTGTTGGTGGCGAGGCTTAGAGCGGATACGTAGCGATACCCTTATACCCCTTCCGTATCAGCAGCGATTTATTAGGGGAGGAGTTCTTTTTTTTTTTTCGCTCCTCCCCTATGTTTCAGGTGGCACAGCCAAGACGCGGCTGAGTGGTGCGGAGGAAGCACACGTATACATACACACACGGCATATGTAGCTATTTTGACAGTAATTACCTACCGGACCCGAAGTGCTTGCTGGGCCAAAGGTGCCCCCGCTGTAATTAACATGCACGTGTTTTGCCTTGAGCATTCCATGATATCTCCGTCCATCTGCATGGTGCTATTTTTTCTTAGTCTTCAGGCGTGAGTGATCCTGTAACCTGTTTGTTATCTGAAGGGGCGGTAATCGGAGGACTAGCTTGCTGCTGCCTCCACATGGCGCGCACGACTTCGGAGGCGGTCACGGGCGGTACATATACACTGTAGGTAAGGTAGGTAGGTAGGTACCTACTACAAGGTAGTAGTGATTAGGAGTCAGGACTGACTTGGAGTATTGGGGGAGGGTCATATTGTTGTATATACATATACATGTACATAATATAGAACCTCATACCCTATCGTAATCTTTTATCGAAATATATATCGATAGCCATATCCATATCAACAATCAGCCACCCACTACCCACCCACAAATTCATATCCCCATTCTCCTTCTCCCATAGCAGATTGAACATGGCAGACATAAGTAGGTACGTGTAGTATGTACATTACCACGCCACAAAATGGCACCACCACCACTACCACTACCAACCACCCAGCCAGCAAGCAAGTCAGCAAGCAAGTCAGCAATCCAGCCAGCAATCCAGCCCAACAACAAAGGCGGTCAGCAAAGCCGCTCCCGCACCACCACAGCACCACAGCACACAGCACACAGCACACAGCACACAGCACACACTTCCAAATGACCAGGGGGAAGGTAAGTAACTCGGTCGTGCAAAAGGTTCGTGCCACACCTGGGACACCCCATCCATTCCATCCATCCATCCATCCAATAGATAGCCTCCTCCATTCCATTTCGTGCTACGGGTGACGCGTGATGTGGAGGGAAGAAGTGGAACGGAGAGGGGGGGCCCAAATGGACGGGGTGGATGGAGTGGAATGGAGTGGAATGGGTGGAATGGAAGGGGGAGAGGAAAGCGTTTCACACACACACAGACACACAGACACGGGAACCGGCCAAACCCTGTGGCGCAGACACTTATTCATTCCTCGTTCCTCGCATGTACAGTAAGTACAGTAAGTACATACACGCATGCCCCACGCACATCCACTCACGTCCTTTGATCACGCTCTCACACACGCTTCTCACACGGCCGGGCCCGCTCTCGGGGCGGGGTGGTGGTGGTGGTTCGTTGGTTCGTTCGTTCGGTCATGTATCACGGGGATGGACTGGGGGGGACTGGGGGGATGGAATTTGATGTTTTTTTGGTCTACAATGCGGGTCTTTTTTGCTGTCCTGCTTCCAGGGCATACTTCCTGCTGGGTTGGGGATGTGAGATTGGGGATTTTGGTGATTTGTTTCGATGGGTATGTGATGGGTTTGTGATGCCATGGAGGGAGGGGGTTTCAGGCCAGTTGGATAGTGGAGTTTCTCCCCCTCTCTCAACAGCTATCTCTCCCGCACCAGCAGACTGCATTCTTGCATGGATGAATGACAACGCCACCGCCATTCCGACAGCAGTCAAGCGTGGAGTGGAGTCGGCCGAGGATTACGCGTAGAAAGGTGGAGAACGTACACAGAGAGTCAGAGAGTGAGTGAGGGGAGAGAGTGAGGAGTGAGGAGTGAGTCAGACAGTCAGAGATAGACAGGCAGATGTTGACGACAGAATGAGTCAGGTAATATGCAGATGTTGTTGGGGTATGGGTTGTTATGATTGGCTCTATCAGAGAACAAAGGCGGGGCTCACTCGCCACACTCGCCACACCTGCCATGGGACTCCCGGTAGCTAGGTAGATAGATACACACTGTAAACAATGGAGTTACGGCAACCGTGTCGTGGCGGGGTAGATAGGTTAGAAGTACGTAGACGCAGTTGCTACTATTGCATGCTAAGGATCGCTCTTGCTCAACGGCGTCGGGGACTAAGTAACGTAGAATAATACTTCATCAGGAAGGAAAGAACTACCTACCTGCCAACCAAACGTTACGGAACCTGCCTTGGTCGTGCACCACTCGTTAATTACTTGCTCCTCGTACTCGTGTCGGAGGACTTTTCACTCGCCACTTGTGGCTGACTGGCTGCTGCTCATCAGCCACTGCCCACCCTCCACCTGCCCCGAAGTATACAGTAGTTGTGTACTACTGCACAACCTATTCGTAGTGCATATCTTGACCTCGACAGACCCCGAGATGATGCGCCACACTTAGTCATGTCCCCGCTGCGTATCGTATCGTATTAATACAAACCTTGATTTATTACGTATCTATCCAGCCTTTAATTAGTTAGTTAGTTAGCAGCAAGCAGCCATTTTAGCCTGTAACGCTGGCGCTGCCTCACAAAAGAAGAAGTGCCGCGAACCGGCCGCGTGGGGATTATCGGCAAGACGTCCGACCACGCCAGATCACCGCGCCGGCCCTTCTCGAACAAAGAAAAACATTCCTGCTACGGTACTGCGATGCCCATGCCTGTGGCGGTGCGTCTGGAGATCGAGACCTTGTTTCGGACTGCTGATCGACAGCCGGGGGGGTAGGAAGGGGGCAGGGGGCAACGACATTCGACATGGGGACATGGTCAATTGGTCTTCTTCTTCTTCTGTTTCTGTATGCTTCATCATCTTCTACACGACCTTGTCCATGTCCACGTCCATGCCCGACGCTTTGGGGGGGCTGGGCGAGGCGGCTAATTACCATAATTATATACGTGGGTGTTCCTGGGCGCAGGTCTGCATGGCTCAGATCAGATTCCAAGACGAAAATTCTACGCTCGGGCCAAAAAAAGGACTGCATCGGGTTCGTGCTGGGCGTGCCATGTCTGTTTACATAGATGGTACCAAACCCTCACTCACACACATGCACACACACCACGTGCAAGGAACATGCCTGCCGGCACTCTTGAGATTTGACCCCAACAATCTGCCAGACCGCCAGACCATCGAAATTGCTCGTCATCATCATCTGCTTCTTTTTGTCTTTCAGGACCGATTTCTCCAAACTCATTGCCCAAAACACTGGTCCCCAAACCCCTCTCTCACTCTCAATCTCCCATCTCTCCATCTCGCTCAACACCACGCTCCCTTGCCCATCGGCCTCGCCAATTCCTCCATTGAATGTCACTACCCGCTCGATTCCTCCCACGACATGCCTGCCTTCTGCCTCAATCCGCACACACCCCAGCCAGCCAGCCGCATGGCCCTCCTCGCACCCAGTCATGCCCATATCCGTTCCAAATCTCCTATCCCTCCCCTTGTTTCCATCTGCATGTATCGCCCCGATCCGATGGCCTGATGTTCAAATCCGGACCATACATACCATCTTGAGATCCCCCTCAATCTTTGCATCGACAGTCTCCCAGCTGGCCGGTACTACTATCCCGTGCGATCGTACTTTCTTGCCTGCCCCTACCTACCCTTCTACAGCCATCTTCCCTGGGGAAGGAAATGGATCCCCCGACAGAAATGTCCCATGCCAGCGCATCACCCGCCTTCGCCTCATCGGTGGGGTTTTGCTCTGTCCCTCCCTTGTTCGCTGGCCTGTCCTTGTCTCTCTCCTTGTTCCATTTGCTCCGAGGAGGAGAGTTTATTAGCTGGCTAATTAGCTAGCTGGCTACCTTGTATGTCAATCTCCACCGTTTGTGTACGTACTATTTATTGTCAGTTGCGGATTACTCTTCTTCTCCGGCCCGAGCGAGCAGGCTCTCCTTGTCTGTCTTTGGCGTGGTGTGTCGCTGTCTAATTATAGTAACTATTAACCTTTTGTCCGCGTTCGTTTTTGGATGGATATGACGCGAGCACTGATCGACATGAACTGTCGTACGTGGCCTGTCTGTCTGTCTTCCTACCTGGCCCCGTTCTGTTTCCCCTTCTATTTTCGAGTGTTGGTGGTCTGATCAAAGAAAAGTAGTATTTCGGCGGGTTGGAAGGGGGGGGGCAATGGCAAAACATTTGGAATTACTGTCTTCCATATCGAGCGTGTTGGTAGTGTAGTAGTCGCTGCAGACTGACTACATGTATCCCTGAACGTGGGTGAGGGACCCTGTACCCATCGTCGTCGTACGTTTCTGATCAATCAGAGGAGTTCGATATCATTCATACCCAGCGGTCCTTTGCCTCGAAAGAAGTGTTATGACTGTGCAGAGAGGAGTGCACTTCATGCTAGTCTCAATTGCCTGGGGACGCGCAATCAATCAATAGAAACGAGACAGCTTGCTACGCCATCTTTCTAAAAGCAAAAGGTAAAACAATTAAAAGAAAGGAAGAAGCTTCTTCGTCTGGGATTTTGGTCGAAACATGCTATCTATCGATGACACCCCCTTCCCCCCCCCCCTTTGGTAGAATTCCCAAAACCCCTTTCATCTCGTGCTCTGCGTTTAGCAGTAACGTCAGCGTTTCGGCATGGCTGATTAAGGACTATTCTCCAGATGGGATGGGTTCATGGAGACTGGGATTGTTTTGACTCGTCAAGAAGGGATGATGAAGTGTCATGTTATGATTTCGTACGAGGAATAGCAAAATGGATTGTAGTTGGCTTGTAAGTATCATATTCCATATTGTAGATAATGTCGATCCACAACACGTCTAAAACATATGAGTGATGTGAGACATGGGAATGATTATACGTATGGACGAGGTAGTGCTGCTATAAGCTTGATTGACTGTATCTACCTATCAAGAACTCTGGTCGTAATACTACTACTATGACTACAGGTGATACTCTCGGATAATCATGGATGAATGACGCAGCTAAGCTATACAAGCACGATATACCCATGAACTAAAAAGCAGGAGAGGAAAAGAAAGAGATTAGGAACAGTGTATCGTCGAAGACCCCCGTGCATGACAGTGAGATGCAATGTACATATACAAGTATATATAGACGTGGCGTCTGAATGATGTAGCTACAATATTCAACACGCACCTCCCTCAACCATGCGGATTTAACATGCCTGTTGCACCGGGTCATATTCACCGTACCATCTGTCTATACAAACCTCGAGCGTCGACAAGAACGACTACTGCTCCGCACCACTCGTCAGGGCCTGTGTTGCTTCACCGAGAGATAAGAGAAGCGTGTGAGTGTATATTGGATTGCCAGCAGCATACCACGGGCGACTCCTGATCATGCTGTCTGTGATGCGTGTGGGAGGTGTGGCCATGTTATGGCAGGATTGCTTGGGCAGTGGACAAGTTCGTTGAGCAGGCGGTACTTTTTAGTTATACGAAGACGCTGTCCTCAATTCACAAGCGAGCGTATCCAAGGCTACAACACAGCGAGCGATATATCGCCATGTGAGACTGAATATTTACTTTTCCAATGCTCCATCACCTGTGGCCTCTTGTCCGGAGCTTCAGCGCAGTAGAGCTATTGATATATGTACAAGGGGGGAAGCTATCTGCTCGCCGAATATGGGAAGTATAGACCAGACAATGTGCATACCCATAGATAGCCCTGGATCCAGACTCGGGCCCTCATGTGGCTACACAGCCCCGAATGACTGAGTATATGCGTTCATCATGCTTCCTCTCCTAAGAGGGAAACTGCATCAGGTGTTGGCTATGCACTCGTGTTCCGTACCTTGTCGCTCGTTCTAACTCCCACAGAGAGACAGCACCCCTCTATCGCATCCTTCAAGTCTAATATTCGCGTAGAGTGCAGCTCATACCGGCCTCCGATAAGGATGTGCTTCTGTATTGAACACGTACTCATCCAGGCTGATCACCGAGGGATCACTGAAGATCAAATAGAAGTATTTCAGTGTCTCTGCGATCCAGAAGCTCTGCAGGATAATTAGCTTATTCTTTCTCACATGCCAGCAGGTTACCACTCACCTCCATGTTGCCCGCCTTCGGCGCAATCGTATCTGGGGCTGTGACATCCGCGATCGCCGAGTTGGCTATATCAGTTGCTGTATGCTTCTGGATAGCAGTAAACATGTCCCATGCTGCTGCCTGCATGCTCTGCTCTCCAGTGACGCGGTACATCACAAACACACTCTCAATCGCCTCTGGTCGCAGGATATACCGGCCGTCATCCACCTTTGCTATTCCTTCAGGCAATCGGCTTTGCGAAATGTAGTGCAGCACATCCTCAGGATTGTCTGCTCCGACAGAAGACCGCTGCAACACCGCCCCTCGCCATACCTCTTCAGCCCATGGGCAATGGTCCATCGAAGCGCAGGGCACAAGATGCGAGACTTCAGGCATAATCCCATACGGGAACGCTTTGTACGCCCAGATACATGCATTTGTGAGTTTTTGCGCTATTCTCACGTGCTCTGGGATGTCGAACAGCTTTCCGCCAATTGCAAATAGGCCACCTGTGTAGCAGACCAGATGCTGCAGTTGCGGATCTAGTTTTACGCTATCGCCATTGGGGCGCGCGAAGCCGCTCACGAGAATGTCGGACTCGTCGGGCGTCATGGGGCGGAAGAGAGTGTGCTTGATGGCCGTGTCCATGGCAATGCGGTACATACTCTCGTATCGCGCGTCGATACCGCCTAGCAGCGCGTGCATCTTCGGAAGATATTCGTATGCAGAGTCCGCCATTGCTGCGAGGGTGAATGCGTTGTCTGATTTGAAGTCTTCAGTCTTTGCGTTCACTGCGACAGGCCACATGCCGGGGAGTAGAGTATTGTTCTGCTCGCGCTGGAACACGTCCATAATGCGCGCAACAGCATCATAGTACTTCTTATCGCCGGTGGCTTGCGTCAGGTGTGTGAATTCCATGGTCAGACTGCCGAGTTCGGCGACGAGGACTTGTTCTGGTGCGGTCTGAGGTGTACCGGCAGCAGCTTTTGCCCAATTCCAGCGCGCAACGGGCATATGGTTGGGAGTGTCAAATGCTTTGTAGATCATATCGCCCACTTCGATGGCTTTCGCAAGAAGGATCTTCTCCTTGCTCAGGTCGTATGCCGCAAGCAGACCACCGAGATGGCGAATGGTTGTTTCGAAGATATTGACCGTTTGCTGACTGCTCGAGCTGAAGTCGACCTCCTTGACCGCCTTGACGGCCTCGTGGAACTCGTCTTTCAGATCCATAATCCATAGTGTGTCCAGACTGTCTATCAAGGTGGCAGCCCATCCTCCAAATGTGTTCTTGCCCCCGCCATTGATTGGATCCAGCTCGTCCTGGAGCCATGCATATTCTCGGTATGCTGCCCATGCCCGCTTGGCTGTATTACGTACTTCTGCCTGTCTCTTTTCACGTAGCTCTTTTTCTATCTTGGTCTGCGGACCGGTATCTTTGCTGAAGTCGTGCTGGATCTTGGACAGCTGCTGCGGATTCCCACTTGGATAGGCAATGTACGACGTCACTTTATTTTGGATAGGTATATCTTTCCAGAGAAACTTCGTAGACCCAATGTGCGGCTCTGAGACTGAGCTATGAGGGTGCGTCGGAGTGAGAGTAGTGTCAGCCGCTCCAGGCGTTGTGATCGGACTTCTCAGACGGTAGAACACGAATATAAATACTGCACCAATGACCAGGAAAGAGCTCCAACGTCTGACCAAGGCCATTGCGAAAGGAGCGACTAGGAAGATGAGATGTGGAGTGGTACGTGTAGCGCGTCGTACGTGCCCGGGGGAATGTGGAGAGCTATCCGCATGGATAGGATGTCCCCGTGGGGCCCCATATCATGAGTTTTGCATTTGAAACTGTGGGCATTTCATGGAGGCCACCACCGGGCCCACAACCACACTGCATGTCTGTTACCTTCTATTGATAGTTCTATCCTTCTTTACATGTATTCTTTACCTACAATCATAGAAACTTTGAGGGTATCTTCTGTGGCGTTACGCATCTACAGCTCGCGTGACTAGCCAGTCCATATTGGTACCAGCTACTTCCTACGAGTTCGCCCTTCGTACTCAGGACCAGCACGAATATCCTCAGAGCAATCTATCTGGATCCTATTTGCTTCAGTCCCTACAGTAGACCTTTTCGAGAGCGTAATCATATGAATTTGCCCTCAGGATCCGCCTTATCCATGAGATCCATCGTTTTTTCGTACCTGAAAAGGGTCAGTAACGTCTCTCGTTTTACAAAAGTTAACTCTTACATCGTAAAGACTATACCACCACTTAGTACTAGTCTAGCTAAACGAGGCAGAGCTCCAGACCAGAAGGTCATGATGCCCTCCTCTTTGAATATCCTGGCGGCGCATGCAAAGCTGTTTTTGTACTCTTGCTTTGCCTGAATTGATTGCATCCTAAGTCCAATTAAAATCAAAGTATGATGTACAAGTAATATCTACTAACCTTGTCTTCACCGTGTCGATTGGCATTGTCGTATAGCTATCCGCGTTAGCATTTTTTAATGATCAATAAGTTTATTCGTACTCACACAGTGATTGTGCCTGCTAAACCTCCAATGGCGAAAGTACTGACGGCACCTAGCTTCTCTCCAGGTGCGACGTATGCTTGTGCCAATTGCTTTATACTGGTATAACTGCTAAATCTAACCGCACTGTTTGCAGCTTGTCTTGCTGTAGTCGGTACGAAGCCCTGGAAGAAACCTCGCAGACCCTTCTCTTGCGCAATTAGTCTACTTCCATGTAGAAATCCTCTCATACGCGGGTTCCCACTCTTGCGATCGTCAATAAGCTGGGTCTTGATACTTTCGAATGGTGTCACTGCGAGCAGACTTTCAGTAGCACCTGCACCAAAGCCTGCAATCACGTTCCCTGGCGCTGAAACATTCCCGTCTGCATCCGCCAGTAGGCCTTTATATGTGTCAAACGCCACAAACCGTACTCCAGCCTTGATTGAGTTTCCGATTATAAGTGTCGTACAGCCCGCATACCATTGTGAACCAAAAGGAGGCCAAGGAAGCTTTTTCCCGTCTGGAAGTTGTCGGTTCAATTGTGTTCGAGTCTTTGCAAACTCGGCAGGGTATGTGATTGCAATTTCGGTCGCGCCTGCCAGAGCACCGGCAATGATTGAGCGGACCGCACTGGCCTGGGAGCTGGTGTGTTATTGAACGAACATCCAACAGCAAATGCAGCAGCGTACCTTCTTCTTCTCCGTAGTCCCCGACATGACCAGACGTCCAGGGACGAGGCTAAACCTGAGAAGGTGGGAGTTCGAGCTGCCGAAAGCTCTGGGAAGCTATGATGCCGTAGCCACGAATTTAGAGGAGCGATATGGTCATTGGCGATTTTCGGTATGAATGCCGTGCCATATGATAGAATCAGAGGAGTGCGGATACTGTACTGCTGCTATTGTGCAGTATTATTCATGGCAGGCACTTAAGTTTCAAGCGTGCGATATCGCGTCGGCGGAGATTTCGTCACTCCGCATGGATCACGTGTAAAGGAGTCCGAGCGCGTATCCTAACTTTTATTTTGTGAAGCTTCTGTATCTCCTCAGTTCCAGCTTTGCGGCATCCATTACCCATATTCCAAAGGACCATCTCCAACCCGTAGTCGAATTAAAAATGATGTCTCTCAGAAGTTGTATGCGCTTTGCACCGCGAGTTCTCAACTCAGTTTCTAAGACGGCTCGCCCTCAAGCTTCCATCCTACGCAACTCTCCTTTCCTTCGCACAACATGGGCGCCGACCACGCCGAAGGTGCTCTCATCTTTCCACACATCTGCAGCCAGACGAGATGGTGCGTTCTACTACGGCGATCTTCGAACCACCTCATACTGACTGTCATAGCTACGAGCCAAGAGCTAGAAGCAATGCTGAGGCAAGAGGCCGAATATGAAGAAAAACAAGTTCAAGCTATGGACTCCGAAAACTACTCACCGGGCATCAAAGAGTATCTCGAGAACAGTGCCTTCACTGTAAGAACTACCGACCTCGTTTTTAACAGCCCCGACTAACAATTGCAGCTCGAAGACATTCCTGGTAATGACGAGGTCTCCCTCACGCGGCAATACGAGAATGAGAAGTAAGACTGCACGTTCACGCCACAAGTCAATAGCACGATACTGACAAATATATGACAGGATCACAGTGACCTTTTCCATCCTCGATCTCGTTGAAGAAGACCCGGATTCGTACGAGCAAGACGAGATGTACGATGAGGAAGATCTTGACATGGAAGGTCAATCTGGAGGCGCCAACACGAAAGGCTCAGCAAATGTTGGTTCAACACAGGATGGCAACATCAAAGTGGCACCAGAGGACCGCGTGTCTCCTGCTGATCGTCCCGAGCTTGAGGAGGATGAGTTCCCCGAGCAGGCGCGCAGCTTCCCGGCTCGAATTACGGTCAAGATTGAGCGCCCCGGCAAGGGTGCGGTCAGCGTCGAGGCGACTCTTTCTGATGGTGAGACCATAATTGACAATATCTACTATTACGAGGATGCTGCACTCGCCACGCCCAAGAGCGCCGACAAGGAATGGGCACGGAGAGATCTCTTCGCTGGTCCCAGATATTCATCCCTTGACCCCAATTTACAAACTTCGTTCGAGCAATACCTCCAAGAGCGCGGCATCAACGAGCGCATGGCAATTTTCATTCCAGATTACATCGATTTCAAGGAACAAAGAGAGTATGGCAGGTGGTTGAACAACATGCGCAACTTTTTCTCGGAATAGATCTGATTCTGCGCGAGAGACTGGGTAGCACGAGCTCGTTTCTTTGTACTTTTATTGTTCACCACTCTACTGCTGTCGTCAAGTCCGCGATGTCAACAGCAATGTCTCCATAGCGTTGATATGTAATAAACACCTGGAAACCACGCACTCCAGATGACATTGTATGTGATAACAACGACTTATTGGCTAGAATCATTCTCGTGACATCCTCTGGCAAATCATACATTTTCGTCTAATTCCTTGCCAAAATCTATCAAGCGCATTCGTCCTGCGTCTTTAGGATGATACTGTGCTATTTTGGCCCTTACAAGAAATCTCGCCGCTGCGGATTCTCTCTCCATGGGTATGTAAGGTCCTGAGCTATTGACGTCTAGTAGAGCCTCATATAGCTTTCTAAAAAGATCTCGAAATGCAGCAGCGGCTGCGTCTTTCTCATTTAAGCGCTCGCTCGACTCATGTCCCAGAACATCTCCCCAGATGTCGTCGATCCGCCTTTGACGTCCTTGATCAGAGATGCTTTTGCCTTTCCTAAGTTTCCCCTGAGACGAGAATCCTACTGCCAGGTCCTGGTCGTCGACGTCCATCATTTCCCCAGCGACTGGGCCTCCAAGTTCTTCAGCGGCAAGCATAGCAGCCAAGTGAGAATCGATGAAATCATTGAAAGCGCGGTGTAGAAGCTCCGTTTCTCGCTCGTAGTCCTGTGTCTTTTGTCGTTTGCCTTGTAGCGTTTCACGTGCAGTCTGTGTTAGAGTCTTATCAGAGCGTTCTTCGTGCTGTTGCTTTAGACGTGCTAATCTCTCTTGCAAGGCAGTTTTAAGGGCACGAGCATCGTCCAACTCGGCAGTCCACGTCTTAAGATCCTGCTTTGTTTCAAGCAATTGCGCTTCGACGATATCAATACCCGATGCCGTGCTCCTCACGGTATCCTGCACCAGTCGAGTTGCGAGCAGAGCTGGGATGCTTGAGCCCTTCGGTGGTAAAGACGGCTCGTCATCGGCGAGCTTGTTATAAGCAGCCGTCAGTTCCTCGAGCTGCTGAAGTTTCTTACGTGGGTCTTGCGAAGGCGTTGTCGCAACGGGCAAGGAAACCTTGGCTCGAAGCTATTGCGGTCAGCGGCCATGTAATTAGTTGCTAGACCATGGCAATCATACGAGTTCCAGATCTGCTTTCTGTCGTGCCAACTGCGCTTGCAGGCCACTGATGGTTTGGTCTAGACGTGTTTCAAGATCTTGCGAAACATCGATTTCCATATGGCTTTGTTCTGCAACATGGGTATCGGCTGCGTACTGCCGTATTTTCGACTCGATCTCATTTGGGATACTCGCCATGTTGATGAATACACGTGCTGCACGGATAGAGCTCGCTTTGCACACGATAGTTGAAGATTTTACACGACTTGACCATTAAATCTGGGCTGCTTGCGTATCCATCGAACCCAACATGCTCCGGGATGCAAACAATGCTTCCGCGTTCCGCAAATACCGAACGCGCGCGTGAATCGAGCGGTGAAGGTCACGTGGCACGCCTCGATCGACACGGCAAGCTTGTTCACCTCTGCTCCGCTTTTGGCTGCTGGCTGTTTTCCCCTCTCATCTCTCACTTCCACCCAAATCTTGCACCCCGATCTTCTTCGCGACATACACAATCCATCAATTCTTCGTCCTGTTGACTACAGCTTCATTAGTCAAGCCAGCTACTCGAGTCTCGCCGATCCTCATCCGGCAAGCGGCGCATGCGTAGGAGCTTAAATCGCCCATCTGATAGCAGATTTTTTGTGAGGCAAGCAAAAGGTTTACGTTGAGAGCACCTTCACTTTACTCTGGGCCTGCCTTTCCTCCCACGCAAGCTCAAGGTCACGTAGCCGCTCACCTTCTAGTCATCACACTTCTGATACCTCAATCACTACATCACTGGCAACTCCTGTCTTTTCTCCAGAAGCTTCATTGCCTCGGACACTTCACCTTCAACTCCTCTCGCACATCAAGCACACTTTCAACCGTCAATCTTCCGGCCTTCGTCATATCACGTCACTATCAAGCATCACCTCAACACTGCACCAAACCCGTCCTTCTACCTCTCTCGAACAAACTCGTACCTTCACCACCAGCACGTTTTCTTTGACAGCCCCCGCTGTACGTAAGACCCGATAAAATACGAACAAGTTTGCTCGACCGAATTGAACTTTCCATAACTACACCAATCGTGGTTGTAGCATCGTGACAAGACTTAACGTTGAAAACCCCCTTGACATTTTACCAATCAATTCCAAGATGTCGGCGTCACCGACCGCAACCTCCGCGCCTTCCCAGAAGCGGCCGCTTGAAGAGCCTTCGTCACCCTCTGGCCCTGGCGACCAGCCCGATGCGAAAAGACCAGCGCTGGACAAAGTCATCAAGGATGATGAGCCTACCTCTGGACTGTCACCTGTCCCAGAACCTGTTACCACCATCAATGGAGACCATAACGAAGAGGAAGCTAAGCCTGACCCGCAGCCCGCTGTCGACGCGCCCGCCGAATCCAACGGAGTCCAAGATGTTCAAGGTGATACTGTAGTGCCCGACGCACCTTCTCAAGCCGGTCAGCATGTCCTAGAGACTCAGCCAATCCAGTCAACCTCATCGTCTAACGGTCGCACCAATGGCCAGTCTGCTGCTCATCAGGACGAAACCGGCTGGCTGCACATTCGTGCTATCATCTCGAGTGCCGAGGCTGCGACTGTCATTGGCAAAGGTGGCGAGAACGTGACCCTAATCCGCAAGATGTCGGGCGCTAAGTGCACTGTCAGCGACTATTCTCGAGGAGCTGTAGAACGTATCCTCACAGTTAGCGGTTTGGTAGATGCTGCGGCCAAGGTATGTAAACACCAGACGTGGATGAGCGATCAAGTAGCTGACCTTGGAAGGCGTTCGGTCTCATCATTCGAACACTGAACAACGAGGCTTTGGAGTCAGCATCGACCCCCCAATCCAAGACTTATCCTCTGCGCCTTCTTATCCCTCACATCTTGATCGGCTCCATAATTGGTAAGCAAGGTGTGCGTATTCGAGAAATCCAGGAAGCTTCTGGTGCACGCCTTAATGCCTCTGACTCTTGCCTTCCTCTCTCAACGGAGAGGTCCCTCGTAGTTCTTGGCGTAGCTGACGCTGTACATATCGCTACTTACTATGTTGGGAGCACTTTAGTCGAACAGCTTACAGAAAGATTTGGCGGCCCAGCCGCATCTGCCTACGCTTCTCGCAACGGTGGTCCTGCTGGTGTGGTACCAGGAGGTATGCAGGTTGTCCCCTACGTACCCCAACCTGCTGGCGGTCAATGGGGTCATCCAGATACCTATAACCAACGTGGTCAACGCCCACAGCAACAGCAGGTACATGCAAGGACCCCCGCTCAACAGTATGGCTCTCCGTACCATCAACCAGCGCAGGCTCCTGGACCACCTATGCACTTTGGTGCTGGATCTCCTCGTCAGCCCGGATATAACAATACTGGCCCACAGCAGCCCCAGCCTTATGGTGCTCATCCCGGCGTTCATCAAGCCGGCCCGACCGGACCAGCTCCTGCACCACAAGCGTTGCAAACCATGCCAGGCACGGGTGGCGGTCCATTGACTCAACAGATATTCATTCCTAACGACATGGTCGGTGCCATCATTGGCAAGGGTGGAGCGAAGATCAACGAAATCCGACAGCTCAGTGGCAGTGTCATCAAGATTAACGAGCCTCAGGACAACAGCAACGAGAGACTTGTGACGATCACTGGTACGCAGGACTGCAACCAAATGGCGCTGTTTATGCTTTACTCAAGACTTGGTCAGTATCGTGCCGAAGAGCTCCAACCGCGCAGGCTTACTCTTGCAGAAAACGAAAAGCATCGAGTCTAACAAATGCAAGGAGAAAGAACGAAACAAAGGGCTGCTTAATATCCCAGGTTTCGGGCGAGGACATCTTTCTTGCAAGCATGTCGTTGGGTTATCTCAACATATTCGGAATTGTATGCACTAATTATTCCCATTTCAACCTTGATCCATAGGAGGTGCACGTTGGTCGGCGTGCGAGAGCCTTTCGTGGTAAGTTGCGTCAAGGCAAGCCATAATTGGGCAAATGCAGAGACCTAGGCAGGATGGAACAATGCTGGGCACTAACAAAAATAAGTACATGAATGAAAGAGTATTTACTATCTGGGGTGCACGGAGTAGGTCTGGTACTAACACCTCCCTTGCATGCTTGGGATGAGTGCCGTATCGCATGCGGAAGTTTGAGGTATGTCGACCTCGAAATTTCGTCGTTTTCGGACAAAGCACTCTACAGACAAAAACGAATCAACATTCTTTGTCTCATTGAAATAGACCTTCCGACAATGCCTGTGTTTTCGATTGACTTCCTTGCTGCTAATCCCAATCGTTGTACCCGCGCTTTTAGTATTCTCACGTTGACCGTGTTCCAGCTTACGTTGTGTTCATAAATCAGAAGCAACTCTCTACCTACAGCATCCTAATCTGTAGTCATACTCGAAACTCGCTCTAACTCGGTGTTGCCTGCCGAGTGAACGATCGATAGTCCATTTGGACGCTTACACTATCCTCTATACATGGTTCCGCTCCCTCATGATATCAAACAGTAGCATGTATCCTCCTAGTCATGCCAAATGCGATCATGAGCCATCGCTGTTGCAAGTACCCGCAGAAACGCAGAAACGCAAGGTGCAGTCTTTCAACATACGGTAAGCATCAAAAACACTCTACAGAGCATTTGATGTAACAGACAACTAAATGTCGACCATACCAGCACGGAATTCAAGGCAATGCACGACATGGCTGAACTTCGCGTCGGCGCCGAAGCCGTGCGCTTCGTTATCCACCGTAACATCCTCACCCATCACTCGACCTTCTTCCGCGCCGCCCTCAACGGCGCGTTCGCCGAAGGCCTCTCGCAAACCGTCACCCTCCCCACCGAATCCCTCGACACCTTCGAGCTCTTCCTCCACTGGGCGTACACATGTACTCTCGACCCAAAGGCCTACTTCAAAGACGCAAAACCCGCATACTATGTCCTGCTCCACCTCTACGGCCTCGCCGACCGCCTCGCCGTCGAAGGCCTGCGCAACCTCGTCCTAGATACCATCTCCAGCCTCGCCGACCAGACAAATTCTGTCCTCACGCCCTCGGACACCTTCATCCTCTACGACACGATCCCTTCCTCCGCCCCGATCCGCAGACTCGTCCTCGATCTCTTCGCATTCAAGAAGACCGATAAGCTACTCGACGAGCATCCGGATGAATGGCATCCGCAGTTCACCCGTGACCTGGTCGTCAAATTGAAGCGTCCCGAGGAGGTTGCCATGCAGCGGCATACGCTGATCACCTGGAAGCCGGAGCACTGGCAGGAATCCATGGGCTGTGCGATATGTTCCGAGGTGCTGCATCCGTATGGGAATCATGTGGGGTGTAGCGGGTGTGAAAAAAAATTCTGCAATCGGTGTGCCAAGGCGAAGAGGGCGTTGTGTGTGTTTGAGGATGGCCGGGTCGTATGTAAGCCCTGGAACGGTAAGGTGAGGTGTCGAATCTATCATGAGCATGTCGAGACGGCGGAGTGTCCATAACGGAGGGAGTGGAACTTGGTCAGATTTGATTATCCGAGAACGGAAATGTACATAACGTGCACCATAGCGCTGCGGGTTTGCATAGCGAGTGTTACTTCTTTACAACAAACACCACACAGTTAAATGCACATCTGGAATGTTCTTCTGTCGTGAATGTTCCAATTCATCAAGCTATGAACTCTAAAGGGAAAATGTATACGCCCAAGTAGTCCGTCTCGCCTCGTCCTGTGGATATGGTACATGGAAGACGAGAAATGAAACCCAGAACATGCTGAATAAATAATCATGCGTCCGCATCACCCCCAACGTCTCCCAACAACTTATTGATATCAAGATTTACATAGCTGCCTTCACGCCTTCGCGTTCTTCGCCATCGTGTTCAAAGCCGATCCGTTCTTGAACCACTCGATCTGGCCCTCGTTGAAAGTTTGCGAGAGCTTGACGTCAAAGGTCTTGTCTCCGTTGGCTGGGTGTACGCGCAGAGTCATTGGCTTGCCGACGGCGAGCTCAGTGCAGAGTAGATCAACCTTGTCGTCGGGCTGGATCTTGTCGTAGTCCGCTGGGTCGGAGAAGGTAAGAGGAAGCATACCCTGCTTCTTCAAATTCGTCTCGTGAATACGGGCGAAAGAACGTGTAATTATGGCTAGACCACCCAGATGCCTGGGCTCAAGAGCGGCGTGTTCACGGGATGAACCCTCACCGTAGTTCCAGTCACCAATGACAACCCACTTGATGCCCTTCTTCTTGTAGTCACGAGCAGTTGCTGGAACAGCATCGAACTCGTTGGTAGTGAAATTTTTGACCTTGTTAGCCTCACCGTTGGCTGAGTTGATGGCACCGATCAACATGTTGTTGGAGATGTTGTCGAGATGTCCACGGTACTTCAGCCATGGGCCAGCCATGGAGATGTGGTCAGTAGTTGTCTTGCCCTGAGCCTTGATGAGAATAGGAAGGTCGGTAGCATCCTTGCCATTCCATGGCTCGAAGGGCTCGAGGATTTGCAGACGGTCGGAGGTAGGCGAAACAGCGACAGAGACAGAAGAACGGTCCTTGGGTGGCGCCTGGTATGTGTCCTGACCAGGATCGTAGCCACGAGATGGCAGACCATCACCAGTTGGTGCTTTGAGCTTGAAGTCCTTGCCATCCTTATCCTTGAGCGTGTCGGTTAGGGGGTTAAACTTCAGAGTGCCAGCAATAGACATGGCAACAACGAGATCTGGAGAGGTTACGAATGCGTGAGTAGCCGGGTTGGCGTCGTTACGACCTGTGAAATTGCGGTTGTACGAAGAGATGATGGAGTTGGCCTCGCCCTTCTTGACGTCTCGGCGATCCCACTGACCAATGCAAGGACCGCAAGCGTTCGCAAGAACCATACCACCGAATTCTTCGAAAGTCTTGAGCTGACCATCTCTCTCGATAGTAGCGCGAATTTGCTCGGAGCCAGGAGTGACGGTGAAGACAGCCTTGGACTTAATACCGTGCGCCATGGCGTCTTCAGCGATGGATGCAGCACGAGACATGTCCTCGTAAGAGGAGTTGGTGCAGGAGCCGATAAGACCAACTTTGACCTCCTCGGGCCACTTGTTTGCTTCCACAGCTTCCTTAAATTTGCTAATAGGAGTTGCCAAATCGGGAGTGAAGGGGCCGTTGACATGAGGCTCGAGTTCGGACAGGTTGATCTCGATCAATTGGTCATATTCAGCGCCCTCGTCTTCCTTCAGTTCAGCCGCATATTCGCGAGCGAAGTCACCGATCTGCGAACGCTTGGTGGCTGCGAGATAGTCGTACATGCGGTCGTTGAATGGGAAAAGGGAGGTCGTAGCACCGATTTCAGCGCCCATCTGTATGGATGTTAGTTGTGGCCCACGAGGAAATAATAAAATACACTGACATTGCATATCGTGCTACACAGTAGAGTTAGCATTGAGTATACACAAGATTTAGATGTCTATTACTTACCCCATGCCTGTAGCAGACAGGGTGTTGGTTCCTGGACCAAAGTACTCCACGATTGCACCAGTACCACCCTTGACGGTCAGAATACCCGCAACCTTGAGAATGATATCTGTGTCATTCAGTTAGTGGGCTTTTGTGTTGGTGTTATCTTCGTATTTTACTTGCCCTTAGGAGAGGTCCAGCCAGACAATTGACCAGTAAGCTTAACACCGATGACCTTGGGTGCCTTGAGTTCCCATGGCAAGTTCGCCATAACGTCAACAGCGTCCGCACCACCAACACCAATAGCAGCCATTCCCAGGCCACCAGCGTTAGGAGTGTGCGAGTCGGTACCGATCATCAAACCACCTGGGAAAGCATAGTTCTCCAGGATGATCTGATGAATGATACCAGAGCCAGGGCGCCAGAAACCAATGTTGTACTTCGCACATGACGTAGACAGAAAGTCGTAGACCTCCTTGTTGATGTCGTTGGCGCGCGCGAGATCCTGCTCCCCGCCGACCTGGGCCTCAATCAAGTGGTCGCAGTGTACAGTGGTCGGGGTCGCAACGGAGGGCATACCGGCGGACATGAATTGGAGGATGGCCATTTGAGCAGTGGCATCTTGACAGGCTACACGATCGGGACGAAGCTTGAGATAGCTGCTACCCCGCTCGATCTCTTGACCATGAGGGTCGTCCAGATGGGAATAGAGGATCTTTTCAGCGTATGCGAGAGGACGGTTGAGACGTTGTCGGACGATTGACAAGTTCTCGCTCATCTTAAGGTAGTTCAGGTAGTTTGAAGACTCCCAGTTGGTCATGGGGACCTTCTTGTTCAGGGCGCTGGCCGTGGCCATGCCACGGCGGCCGATGAGGTTGGACGCGAACCTCTGCATGGTGAAGATGAGAGATGCCACCGCAGAGTATCCGATGAGGATGATTGAGAGAGAGGAGAGAGGAAGAAGAGAGGAGAAGTAGGAGTGGAGAGGAGAGCGTTAAGAGTAGTTGGTAGCAGGAAGATTTCGTCAGATGGGAGCAATTGGAAGCTCGATTATCACCGTAGCTGTGATTGGCCGAAGCTCAAACCGAGGGCGAAAGCAAAAGCGGACGGCCGCCGCCCGAAAAGTGTTCAGCAGCTGCGCAAGACGGGGCAGACTGAGCCAGCTGACCCCAGTATTTTGGCTGACTGCCCGCTTTTTTGCGCCTGTTAGGGGCCCTCAAACACCGCCTTCCTTGCGCACATGCCTATGGTCTGCAGCCCTGCGCGCGCACAATTTGCCCCAGTAACGAAGTAGCAAAGTGTAACAACCCACTGAGCCGCCTCCATCACGCGTCTCGGCCGGCTGCATGCTACTAGAAATTTGTTCCTCGGAGCGAGCTCGCTTGTGCTTCTGAGCGATTTTGACTGTAAACAGCAATATTCATAGCCGATTCAAACTCCTCGCCGGCCTCTTGCGTAGCCTACATAGGTCTTCAAATCGTTCTAAAAAAACGTTTTCACCATGCCTGCCATCCGTGGCGCTGATTCCAAGAAGAAGACAAGGCGGCATACTCGCGATCTCGACCAAATTCACGCCGATCTACACTCCGATAAGCATCTGCAGCAATATAAAGATACCAAAGTCGCCGAGGACCTTCCTGGTCTAGGACAATGGTACTGCACTGAATGTTCAAAATGGTTTGAGGGGGAGCATAATTTTGAGGCCCATAAGAAGGGCAAAATCCACAAGAAAAGAGTTCGCCAGCTTAAAGAAGTGCCATACAGCCAGAAAGAAGCAGAAGCAGCCGTCGGTTTACGCACCGACAACGGAAACACAAGCAAGCCAGTCAAGGAGGTTGCCGTACTCGCTGCAGGAGTCGAGAAGATGGAAGTCGAGGCTTGAATACGACCGTCAGACTCAATTGCTGATTCCACTTCGCTACTTGTCTCGCTACTTGTCACCAAGTGTGTATATATGGGTGTCGAGCGTATCATGAGATCACTTCTTCTGTGATACGAATCAGTATTTCCCACCTCGGCTTGGAGTTGTATGCAAGCAATATGTTTCGCCTGGTGGCGCCCTTCAGGTTTACTGGAAAAGAGAAATCTAGCATCACTGGAAGAAGAGGCGGTTTCTACATCCCAATTCGCGGAGTTGGACCTCAAAAAAGCATTCGCGGCGTTGACATGAAGCCTCAAAAGGCTGGAAAAGTCTTGAAGATTTGAAATGATACCCAAGTCTAATCGAATGGCAACACATATTGTAGCAGAATAAATCATCTTCCCTTAAGTGCAACCTACCCAGCTCAGAGACCCATTGGCGTGCTCGTAATCCCCTCAGATCACGCGCACAACTTATTCACTGTTTCCTAACCCCATACGGAAGAAAGTAAACCAGATTTGTAAGCTATAATAGACTCAGCATCGTCAGACGAAAAGTACCTTTACTGTGATTTGTTCAAGTATGATTTCTGAGTCGTGGAGTTGGATCTCGCAAGGCATCACTCTTGCCAACTAGGCAGACACCCATCTGCTGCCTGATCACCACATAGCTACCTAATGCCAGTGCAATTTCCATGGATACATAAAATGCCTAGACAAACACGAGAGTCGAGTGCTACCTTTTCAAAACAATTCAATAAGTTCTCGGAGCAGATCCATCAACAACACTTCGTCTCGCACTAACGCCCAAACTTTGGCTCGGCCCTACAACCACCCCAAAATGGCAACTTACTCAAAAACAGACTTGTACGGCGGAGCCATCACCGCCGATCTCCCTTCTACATATGTAGACGTCAGGTAAATGCGCACTCTCGGCTTATCGGTACGCTCAGATTACTCACAATCCCCAGCTCATTCCGTCAAGTCCCCGACCACCAAGAAGTATACGTCGACAAAGATGGCCTCACATCCGTAATCTTCGAAATTCTCAACTACGTCGGCCCGGAGATTGCCGCGACAGACGAAGATGCCCTCAAATATCACTTTGAAGATATCGCCGAGGGAACGAATGATACGACAAAATACCTGATAGCGGCCAGTGCCAAGCTATCAAAGTTGCCGTAAGTCCCCCTCGCCAAATCCCATGTTCACCAAAGGTTTGACCACTGCTAACACCAACAAAATAAGAACGACGCCAGTATACCTCCTTGCAGCAACACAGACCCCAGCGCCAGCTGAGCCTTCGCCATTTGGCAAACCACCTAAGCCGCAGCCAGATTTCTACGGCATTCTGTTGATTTTGGTGCGGTTGCCGCAGAAGAAGACTGATATAGTAGTCACGATCAATGTACCGCATGTGCCGGGCGAGTATGTCAAGGAGGACGTGGACTTACAGGCGCAAAGGCTAGGGCCATTGATGGAGACCGCGATGGAGATGAGGGGCAAGGTCTTGGAGTCATTCGAAATCAGGGAGTGGGGGCTATTTGGGGAGGAGTAAAGAACATCTCGTCGGCAAAATAGGACCGGAGAGTCTGCATGGAAGTGTTTGCATGGGATACGACAGGAAAATTGAATCATAGATACAAAAGTTGGTCGGTTTACAAGGGTAAGATTCCAACGTAGATGGCCAAATGAAGCAATCGATCAAAATGACAAGGGACCGCAATTGACAGTCTGTTGAAATTACCAGCTTGCTGCAAACCTAGAGCTCGCAACTGAATAGTCTATGATACAACCAACACGTGCGGACGGGGCATCAATCATACAGCGATGCCGCTTTTGATAAACTGCTTTATATCCCAAACGCCAGCGTTGCCACCCAATGCTTGAATCGCAATCAAAAATGAATCTCACTGCGCTCTCACGGACCAAGTCTCTGTGCCGGACTACTCAGTCGTATTGCTCCGCGAGGATTCTCTGTAGACGAAGGAAGCACGCCATATCGTCCATACGTTTTTTGGTCGACTGACACATAGTGCGGCAGACGGCCGAGCAAGTTGAGCTTCCCTTCTATCCAGCGCAATATCTTCTCCGGTGGTGCAAGGAACCGGAGATAACCGAAACCCCAAGCATAGCCTATGGCTGCGCCAGATAGATGGCCTAATAGGCTGACGTTAGGCATGATAAAGCTGACAGCGAGGACTATGAACAGTGGCGTTGTCCACGTTGGGATTCTGTATGTTCCTATGCTGAGGTGCGGATTCGCGCGGTAGGTCTTTACGGCTTCGGAAGCCAGGAGGAGGAAGACCAGTATACTGCTAAGATCAGTCTAGAACACTATGTATGACCGGGGCTATTACCTTGAGCCCTGTACTCCGACATCTCCGCGTAGTATGCCGCGCTCGAGTAATATGTAGATAGCGCCAGGGAGTAACCCAAATGCTATATTGTAATCAGTCTTCATAATATATGCAAACGCAAACTGTCTAGTCTTACGGCCAGTGAATAAGACAATCGTTACGATTGTTCCATTTTCCGATTCGAACCGTTCGAGCAGTGGAGTCAACGCGAGGAGATTGAAGAAGGCGTGGAAGAATCCCACATGTAAGAAGACATAGGTGTTCAAGCGGTATACTACAGGTATGGCCAGTCAGTTTATGAATCTTAGACTGACTGGACTCGCGGAACTTATACTCACACGTAGCCAACCCGACTTTACTAGGAATCAACGCGCCCCATTCTTGAAGCCACGAGAACAGCCAGCTGGCTAGGTAGAAGAGGACAATGACGAGTAGCAGAAGGCGCGTTGCAAGCGGCAGACGTAGAACATATGATCGTATCCGTATCGGATTGAATTGGGGTAATGAGAACGCCATCGTATGAGTTACAAGCGGTTGAGGTACGTCAAGCTGATCGGATACTATCAATCAGAAGCTTGCGAACGACAAGCAAGGCAGGCGTTCTGCCGCCAGCTTGCAAATCTCGAAGCTAAAATCCGGGGAAGCTTTTCAGGGACCCCCGACAACCTATCTTATATGGATCACCCAGACACAACAACTCAACGAGGCATCAGGGTACCAGACCTGTCCGTAGGATGACTTTGCTTTGTACGTATTCTCGGATGCACCTTATTCTCATGCTCACAACGCAATATAGCATCCATTCTCGGCCTCCGTCGCGATGAACGACTCCTTAAAATCCCGCCGTACCTCTCCGCGCTGCTTGTCATAGTCGGTTGCGTTTGGCTATGTCTGCTACCACTGGACGAATATTCTCGAAAGACGTATATATCTGAAAATGCGCTGCTGCCTGGCCAAGTGCATACATATTTTGGTGGAAGTGAACACAACGTGTTCAGAGCATACCGGCATGAAGTAGCTGGACTTGTAGGCAAGTCGGAACAAGAGTATGCCAATTGATGTGTGTTTGAACATTCAAGCTTACTTATATCCCAGGCGGTCACAGAAACTCGGAGATATTCTTCGATTGGCAGGATTGAAAGTTGCTACACAGAAGTACGAGTACGATGTGTCGGGTCGTAAACTATCTGGTGAGAATGTATACGCAGTCCTGCAAGGTCCCCGCGCGGATGCTACAGAGGCTGTAGTCATGATAGCTTCCTGGAAGACTATGAATGGCGACATCAACCATAGTGGTGTGGCTCTGTTATTAACACTGGCTCGGTACATGAAGAGATGGTCACTCTGGTCAAAAGACGTCATATTCCTAATCTCGGGAGACAGTAGAGAGGGACCTCAAGCTTGGGTAGACGCGTACCACAACGCTGTTCTCCCTGCGTCGGTCGAACCTCTCACAATCAAGAGCGGAGCACTCCAAGGAGCGGTTGCAATCGAATACCCCGCTGGACCTTGGGGTCATCGATTTGACAAGCTACACATTCTTTATGATGGTACCAACGGCCAATTGTCGAACCTTGACCTCTTCAATACAGCTGTTCAAATAGCAAGTAACCAGATGGGTATAGGCTGCACGCTCCAGCGTATGTTCGACCACAAGAACACGTATGAGGAACGGCTACAGACGATGCTTCGAGGGATGGTCAATCAAGGCCTTGGGCATTCGACCGGACCGCATAGCAGCTTCATTCCATATCACGTTGATGCAATTACCCTACAGACTGTGGGCGATGGTTGGCATGACGAAATGGGCCTCGGGAAAGTCGTCGAGAGCCTGTTTCGCAGTCTAAACAACCTCCTCGAGCATCTTCACCAGAGCTTTTTCCTATATTTGCTTCTCCAAGCCAAGGTCTTTGTTAGTATAGGGACCTACCTGCCGAGCGCTATGCTCGTTGCTGCAAATTTCACGGTGACATGTATTGCTCTATGGGTGCAGAGTGGCAGACCGCTCAATTCTTCCAAAGCTACTTCAGCAGCAACCCCCGGCGCAAGCAAGGAAGAGAAAATGGTAGTCATAAAGGAGAAGAAGTCTGTTGCCCTTGTCCCAGCGTCTACCTTGGCAGTTGTAGAGCGAAAAATGTTCTTTCCCCTCGCATACATCGCGGCGGCTCATTTCCTCGGACTCATACCGTTCTATCTGTTTAATAACAGTCCCGAACACGTAAGTCATTGACCATACGCCTACAATCTAGCCCTGACAACTTTCATAGGTACTCCGGCCCCTCTTTCATGCGACAACAGCCATCACACTCGTTCTTCCCATCATGACTGCGACCGCGGTCTCTCAATTTAGACGCCCAACACAGCAAGAAACCACCCTTATTCAATGCTTCTCATTACTTCTACTCGGCATGTTCTTGTCAGCATTGGCAACATTGAACTTCTCGTTGTCATTCATAATTGGAGTCCTCGCGGTGCCCCTGAGCTTCGTGCGACGAATCCCGAACAGCACCGTCCTGCCTTGTCTCATGACCGTAATCTTGACTGCTGTGAGTCCCATGATGGTGGCGACACTAGCAACACAACACTGGCACTATGATGTTGTGGACCTTCTACTACAGGCGGCTCAAGGCTGGCACATCTGGGGCATGTGGACGCAAGTTGTTGTTTGGCTTGTATGGTTCCCGGCTTGGTTCGCTGGAGCGTCTATTGTTGTATGGTCCCTGCCAGGCCTTTGATCCTTTGGGAAGTGTGAAGACACGTGTACATTTTATCATGATCAAGGCTTGATTTGGATGCTGTCTATATGTCATACAGGACCGCTTATGCAGGCAATACATGCACTACATTGGCCGCTTGCCAATCCTTTCGTCTGCTCGGCTCATGCTGCCCAGACATCCTTGCCAACCCCCTCGATCCAATTACCCAGTTGGTTGACGCTGGAATCCCATTCCTTCAGTCGCCCTCTCATGTTTTCGATCTGCTTCATATCGAGGACCTTCGGCTGTACCCAGTTGATGCGTGCCACCTCCGCAACTTGGTCGATCTGTCCCTTTACGAGACCCAAGCTCAAAGCCTTCATGATTAGGTGTTCTATCTCGATCGGCTTAACTTTCGTTTCCTCCGATATGGTCGCAAATGTCATTGCGCGGTCATGAGGCGGCCGACGAAATACAGCTTCTGTAAGTGCGGCAAGAGATATTTTTTGGTATAGGAAATGCGAATGCGCCTTGAGCAACTTGTTCTTCGATAGATTACCGACTTGTGCGTCCCAGGCGTTCAAATCGCCGCGATTGAACGCGAATAGCAATTCACGAAGCCATGCGTGGCTAGTGTTGTTTAGCGAATCGAGGATAGGGTGGAGAAGGAGCTCTCCGAAGTTGTAAATGGAGTCTGAGACGAGGGCAGCAATGCTGAGATCATATGCTCTTGACTGTCGCTCCTCTACCGATAGCATAGAGAGATCTATGCATGCCAGATATAGAAGAGCGTTCTTGTAGTATGATGCAAATTCTTGCTTGGCTTTGTAGTACTCGGCATTCGCGCCGTAGAAGGAAGCGTGTACAACGGTCTCAACAGAATCGAATGTATCTAGAATCTTCTCACACTCGTCTAACTTCTTCCGTGCCTCCTCATACTGCTCTAGTTGTAGGTGTATGTTTGCGGCTTCCACAGTGGCGTGAACGTAGGCGTCCTGGGACACAGGCTTGTTGACCCTTCCGGCAAGGGTCGTAACGAATTTCAGTCGATCTTGGGGATCTGATTATATATGAGACAAAGAATCTTAAGCACAGTGAGTTTTCTCATACCTTTAATCTGTGAAGCTGCCTTCAGTCCCAAAGTCACGAGCTTCAACTGGTTAACCTTTCCAGCGAAGCTCTTAATGAATGTGTCGTAGAGAGCCAGACGCTGTGGTGCACTATCTGGCTGGTTGAAGAATTTTATCAGCTCCTCTGTTAGCTCGTGCCATAGCTTCTTCTCCCACTTGTCTTCAAATTCTAGGAAATAAGGCTGGAGGTCCTCTGGAGCCTGCTCGCGCTGATCACCGAGAAAGTCGGAGATGCGATCCACCTCCATAGCCATCTTCAAGTTGAGTGTGACGAATCGATGGCAAATATAACAGTGAGAGGTATGTGGGAGTGAGTCGCGTGTCGATTATGCGTGAGAGTTATGAATTGCTGGACTTGTAATGCTCTCACGCTTTAGTGAACTGTCCGATGTTGGAGCTCCAGGTACGCACGCTAACACGAGCCCGCGATTAGGTAAGCTTGCGGTCCGCCATTCATGGAACGTCAGTTGAAGCTCCTCGCAGCGGTCTTACGAAGGTAACAACTTGTAACAGAGCCATTGAACGCAATGGCGTCGTCAAGACAGTGTATGCGGTCTGGCGCCGCCTTACAACAGGCTGTATTTCCCAGGGTCGCCAATTCACCCCTCTCTACAACCCAGAAACGCTACATTCAAGACATCGCGATCACTCGTACCGGAAAACCTATCATCCGAGTACAAGGTGGAAGGTAAGTCCAACCGCAAGACACACTCTGCAGCCACTAATTCTGTATATACAGGTCCTCTCTTGGAGGTATAACATACACCGATCGATTGACGGAACACCGCAAGCTCACCAACGATCATAGGACATACCGCAACCGTCTTTGGAGCTACTGGTTTCCTTGGGAGATACATTGTACAGAGACTGGGTTAGTATTTATATAGAATGTCTGCGGAGCCAGTAAGCTAAATATGATACATAGCTCAGACCGGTTGTACTGTCGTCGTGCCTTTCCGCGATGACATGGGCAAGCGTCATCTGAAGGTTTCTGGGGATCTTGGTCGCGTGGTCTTTATTGTATGTTCCTGAGCAGCATGCAAGGCTAGATATATGCTAATGGCCTATAGGAAATGGACCTGAGAAATACTGCGTCTATCGAAGAAAGCGTTCGACATTCTGACATTGTCTACAATCTCATTGGTCGAGACTACCCCACGAAGTGAGTCTTCTCGAAGTTGACCAATTTGGAATACTCATGCTCTTAGAAACTTTGATTTGGAAGATGTCAATGTCGAAGGTGTCGAACGCATTGCTGAAGCCGTTGCCAAATACGATGTCGACCGCTTCGTGCAAGTATCTTCGTACAACGCGGATGAGAATTCAGAGTCAGAGTTCTTCCGTACTAAAGCTCGTGGTGAGAAAGTGGCTCGTTCTATCTTCCCAGAAACGACCATCGTCCGCCCGTCTCCAATTTACGGATGGCAAGACGGGTTGCTTACCAAACTCGCTTATCCAAACCGCCACATTACGTCCAACCACATGCAACAAACGTTCTGGCCTGTTCATGCAAGCGATGTAGGTAAAGCCCTAGAGAAGATGTGCTACGACGACACCACCGCTGAACAAACGTATGAACTACACGGACCCAGCGAGTGGTCAATGGCCGAGCTCGCCCAACTTGTGGACGGCGAGACGTTGCGAGAACGCAGCAACATCAACATTCCCCGCCGGATCAGAGAACCATTAGGCTATGTTATGAACAAATACTTGTGGTGGCCAACTCTCCATAAGGATGCTGTGGTGCGCGAATTTATTGACCAGCACATCGACCCCAAGGCGAAGACGTTCAAGGATCTTGATATGGAGCCAGCAGAAATAAGACAGTGGTCGTATGAGTATTTGAAAGGATACAGAAGCAGCAGGATGATGGACCTACCACCTATGACTGAGAGGGAGCTACAAGCAGAAAAGCAGTACGACCACGTGCGGCGAAGTTATTGACCGTTCCTTTTGTTGTAACCTATGCGGCACTTGTAAATAAAATTGATCAATGCAACATTACCCCTATTTCTCGCTGACTATTGTACAAGATATCGGCTTAAAACCTGCACATTGTACAGTGTGCTTTCTAGATCCCAAATGAAGTTGCGATACCGATCCAATATAATGGCCGCCCATAAGAACAACGGCGATCATCCACCGAAACACAAAACCTGTCCCTACCAACATATCGGTATGCTTGTTCCAGTAACCTGGCTGAATGATTTCATGCCAGCGCTGTTCACGTCCTGGCTGTGCCCATCTCGCAGCACAAAATATATCTTCCTCAAGCTGGCATCATTCGCAACATGCTTGAGCCTACATTCCCTAAGTACTCTCAAGATAACTGTCTGCCGTTCCCTTGTCCTTCCCAACTTGCCCTTTCCTTCAAGTATTGCACTTGTCACCAATCGTTATCGCACTCATGCCATCCGGCTAGTATAATTACCGAGACGTCGCCTATGGTTCTCCGCCGTAGTGATCTTCGTAACGACATACTCGGAGGGCTACGCCGTATATCTAAGCTTTTCATATAAGCCATCTGTTAGACCTATGTAACAGCTTACTGTGGTATGCTATAATATTTTCGAAGCTTGTTCGCTTAGTCAATAGATAACGAAGGCAGCATTTGTGTCATTCGAAAGACAGGAATGTTCTTAAGTTCTCTGGATTATGTATACAAGTGTCGCAGATGACTGTGTAGACTCTTCTGGTAATTTGTGCTAACCTTTTCCATACGATTCATATACATGGTGATACATCATGATGTTGATGTACCATGTGCATGATTGCCTTCAGGCCTGCTGGTATATATACCTCCAGAGTAATAATCGAAACAATTTCTTTTGAATCGGTAGCCTCAAGATCATATTCCAGCCTCTAGTGTGTGGCAGTATCTAGCCATCTACAAAGCCAGCTTGGCTCTTTCAGCACAATACGGGAGTCTGACAAGTTTCCCAGCTGAAGACAGTCGCGGACCCTTGATTATATTCTCTTCTTTCATCATCAACTTCACGTTGCTCTCTTCCCTGCCACGCTCGTGCTTCGCCCAACGCCCACACCACTGCTCACACCGGTCCTTCCAGATTCGCGGCCACTGACGCTCCCGCTGCGGTTGCTGTCTACGCTTCTCCTGATGCTGCTACTGCTGCTCCGTCGCCGATGCCTCCGCATCTCATCTGGGTCGTGAGGGTGAAGGCCGCTGGCCCGGGCAAAGACATTGAGAATATCTGTAAGACTAACGACACCCGAGAGACGTCCAGATAGATGAGCGCCTGGTAGAGCAGAAGCTGATACAGCGGGAGCTCCTAGGTTATTACCATGAGGTGTCATAGTCGATGTTGCTTGACTGAAAGGCGCTGGAGGGTGTAGCACAGCAGGTGTGGTTGCAGGTGTACTCGGCGCAGACGAAGCAGGCGATGGAGCATCCACTATCCACATACTTCACGAGTTGTCAGCAGAATACTACAGATATGACAGTGTGGCTTACCGGTGAGACTTGGTGGCAACCAATTTAGCCACAGTGTGCGCCAATGTAGAGTATGGGCTAACATGAAAGACAGGGAAAGAATCTTTGCCATCGTCCATACCACGCTCCGAGAGGATCACAGAGATGAAATGGATGCAAGACGAACTGAGCAATGGCAGCGAAGTAGACTTTGTTAGTAGCTATTAGGCTGATTAGTAAAACACCCCAAATATCGGTAATATATCTTACCCGGACATCCACATTGGAGATGTTCCCAATGACGTTCCGTTGACTGTCAAGAACGGGCAAAGAGGTGACGCCTTCGTTATTCATAAGCTCTAGAGCTGTCGTCAGGGGTTTATCGCCACTAATTGAGGTCAGAACAGTATTGCATGAGGGTACACGTCTGCTTACTTGATTGAGTAGACTGAATGCGACCCGATGTTCAAGTCCTTCAAGACGCCGCTGTATAGGGGCTCGAGAGCCGGGAAGCTACTGCGATGCTCCCAGAAGAAGCCTAGGAGGTGTAACTGTGATAGAACTCCAACAACGTCAAAAGTGCCTTCTTTAACCACGATTAAACGATGTATGCCGCTGCCAAAGACTTCCATAGCTTTTGTGAGATCGGCGGTATCAGCAAGAGTGATGATGGGCTCTTTTCTACCCAGGTCTTTCACGTCCTTTAGTGGTATAGGTTTCCCTTCTCGCCCTTTTTTTGCCAATTCTTCGAAAGACTCCGTTTGTCCCTCTTCCGGTAGAGCCAGGCCGACAACCAAGAGAAGATATGCATTCAGGTCTGCGTAGTCATATGTACCGATTACGGCCTGCGTCTCACTGCTTTCTCTTATTAGGACTACGTTTGTGGAATTCGGATTCACCAGGAGCTAGATATCGTTAGCGCTGCATGAAGATATTATAACACGCTTCCTACGTTGGTGGCAGTCTCGACGCTGTCATCCATGGTCACGAATTGTAGTTGTTGCTCCTTCTCCTTAACGATCTCGCCTAGTTGCAGTGTCCGCCAATCCCGGCCTCGAAATCTTGGGTCTCCATTACCTCGAACAGGTGGGTTGTCGAGCAATTCTTGAAGTGCATGTTGTGATAGGGAAGGGTGTCGTTGTCGAGGAGAGGACGGGATGCCCCGGAGATTCTCCCCGAAGCTTTGACGATGGCTCATGGGGCTCGGATTGATTCGAGACAAAGCGTCTTTGGTGTGTGGAGATCGCGGGTTGGTGGTCGAGATAGGTGCTGGGTGCGTTGGTGCAGGCGTATCATTTTCTTTGAGACCTGAACTGTCTGTCATAATGGTATAGTTGTGTGTTGCGCTGTGTATTGCCAAGTAATGAATCAAGCAGACTCCGCAATTATGCTGATATACTATGGAAATTTAGTTGAGTAGCACACGTTACGAAGTGAGCTCAGCGAAGTGACGATGGCGGAGTAGGTAGTGTTTAGGTGGGGCATATTGAATGGATCCTCCATCCTTTTAATCCCAGTTTGCGATAAGCGGAGGTGCAGGAGCTCCCCGAGCTTCGCAGCACTGCATGATTGCGTACCAAACACATCATGTTCCAATGTATCTACGAACCGCAATGTAATAGATCAAACAACTCAATTGGAGAATAACGAAATCGCGCTGCAGGACGAAAATAGGTCTAGGCGAAATGACAGCGAGCATGTACAGGGAAGTGAATAAATGAGCTCTTTTAAAGATAATATCTAGCTACACCCAGTGTTCTATTCAGAAGCGCCCGCGTATCTCCTGTAAGCGGCATAGCGATAATCCACACACCTGTCTCCATTTGGGCCTGGGAGCTTTTGTGCGTACTGTACGTGCCTATCCCAATCTTGGACGCGGATATATGGACTCCGAAGCCATGAATTTAGCTCGTGTAAGAATAGACATGCATTCTCTCGGCCGATGAAGTCTTGAAGCATGTCTTGAGCTTGCCCTGCACTGCCCTTTATGTCTACTGTTTTGAGTATGGCTATAAGGTATGATAGAAGGAATTCGGCATTTGACGCTCGTCCAACACTCGCACCCCTCTCTTGTTCATCGTCATGTGAGCGTCTCTCATTGGTGGGATCTAGAAAAGTGAAGACCTGTAGCTCCCGCCGTATCCACTGTCGAGCTCGAGATTGCAAGTCGCTGGACGTAGAGAATTGGATTGGTGTATAGTCACGATACCTAGATACTCGGTTGCTGCCTACATGGAGACACCGAAGCCCGTGTTTATACACGTGTCGTCGACGAACCAGTGCCAAGTCAGGGCTCGGTGCAGGAGTAGTAATACCCCATGGTCTTTGAGTTGGTGTTCGTTGACTCGAGTGCATCAGTCGATTTTGACGGGAAGGTGAAGCGTTTTCCACTCTACCAGATGGCCTGGTCGGTTTGATGGCTAATCTCTCAAAGTCAGTTGGCGACGCAAAGTCATATTCTATTGCTGTGATCTCGGTGTTGCCTATGCTTTGTCAGTGGACATGCGTGTCGTGGGCACGACACTCACATAGCGGACACACAGAACGCTGCTCTAACCAGCTGGCCAAGCATATGAAGTCAAACGTATAGTGATTACACGGCGTTGTTATGGCCCTCTCGGAGATGGGGCAGAGGCAGATGACGCAATGATCTGGGACTGCTTGACTGACTTTCACCTTGCCTCGCTCGGCAATGGTATCTGTGCAAACATCCCGCGAAAGTATGGGCTCGCTCGCCGTCTCATCATGCTCCATATACGAGAGGCGTAGTCAGGAAGCGTAATGATAGGTAGGTAACGTTGAGAGAAGGGTTCAGGTCAGAGTTGAGTACCTGGAAGCCTCAGACCTTAGCGCGCGTCTCTGGTAGGGGTAGGGCTGAATGATGGGCGGTTACAGCCCGGCACGATCGACACCGGCGTAATCTAGAGCGCGTTGCGCGACATGACTCTGACCAAAAATCCTCGTTGAATTCTTCCAAAGCCTTCCACGATTTCCCGCATATAGTGGTGCATGATTTCACTGCTATGGAACAAGCCGAAATCAAACCTCACGTTTCGTAGATCTCTCGGGATTCTTTTGCCTCCAGAAGCGATGGCCAACGGCAATGGCGGAAGTGCGAAATACACACTGACTGGCTTGAAAAGATGGTCCTGTCAGGACAATGCTCTCCCACGTAAACATGCCCTTAAGCTATTGTCTAATCGATATAATACTCACATTATACCCATAGCTATCCCTAATATCAAGTCGATTCATATCTACGACTTCGACAATACTCGTAGGTCAAGCTGTACATCAGCCAAGAATGCTTTCGCTAAATACCCGAAGTCTTCATGAGTCCTCTACCGAACAAGCAGCTATGGGATATAAACACAATAGGTAAACTGAGTAGCATGGACTATTTTCTAGGAGGTGGTTGGTGGCACGACAGTAACATATTAGCCGCCACTGGCGAAGGTTTGGAAAAAGAAGAAGCCAAAGCATGGCAAGGATGGTGGAATGAAGAGGTTGTAGACCTGGTCAAACTGTCGACGGATTCGAAAGACGCCTTAACTGTGTTGCTTACCGGAAGAGCCGAGGCTCGCTTTTCCGATCTCATAAAGCGTATGGCACGTAGCAAAGGCATGAACTTCGATATGGTCTGCTTGAAGCCGACTGTGGGTCCGTCAAATCAGACATTCGGTAGTACATTGATGTACAAGCAAGAGCTGCTCAAAGAAATAGTGTACACGTACAAAGATGCAGAGGAGATACGAATATATGAGGACAGGCCGAAGCACACGAAAGCTTTCAGAGAGTTCTTCTTTACATTTAACAAGACTCTGATGACACCAGACACTCCGGTAAAACGTAATACGATCATAGCGGAAGTCATCCAGGTCCCCGAAAACGCTGCGAGTCTAGACCCAGTCACAGAAGTAGCGGAAATTCAGCGAATAATCAACGCTCACAACGAAGAGGTCAAAGCACGCCGAGCACCACCAGGGACAACATCTTACCAGATCAAACGGACGACTTCCTTCACTGCCTACCTCATATCTCCAGAGTCTACTAAGAAACTTTTGAGTCTTGTCAAACTGCCGCCGGGCACTCCTGAGGGAGAAGTTCGCCACCTCGCAAATAGCATCCTTATTACTGCGAGACCTTGCCCCAAGACTATCATGGATAAAGTCGGCGGTATCGGCAAGAAAGTCACCTGGCGAGTCACAGGCACTGCGGTTTTCGAAAACAAGTTATGGGCTGCACGTTTGGAGCCAGTATCTGAATCGTCCAGGGACGTTTACACGGACAACGCCACCCCAACTGTTGTATTGACACTCAGAAGAGGCGCCCGACCGATGGACGCGAATCGAATTCAGAATTGGCACCCAGTATCTGAGGCTCAATCGTTCGAGATAGAAAGCACCGTCGGCGAAAAGGTGACGCTTCGCATTGAAAACGAGGTCCGGGCGAGTAACGACCGAGAGAACCAATATGCGAACAAGCAGGCCAAGCGCAGCCACGGACGCGAAGACGACTACATGTCTTTAAGTTCAGGCCCACCACCTCAGCATAAGCGCCAGCCTCAACACAATTGGCAATGGCACGGGCCCGATGAGAGACGTGGCGGCGGCATCTCAGGAAACTACAGAGGTGGTAATCAACAACGCGGTCGAGGAGACCGCCATAGAGGACTTCAAGGAGGCCGAGGAGGCCGAGACAACCGCTCCCGCGGTGGTGGGGGTGGAGGTGGAGGAAATCGAGGCCGTGGAAGAGGCAACGGGGGCAACACATATAGAAGTCTTGATGATGTGGAAAATACTGGTCAGGGAGCGAATAACTCCTATCCCAGCTATGATGATTATTGAAGAGATGATCAACGGACGCCTTGGCACTAATAGAGGCTATGTGCATTCAGATAGTGTTTGTATCATGAGTGTGCAGCATTTGTCAGGGAATTGGCGTTAGCTCAGAACCTGGCGTTGGCTCAGATCATCAGCGAATGCAAGATCTCACGAATTCAATCAGGGGCAGTGTACTACAATGATTATGTATGTAGCGATATGTAAATTTATTGCAGAAAATGTAGGCGAGCTCCTGCACAACTTCACGACCTCCGAGTCTGTGGTGTAGTCAAAATGATAATGCATGTCTAATTGCCGTGACACGCCGATAACGGCTGAATTAGGAAGGCACGACAAGGCGAAATGCAGATTGCCACCCCTGGGCGTTTCAAGGTCTCCACACGCCGACCACAGCTGGACGACTACTGCGTCTTCGATCCACCTATGCTGCAAAAAGCTTCTTGTTGCTTCCAGCATGGACACAAGCTTCCAGTGGTATACCAAGCTTCGCTTGCAGCGATCTTCATCTCAGGCACCTTACCCAGCCCCCAGCGCACGAGACAACGCCCGGCCACCTGACTGGATGGATCGGATAACTACCAGACGGGGCGGTCCTGTATCCGCTGCATATCATCTACGCCGACCTACCTGTTCGATATCTAGAGCCGCTGCGACCCCGAAACATCATCCAATAACAGCGGCGGTGCTATAGCAGAGCACTATCTTGGATACACGTTCAGCAGCCGGAAGGATGGCGCTGAGGTTCGCCAGAGATGCAGTACAAAACGTGAGGAATCCCATTGTCATGGGAGACGGACGTGTAGATCTCATCGTAAATATGGCTTCCTCTGTACCTTCCCTGAAAACTATATCGAAGTTCGCCCTGGGCAGTGTCCAAGTCCTCTTAGGATCAGGCGCAACAGTGCTGGGTGGAACCCCAGCAACATGCTCAAACTCCCAGCTCAGCTGTCATAATACTACTGCAGTCGCAAACACTTGCTGCTTCAATGCACCAGGCGGACAGCTTCTCCAAACCCAGTTCTGGGATACCAACCCTCCTACCGGACCCTCGGACGCCTGGACGATCCACGGACTATGGTACGTTCTTAAGTCCATCTACACGACCTCATCCTAACCTTGAATAAGGCCCGATAACTGCGATGGTACCTATGAAGCTAGCTGCGACTCGAAGCGCGAGTATACTAATATCTCTGCTATCCTCAATGCCAACGGCAAGCAGTCAACACTCTCATACATGAACACATATTGGAAAGACTATCAAGGCAATGACGAAACCTTCTGGGCGCATGAGTGGGGGAAGCATGGCACATGCATCAGCACATACGAGCCCTCCTGTTATTCCAGTTTTTCTCCTACCGAGGAAGTTGCAGACTTCTTTGAAAAGACTGTCACACTCTTTAAGGCGCTGCCGTCTTATCAATGGCTGTCCGAAGCCGGCATCATACCCTCGTCCAGTAGCACATATACATCCGCTCAAATCCAGAGCGCCCTCTCGGCCAAGCATGGATATCAAGTCACACTCGGCTGCTCCAGTGGCGCACTCAACGAGATCTGGTATCACTACAACGTCAAGGGCTCCGTGCAGACTGGAGAATTTGTAGCAACTGACCCTGATGGTACCAAGTCCACTTGCCCATCCACGGGTGTCAAGTACCTTCCTAAGGGCTCTTCAGGCGGTGGCACGAAGACAACGTCCATCGGCCCTGCGCCAACAGGAGCTCCATTTTCTGGCAAAGGTAAGATATCTCAATTATTCATCTCACTCTCGCTGATCACCAGCAAAAGGATACTTAAATGGCAACTCTGGAGGCTCACAGAAAGGTTGCATTATCAGTGCTGGAACTTGGTACAGCTCTGGTACTTGTGCTACCTTCACAGCGACTTCTTCTGGTAGCGGGTTTACTCTATCATCTAGCAAAGGTAAACACCATTCTCCGGTCCGTTTGTCTTGTCTCTGCTAATAGTCCTGAAAGGTCCTTGTGCTATTCAGTCTGGCACACTCACCTGTGCTTCTGGTACTACCGCTACCGTGTTCACATCGGACAACGGCAAGCTCGCCTCGGGTGGAAGCTCGACATTCTATGCAGATTCTGTCCCATCCGGGTCGACGCAGCAGAAGGTGTACACGTCTAGCCACGCGACTTCGTTGACGATTACATGGCAGGCTGTTTGATGCATGTATTAGCGTGTTTTTGAGTAGCACATTTGTAGCATTGGGTGGTCAATTCACACAATGTTAGATCTAGACTGCTTAGATTGAGCTGTTTCATCTGGGCATTTTCATGTGCTTACTAACGAAACATTTAGACCACCTGGGCAAATAGTTACCACATCACCCACCCGACTGTTTATGTATATGAACATCACCCATTCGATTACCATCTATGACATGGCATTGTAGAGAAAGGATAAGTAAGTCAGTAACTGGCACCTTTGGGTCAGGCTAGTGGTAAATAAGCGCAGTTTTCTTGCCTCGGTGCGGTCTGTTTGAATGTTTTTGTTCAAATTCTGACATTTGACAAGAAATAGTGATTGAAATGACAGGGGATGGATGTGCTTGATATTAAGCATTATGAGTAAAACATATTTCAACGAGGACGACATTTCATGCTTCACGTGAACCATGCGATTCCTACATATGATCACATGCGTGAAGGGTCAGTAACACCTTCTCGCACCCTTCTTCGTCTAGCCCCCTACGTCTCCCTTTCAAATCCGGCTGGAGTTTCTAATATAATATCTCTAGATCACACGTCCTGCGCAATGTATACTCAAAGGTCCCATCTAGACCATCTAGCACCTTCTCCAAGACCATCTCGCCTCCGCTTCGACTACCAATTGCACCTCACCGCTAATCTCTGTCAAATAAAATCGAGAAGATGGCACCGTCACCCACTGTTAACAGGCCATTACTCCGAAGTATCATGCCCTTCCTAGTCTTCCTTAGTGCTGCTACCAATTCTCCCATCCCTTCTCGTTGAAAATCAAGCCGTTACAATAAGCATATATTTGTATCGCCATGATTAACATACGTCTTGGCTTAGCATCTCGTAGGACCGGGAAGAGGCCGATAAGACAACACCGTCTAAGTTATGCATGTGGGCAGTAGGATGGACGTCGGGTCCCACTTTGTGAATGGCAGCGTTGATAAAGGAGTAGGGGGCGTTGACATCGTAGAATTCTTGTCGCCGATAGGGACTCTGGTGTACTAGACAAGGATGTTATCAGAAGGTTGGAGGTCAGAGAAGGCACAGGTTAAGGAACTGTTTCAAAAGTGTACGGGCTGGGAGGATCGCAGATGGAACTGTGACACGGCATATTTGGGACTGATTGATGGTATAATTCTACGTGTGCTTGTCAAGACTCGGCTAGTTCTATACGAGAACCTGGCATACTGAAAGGACTAAAGATCTGAAAAGAGCGAAACAAAGGAATAGGGGACGGAGAAATGACAAGGAGCAGTAAAAGAGGAGGTTGAGGGTTTGAGAATATGCCTTTACCATAGCCTTTACAGGCAAGTGCACGGAGGAATAGAGGCATATATCTAAGGTTCCAGTAGCTGTGTTTTATCAGGTGGGTGAAAGAATGTTGGGAAGCTTAAAAGTTTGAGACATGGCTTGATGAGGCGTCTTGTGGTCTATGTTGTATGGGTTATACTCCCACTCCTTTTCTAGAGCCCCAACGAAAGAGTTCCTAGTGGGATCTCCGAAGGAAACATAATGAGTCCCACAGTCCTTCGAATACGAGGCACCCAGGAGGTTCCGGATAGGAGCTTTGCATTGACAGGATCAGTCTGGACAGGATTGGAGCCTCGAGGCTGTGATGCCTATATATTGTCAAGATGAGTATCTCTACGTTTCGATATACAGATATATCGTGGGTGAAAAGGCAGTTATCGGACCGGACCAGAAAGCAGCCTGCACTTGCGTATGGCACATGATTATAGTGAAGGCCAGGCCCTAATATGCTGCTGGCTACTGTGTTTGGGAGTCGGGCACCTGGGCGGGTCTCCGAGGTCAAGAAGAAGGCGCCCACGTGGCTTTGCCTGTGGCTGTTCCCAGTCAGGAGGATCGCGCTAGATTGGCAACTCGACCCTGGGCAGCCTAGCTAATCACGGCTCCTTAGCTGCTTTACCTCACCCGAATCGGCTGCGTATCCTATCCATTGCTACGTGCAAACGGCGCAGTTACCGTGGATGATTTACGGTACCTACCTTATCGGCAATCTTCTGCATAATCTGCTGGTGGCTGACATGAACCGAAACATGTAGCGGTGTGCTCACGAGTTTGAAGACGATGGATTCTATCGGTGCCACCACCAAGGCTTCACAGCTGGTGTCCCCTAAAGTTACTAAAACAAAGGCTGCTCCGACAGGTTCGAGCACGTTGCCAAACGCTACTTTTGGCTGTGGTGAATATAGTTGACTCTGAAAGCTCAACGAACCCAACTGACATTGTTGCAGAGCATGTGCAAAGCTTATTCAAGGCGAATAAGGCGCTTGCCAAAGAGACTTACGAGACTGCCATACAAACCCTCGCGGATCCTCGACGGATAAAACCTCAGACCTACAAATCATCTTCCAGCGAGAATGACACGATTGTAGTGTCCATAAAACCTACGTACCTTTGCCTTCAATGTCCGAGTATAATGAGCGCAGACGGAAGAGACAAGCATCATGAAGCCAGGAAGCACGCATTCAGTATGTGTGCTTTGACACTGCAATGTCCCCAAAAGCTCATATGATACAATAGCTGTCGAATCGCGACATGGTTGTCTTTATTGCCAGTTCTGTCGAGACTTCGTCTACGATCCAGAGTTCGAGAAGATTCGCGCCCAAAGGGGTAAGGCACAAGCTCACCTGGTTCATTTTCAACGAGATCTAAGCTCCTTCAGGTACAAAACGTAAAGCCGATGATTCCAATGGCATAGAAGATCAAAGACTGGTGGCCACACATGCAGCATTCGTACCATGTCGGGCTACCGGTCTACGCGGCCTTTACAACATGGGCCAAACTTGCTTTATGAGTGTCATACTTCAGACCATCATCCACAATCCACTGGTACGGAACTTCTATCTGTCTGAAGGACATAGCTCTCGGGACTGTGACGATGAGTACTGCATAAGCTGTGCAATGGATGAGATCTTTCAGGAGTTTTATTCAGCAGAGAAAACTGAGGGTTACGGTGCTGTGAGCATGCTGCTTGCAAGCTGGATGGCAGAACAGGTACTCTTGAGAAGATCCCAAGAGGACATGAGCATAAGCTGACATTCTATAGGCTCTCGTCGGCTATCAACAACAAGATGCTCACGAGTACATGCAGTTCCTCTTCAACTCTCTTCATCAGAAGAACGGCGGTACATTATCGGAAGATTGTTCCTGCATTATACACAAGACCTTCTACGGTCAGCTCCAATCTACAGTCAGATGCGATAAATGCAAGAATATCACCACTGCTCTCGACCCAGTCATGGACCTCAGCCTCGACATCCGCGACGTCAAGAAGCGCAAGCTTGAGCCCGGCGCTTCCAAAGCCGAGAAGGCCGAAATCAAAATCGATCTAAAGGAATGCCTGGACAGCTTTACCCAAAAAGAAAAACTTCCTGCCACAGACTATACATGCCAAAAATGCGGTGGCTCGCAACCCGCCACAAAGCAATTGAGCATCAAGCGCCTTCCACCTGTCGTTCCTGTGCACCTGAAGCGCTTCGAGCACTCCAAAGCTAACGCTACGAAACTTGAAACGCGGGTTGCCTTTCCTCTTCAACTCAACTTGCACCCCTACACAACCCGGGCCAAGGACGCGAACAACAAAAAGTCGTTCGCAAATGGCTTCGTACCAAAAGCAAGCCCAGAGCTTGTCTACGAACTCAGTGCGGTCATCGTGCACAAGGGAAACATTGATACGGGCCACTATATCAGCTACAGCCGCGAAGGCCAGGACTGGTTTCTGTTCGACGACAACAAGGCAGTAGCAGCAAGCGAAGCGGATGTTCTCGAAGCGAATGCATACCTACTGTTCTATATGGCGCGTGAGCTCTAGTAAGCTGGGCAGATTGTCGCTGCTGAAGCATTTTCATGGAGCATATTGCATGGTTTGGCGTTTGCGTGTATTTTTACGAAGAAGCATCAGGCCGGCGCTGAGGCGCTGCTATTTGCAGTATTTGATACTAGGGCCAGACTACCAAAAATTTATCAGCCAACTGTGGCCAGCTAGCTCACTGCTGCGGATGTATCGTCGTTGTGCTGGTCTTGGTATGAGTGAAGAAGACAGTTTTAATTCACCGCGTCCTGTAGGAAAGAGACCGATGCGCAGATCTCGATCCTAGCTTCCGAGCAAAGAGCACTTTTACCATGGCTTCGTCCTTCTGACGAGCAAAGAGGACTATTATTACATTGAGTGGTCACGAGAGTAAAAGAATTTAGTCGCTCCCAACGAGAATCAGGATTCAAAACATTCAGCAGTGGGTATTCGCTAGTGGTCACCCACCTAACTACTAATCCACCCCTATACTGCTTAAGTATGCGGGAGCGGACGGGACCGCTTGTTTTCAGTATGGTATGGCCGAATGTGAAGGTATGATATCTAATAACGACTGTATTCTATGATAGTACTGTCCGGCCACGTGACAGCTCGCTAAGCTAAGTCAGTCTTCGTTTTTAGATCTTTTAGCATTTTTGAGAACGTCCAGAAACAAATTCATTCAACCAAAATATCTCAAGATATGGGAAAGGATAAGAAAGCGAAGGCAGCTGACAAGAAGCTTAAAATCGTCGCTCGTCAAGAACGCAAAGTAAACAAGAAAGAAAAAAAGCACGCCAGCAAAGCCAAGAACGCCGACGATTCTGATGCCGACGACGTCGACATTGACTCCGTGCTCGCCGAGTATGCTCGCCAGCAAGAGCAATTTCTCAAAGTAACAGAAACACCCTGTAAGCCCCCGTCCGCACGCAGCTCCGCCACTCTGCTCGCAAACCCAGCAAACTCGAATGAACTTTTTCTTTTCGGCGGCGAATACTACAATGGCGCCCTTGCCCATTTCTACAACGACCTGGTCGTCTACAACATCAAACACGACGAATGGCGCACAATCACAAGCCCCAACACACCGCTGCCCCGCTCCGGCCACGCCTGGACACGGGGCGGCAATGCCGGTGGAATTTACCTCTTCGGCGGCGAATTCTCGTCTCCGAAACAAGGCACATTTTATCACTACAACGACTTCTGGCGCCTGGATCCACAGAGCCGCGAATGGACGCGCATAGAGTTCAAGGGTAAAGGGCCGCCGGCGCGCAGTGGGCATCGCATGACGTATTTCAAGAACTATATCATCTTGTTTGGCGGGTTTCAGGATACCAGCCAGCAGACGAAGTATCTGCAGGATGTCTGGATATACGACACCTCTACCTTTGTCTGGCACACGCCGATACTTCCGCCTGCGACGGGTAAGCCGGAACCACGGTCCTCTTTCACGTTCCTCCCGCACGAGCGTGGCGCTGTGTTGTATGGCGGTTACTCACGTGTGAAGGGCCCTGCAGGAAAATCTTCGCAGGCCAAGGGTGCCGCAGCTGGTGGTGCTGGTCGCACGGTGCTCAAGCCCATGGTCCATCAGGATACATGGTTCCTACGTATTACCCCCCCGCCTGCAGAGGCGCCATCGAATACGCTACCGAAGGTCGTATGGGAACGTCGCAAGCGGCCTGCGAATCCGCCGAATCCGGCGCGAGCAGGAGCGACAATGGCGTATCACAAGGGGCGTGGGATTATGTTTGGCGGCGTGTATGATATCGAAGAGAGTGAGGAGGGTATTGATAGTGAATTTTTCAACCAGCTTTTCGCATGGAATGTAGAGCGAAATCGATACTTCTCACTCACACTCAGGCGGCCACGTGCGGCGCCGAAGAAAGGGGGTCAAGGAGCTGAGCGCGGAAGGCGGGGACGGGGAAAGGCTGACGAGGAGGAATTGCTACGCAACCTGGCAGCGCTGGAGACAAAGGGGAGACTAGCTCACGATGAAGGAGATAAAGATATACCCGATGCACTGAAAAATACGGAGTCAGACGAGGAAACAGCAAACCGCCCCGAGAAAGCCGTGGTTTTCGAGATGCCACATCCACGCTTCAACGCCCAACTCACAGTGCAAAATGACGTACTGTACATTTATGGTGGCACATTTGAAAAAGGTGACCGCGAATACACATTTGACGATCTGTGGGCCATCGACTTAGGCAAACTGGATGGCGTTAAGGAGATCTTCAAGCGCGAGCTTGACGATTGGGCTGGAAGCGAGGACGAGATGGATGAGGACGAAGAGGAGGAAGAAGAAGAAGATTCGGACGTTGACAGTGATTTTGATGAGGATAAGTCTGACACTGCGAGTGTTACAACAGCCGCGACCTCGATTCCAGATGCCTCAAACAAGCCTACCGAAGACGAAGAGGAGGAATCGACAGCCACAGTTGACGACGGACTACCGCACCCTCGCCCCTTTGAGACACTACGTGACTTTTATGCTCGGACGTCTGAAGCATGGCAAAACATCGAGATCGACACCATGAACAGAGCGAGTGCGCATCCTGCAGCACCCAAATCAGTCAAAGAGATCAAGACGGCGGCGTTCGAGAGAGCAGAGGATAAGTGGTGGGATACTCGGGAGGAGATTCGGGTACTTGAAGACGAGCAAGAGCAAGCGGGGATTGGTGAGGTGGTTAGTCTGGCGGATAAGGAGGGCGGGAAAGGGGGTGTGAGGACGAGGAGATAGACGAGTAGGCTTCCGTTAAAACAGACTCCTTATTCTTGTCAGTACGGAAAGCCAGTAAATGTTTTATGCTCTCGACGTGATAACGGTAGATCAATCTAGAATAACGTGTCTTTACCGGGCTATTGAAAGTGACAGGCAGCAAGAATAAATATAGCTCATTATATAGTAGCTGAGCTGCTGCACGTACATGTTATCAATGTATTAGCCTGCAAGTTTGTGCTCCATAATGACAGGATGAAGATCATGATCGAACGAAGCAGTGAAACCCATCCCGTTCTCGAGAGGGTATAGACCAGTTTCACATGCTATTCCGACTCGACAGCCTAAGTTCCGCCCTCTAACAGTCTCCGAAGGACCGAGCATATTGTAGAAACCGTAAAAGGTTTTCCGACTACCAACCCCAAGTACCTGGACCACCCTTCACGGTGCTACGTTCGATATCGCTTGTCATCCACCCACCATAAAAGTCACCTGGCTGCGGCTCCACTCTCTCACCGTCAACATAACAATCCCACGGCCCCGCATAGAAGCTTAAGAAATTCTTGATGGGTGCAAAGCCTTTTGTCGGATCATCATAGCTCCAAATCCTACTCTTCACGACCTCCGAGGAATTACTCGGATTGACAATATCATAGTACGTAGCTTTGCCTTTCCACTCACAATACGACTGCCGCGGGTTTACCGTTAGTGGAACTTTGAGAGACGAAGGCGGAAGGTAATATGTTGGTGGATGGTGCGTTTCAAGAACCCAGTAAGCCTCCTTTGTATCCGCAATGAGCTGCCCGTTCCATTTGACCTGGAGATGGCGTGGCGTGAGCTCGCATGAGGGTGGGCGAGGGAAGTGAAGTGGGTTGATCTTGGCTTTTGTTAAGGTTGCCATCATTCATCGAAGCGTGAGACTATTGGCAAGTCTCACTCACATCTGAGTTGTTCACTGCCTAGGAAGACGAGTCCCATGCAATAATAGTCCCATGTAATGACATCATGTACCATGGCAGCCGAAAGGCAGCAGCCGAGGCATTACTAGCCCGATTAGGAATCATTCAACAATGCTTTAATTATCATTACAACGTATCGACCGGTTGAGAACGTATCATTCGACAAATCCTCTTGCTTCTATCATTCCGTGGCAAAGTTATCACAGCCTCACTGCGAACGCAGACGGACAAGCAGTCACTTTCCAAATCTCTTCCTGAATTGCAAATTCAGTGCTATCCGCAAGGTAACCAAAGATCTACAGATTTCCAGGATGTCTATCGACAAGCTCTTCAAGCCCATCAAACTGGGTGGCCTCAATCTCGACCATCGAGTGATCATGGCGCCCCTCACACGATTTCGTGCGGACGAAAGTCACACCCCAAGTCCCGACGCGAAAGAATATTACGCCCAGCGTGCCTCCTCACCCGGGACGTTGCTCATCACCGAAGCAACATTCATTTCGCCACGATGCGGGGGATACGATAGGATCCCAGGTATCTGGAACTATGGCCAACGAGCGGCCTGGAAGGAGATCACGGACGCCGTACATGCCAAAGGCTGCTATATTTATTGTCAATTGTGGGCGTTGGGACGTGTGGCGAACGAGGATGTCTTGGCAAGAGATGGTTTCGATGTACAGAGCGCAAGTGACGTGCCAGTTGACGAGACGAAGCCGACGCCGAAGCCGTTGACGGAGGATGATATCAAGTTAGTGATCCAGGACTATGTGGATGCAGCTGAAAATGCCATGATTGCGGGCTTTGACGGTGTAGAACTCCATGGTGTAAGTCTCGGCTGGAACAGTAGTATATGTGGTTGTAAAGGCTGATATAGACAGGCGAATGGCTATCTAATCGACCAGTTTTGGCAAGATGTGACGAATAAGCGAACAGACACATACGGCGGTAGTATCGAGAACCGCGCACGATTCGGCATCGAGGTGACCAAGGCCGTGATCGCAGCCGTAGGAGATAGTAAAAAAGTTGCCATGCGCCTTTCGCCTTGGGCCACGGGTCAGCGTATGAAGATGGAAGATCCAGTCCCGCAGTTCTCGCATATCATTCAGGAGCTGAAGAAGCTCAATCTGTCGTACCTCCACCTCGTAGAAAGTAGAGTGGGATACAACACGACTGCAGTCGACGGCGACTACCATGTACTGACTAGGGAGAACGACAAATTCGTCGAACTATGGGGTACGGAGGCTCCAATCATGCTGGCTGGTGGATTCACCGAAGAAAAGGCAGCGAAAGTTGTCAACGAGGTGTATACGGCTGACAACGTCACCATCGCTTTTGGTCGCTATTATATCAGCACTCCAGACCTCCCGTACAGAATTAAGCGAGGGATTCCGTTGAATAAGTACAACCGGGAAACCTTCTACTCCTCTGGTCCTGAAGGTTACATCGATTATCCTTTCAGCAAGGAGTATTTGGCGGAATTGAAAGCATAAGTGAAACCATGGTGACTGCTTGTATAGTAATCTGAAGTAGAGCTTCCGCGCACAGCAATCAGCCTATGGTCCACTAGTCCATAACTTGGATCATGGCACAACTCGGACTTACGTTGGCTTCGACTGTGCACCTGGGTTACTTCGCACCTGTAGGGAATTGGCAGAGGCATCTTCCATAAACCAAAGATCAGTATATGCATATCAAACCATCTAATGGTTGGACGCCCTGCGCTGTCCGGAAGTGCGTGTTTCGTATGCCTGAGAAAGCTAGGCCTTTCGCCCCCACAAAACAGAGTGTCAAAATTATGGATGGATGTTATTACCCCGCAGTCGACATTCCTGACAGGTTACAAATCAGTCAAATGTGCTAGGTTCTCCGGACGACCGTCCATGAAAACACTTTGTTGTACATAGACTACTTCGAGCGTTTTACTCTCCCGTAAAATTGCACGTCGGGGACTTTTCCGTGCCACCGAAAGGAAGTGATATGGCTTTGCAACTACAGGCACCAGGCTTGACGTCACAGACCACAAAAACGACCTGCGGATCTGAGCTGTTCAGTCATGCACGGTTACCGACACAGTTGGAGAAACCAGTGCTTGTATTGATCCATGGGTTTCCGAATACGTGAGTTCATCTGGATGGTGCTTGTCAGTAGAATATCCGCTAATGACTTGATAGAAATTATCTGCAAGTGCCACTGTGTGAATTATAGTGATACGCTAACCCATGTCATAGATGGCGCAAAGTTTGTGGAAATCGTGCAAGAGACATGTATTCCGTCACTTACCATTGCACGTATAGGTCATTCAGCATCTCCCGGCCAACCAGCCAATCTTCATCCCTGATGTATGGCGCGCATAGGCTTGAATAGAACTTTCCATTGACAGTGTGACAGATGCCAGGATATGGTGAATCAACTCCTTCGTCTGCTGGCTCTGATAAACGCACCGTTGGCTACGCGATCTTGGAGGCCCTAAGTAAACTCTTGAAGCATTCACCTCGTCCGATACCAGTCGTTCTCGCGGGCCACGATCGCGGCGCTCGAGTGTGTCACCGCCTTGCCACCGATTTCGCCTGGCCCGCCGCCATCGGACGTGATACACCAATTGCGAGTATCCTCCAAGAATTCGAGCTCAAGGGCACCGCATGCATTGACACCGTCCCTGAGATCGAGCAGTGGGCGTCTTTCGAGCACGGCCGCGTTGCTAAATCAACCTTCCACTGGCCTTTTCTGGCGAATGTGGAAATGGCGACTGCTATGATCAGTGCATACGGAGCAGCAAAGTGGTGTAAGAAGATGTGTATCCGCTGGGCTGGTCTAAAGGAGCAGATAGAAACAGAATCTGCCCAAGAGGTATATGCTCAGGCGTTTTCAAAGCCCGAGAATCTGCGTGCGGCGTGTATGGACTATGAGTGTGGTGCTGGTATTGATTTTGAAAGACAAGTCAAGGACCAGAAGGAAGGAAGAAAATTCAAAGGCCCATTTCTAGCGATGTGGAGTGCCACATATCTCGGCAGTCGCTTCAATTGCCCAGAGATATGGGGTCGTTATATGGCTGATGGCGGTGAATCTGGGGTCTTCGTGCCGGTTGGCGAGAAAGCAGGCCACTTTCTGCCGGAAGAGGCACCTGTGTCGCTGGCAGAAAATTTGACGAAGCTCATCGGCTAGATTGGGAATATATCACTTGTATTGGAGCTCTTGAATATTGGTCACTTCATGGTGTTCGATCTTGATATTCGCCCAGAACGCTTTTGCGACGGCTCCACTATCCATGACCCATGGATGCGACCTAACTTGGTGATGCACTATCTGTAATACTTGCGATGTGGCCCAGCGATTATCAGCATTGTCCAGAACGCTCGATTTTGCAGCAACATCATGCCGATCTGCAGATAATCGTTCTTTGTATGCCCAGTCCGGATTGGGAAAACATCCATGGAGTAGAACGATATTTTCGGGCTTGTATTTGCTCAATGATTCTTCACATAAGCGTGGTATGATCAATTCAATTGTTTTACTGTTGAAATCGATGCGTGCCACGATAGCCATACCAACGACACAAGAACAAGTAGGGTCGGGCATTACAAAATCCATATCGTTTTTTGCTATGTATGGTAGCGAGTGAACTCCGGGCTCCAGCGAGTTTTGATATTGAGCAGTGAATGCTGGATCTTCGGTGGCGATAAGGGTAACGATACTCCCTTCAAGAACGACATGTCTGAGAGACGTAACGATAGAAGGCGATAAGATGATTCCTGCAAAGCCGCGCGAACACCCACCATAGCTGACGACGAAGCGTGGTAAATTGTCGAGAGGTGTAGGATCCCATTCAGAGGTATCGATAGAGGAATATAGCGCCCTTTCGTGAAAGTAGCTCATGATCTGTATAGCTTGCAGCTGTTGCTCGCTCCGAACTCGGTTTATAATCCCGAGACTTGGTAACCTAATGACGTCGTATTTACCCTGCATTGTTATCGGTAGTGCGTCACGCAGTAAGCCTTCATGGTAGGGGTCCAAGCCCATAAGGATGAATCGCGTTACACATGCCTCCTTTGACAAGCTCACAAGACTATACAAGTCTGAGGTCGAGCGGTAGGCGTTCGTGTTGATTATCAAAGGTGGTTTTGCGTACAGAGACATGCCACAGTATGACAACAAGTCCGCCACACACTTTGTGGAATAAGTTGGATCGTCTTCCCATAGCTCTTTAGACATTGCATGGGCTCGCAAGGTTCGACGATATGAGTTATCAGGTCTGTAGGATTGACAATGGGCCGCTTCGTACGAGTCCTTATATATCTCAACGAGAGATATTTGCCCAGGGGGCGTATACGCTGGACATTGGTATTTAAGATCCAGTACCAGCACTGTTGTCCGCTTTGAACCAGGGTTCTGAGCGGAGTGGCTCTGGTTGCGGCTCAAGATGTTATTGAGCAGTAGCTTGATGAATGTTGATTTTCCACATTGCCTCGGGCCTGCGACCAGAATTACTGGGGGATCTTTAGCGTTAATACCAGCGACAAGTACATCCTTGACACTTTCAGGAACGTGGAGCGCGGTAAGTGGACGCCCAAGAGGATCCTGATCGCTGCGGTCGATTCTGTCAAATGAACGTCGAGAGCTCGCATCTTCTGGACTCTGTATAGCTTCTGTATTCCACAGAGACCTATATAACGGAGAAATACGACAAAGTGCTTGCATAGGTCGGCGGAGATTGAAGAGTAAGATATCTGCACCTGTAGTCGAAGTGCAAACAATTAGCGGGAGTGCTTGAGTTGCGCTCGCCAGCACTCGCTGGGCTGGGCTCTTGTTGGTAAAATCAGCACCGAGCATGGATACTGTCCCACGAAGTACTCGTAAAGAGTATGTTCCAAGGTTGGCAAGTCGATCATGATACTTCATGCGAAGTGTTACGCTGAATGCATCGCTGTTGAGGATTGATTGGTCCGAGGCTAGCCAAGTTGACATGACTTTCTGATCCTCCCTGGAAACTCCAGAGTCATCGACTGGGATGGCATCCGAAGAGATGATCGTAGCACCATCTTCATCATTCGATTCATATGGAGAGTCTCCATCATCAAAAGTGGGTTCTGTCAATACCGCCTTTGCATCTGCAGATTCAGCTGCTTGAAGTCGAGCCCGTGCTACCTCGAATGCGGTCAAGGTGCGTTCCGACTTTACATGGCCTTGGAAATATTAGCTAGGCATCGAATCACTGAAGTGCTGCGGACCGTTGCTAATGGTCGTGTATTCACCGAGCTTTCTTTTAGACATTTGTAGCGCGGACTTGGTGAACAGTCGTGGTTCGAATGTGGCGTCCTTGGGATTCGTTCGTGAAGAATCACTCCACGCGTCGAGATCTTCCTGATAGTTACTGCATAGCCTTTGGGGCACCTGAAGAAATCGAAGACGCACGGTCTACACGTAAGAAAAGTAGAGCGGAGCGGGACTTCAGCCACAGCGGGTCCTTGGCAGGGCGGACTTCCGACACGGGAACTTTTTTTTTGAAAGCGTCGTCTTAGAGAAAGAATCTGCCCATATCACTCAACGTACCACAAATGCACAGCTAGGAACAATGGCAATTGGGAAAACAAAGAAAGGAGTGCCTACGTCTGGTGCTCAAAAGAGTTTCAGAAGTGCAGAATATGTTAACAGCAGTGAAGACGATTCCGCAGGTCAAATTCCTGTCCCAAAGACCAACCACATCACGCCGAAAGAGAGAAAGCCACAAGCTTTGAAGGCGAAAAAAGCAGCGGTTCGTATTCAAGAAACACCAATCCCACTTCCGAACGTGTCAAGTAAAACACCGCTCTCGGCATCTTCCAATAAGACCCTATCAAATGCGAACTCGAATGGATCGGCATCCTGCTGCAGCAAAGCCCAGCAAGCTTCCCCTAGACTCCCAGAACTCAGACTAGAGATGGAAGTGGAAGAGGACGATTCTAGCAGTACTTCAGAGAGTTCTGATGCCACCGAAGGCGATGGCTCCGATCATGCCGCTACAGATCATGGCATTGCAGACGAGATCGCCGCAGACGATGGTACCACGGAAGACGAAACAACAGCAAGCAGTACAACCAGCGATAGCACTGCTGTAGTTAACAGACCTGCTTTCATACCTCCCTCGGGTTTTAAGGAGCTGGGCATTGGAGACGTGAAGCTGCACGATTCGACCAATATACTTTCAGACGCAAATCTTCGAGGAAAACAAATAATTCATATAATTGCGCCGGCAAGAATATCTCTAGCGGATATCGAAGCCCTAGATATTAAGGGTGTAATAAAAGCAAAGCAACAGTTGACGCTCACTTCACACGAAGGTGTCAAATACGGCGTAGCTCGCCAAGACGGACAAGCATGCAAAGAGACGAGGGTGCTCGTACCCAAAGGATCAAGATACTTCCCAAGTCAGTTTAAAATGTGTGGTTGTGTTCCAATATACTCATCTATAATGGCAGTACGCTCTACTATCTCTGAAACTCTACAGCTTCAGCGTATCATAGACCTTCCGAACCCAACTACATCGTACGAGGTTCCAGCTTCGAGGCCACTTAGGCAGCAGCCGAAGGGTCTGCGAATGCGATTTCGAATGTCAGGTCAAACACAAGACCAAGGTACAACGTTGGAGTGGTCAGATAGCGATGATTGTAAAGCTGTTCCTTCTCAGGAGAAACGAGTAGGAGCCAAACCCGCTCTGAAAGAGTCAGTAAAGAAGTCGAAGAATCGAGACAAAACATCTACGAAATCAAAGGACAAGGAAAGGGATAGCAGTAGCGGGAAGAAACGTAAAAAGGACGAACACGACGAGGACAGGAGGCGTAAGAAGAAGAAGAGAGATATAAATGTCGAGTGATACCCTATCAGATTAGTTGGAGGTTTATCTCTCTGATATAACTAAGCCTCTTTCAGAACAGGAGTGAATGTCCTGAAGTCTTGATATCAATATGTTTCGATGCGCAGTTCTGGCATAAGTTCTGCTCTATCTACACAATTGACATTTCAACAGCCGTCTAGGACCCCTGTAATATATGTCACATGCTTTCGATGCCACCCTCAAGCGCCTGAGTACAGGTGTTGCCTTATGTTTTTCCATGCGTGGAATGCATTTATCTTAAAAGGTCGAAGTATTAATTGCTGCGAGTTTAATGTATAGCTCTCAACTTAGAACTCACGCTCCGAGAAATGTTCTACCCTGGCCCACGTCTCTCGCATGGACTCCTTGCTTTAATTTCACCTTCTCCGCGAGTTGGAAGTCAATTGTCCGTTTGAAGTAAGCCCAGCCATAGGGCTGCAGTGACCCCACCAAGAAGCATACACAGCAACTTAGTGCCCGTCATAGCGAGGGTATGTTTGGTGGAGCAAGCTAAGCCCAGGTCGTTTAGCGACACTGCTTTTGCAGGGTTTATTCCAACATCACCTGGCGCGTTCCTCACGGCGACGCGACTGGTTCATCTCTTCCCACTGTGAGAAGCGCTCTCATACTGACACTCTTTGATCTCACATTCTTTTACTCGTCTGCTTCGAAAGCCTCTCAACGAAGAGTCTCTCTCTTGAACGTCACCCGACTTCGGGCTCAGCGTGACTAAGTCGTTTTCGCCAGTTTCGTCACGCGTCATCTTGCCTCGCTTCATCTCCGATACAGGATCAACTTGCGCACCTTTGCTACTCACCATACCGACTTGGTGCTGCCCCACGTGTCGCTCTGCGTCTCTAACAGTGCTATATTTGCACGTACCGGCGGAATATCATCCAGAACTTGGACGAAACGCTGGGAAACGCCGGGTAACGCCGCCCGAGCTATACTAGACCTCAGTGGTATACCAAGGCACGCATGTAAAGGTTTCAGAAGCGCATACGACATATAACGCTTATACCGCGATAGTGGTATATACATGGGCCACCATGGCTTCGGAAAGCCAAGATGATGATGCCGTCCGGTCGTTCGAACAGCCCGACTCTGACCTACCTCCACTGCCGACCGCCGATGATGACAGCTTTTTGAACAACAAGAGCGAGGTGAACCGAAGTCCTGCTGAGATAGATGGTAGTGCTTTGATGGAGAAAGAAATGAGGAGAAGGCTGATGGACATGGAATCAAGTTTTCTGCCCGATGTAACAGCTGGTCAGGATATAGGAGGCCTGACTGGAGTTGATGATACATTTGTTTTCGGGGGGCGCGCGATTACAGACCGTGAGGAACGCAGACCATGGCTTCTTGAACCTCATCGCGAGGAGGAGCGTGACTGGCTCCGGGGGACGGAACACGAAGACCAGGACCAGGATCAGGATCAGGATCAGGATCAGGACCATGACCATGGAGACCAGGAATCCCCTTTGACCCCTGCAGACGCTTATAAGACACCTGCCGCAAGACTATCAAAGTCTCGTTCCACGCACACAGAACTTGATGACATGCCGGATTATGAAGGAGGTGCGTCGACATCGGAAAATGTACCGTCGTCGCCGTTGGCAGCTGCAGCACAACGAAACGCATCGAGAGCTGTGGCCGATGTCCGTAACGAGGTTGAGAGTCCTCCTAGCGCGTCAGCAGATGAGCCTCAGAGGACTCACTCTCGTGCCTCAACGGTCAAAGCCACTGAGCCCCGGCTTGACATTGATGAATCTGCTCTCGATGAGGTAAACTCCAGCTTTTCGATGGCAGAAGTATCGTTGCCTACCATCTCTCGAAAAGTCTCTAGTGCGCCTTCCTTACATGTTCAGAAGCGACCGCACTACCTGAGGAACAGATATGCAAGCCAACGATCTTCGCAATCATCTATCGCCAATCGGTCAGATGTATCCGGAGAAGGCACGAGTGAAGGCACTCTCGGCGCGGACTATGCTTTGCAGAGCGGAGGTGCAGTCTCCTCGTTTCATGGTCGGGGGCAGAACCGTGTGAGCATGGCTTTGTCACGCCTACCCAGCCTCGGGAGCATTGCTTCGTCTATGTCAGGAGAAGACTCATACGTGGACTCTACCAATCCCCTGGGCAACGCAAGGGTACCAGCTACTGTGGATGTTGGACGCGACGCAAGCCTTGGCGCGTTGCGCGAGGAGACCGCGACTACTCCCCTCGCGTCTACTTTTCCTTCTCATCTACAAAGAACTCTCCCAATCGCGCCTACGGACACAATCATCTCAAAGCAAGTGTCATCCATCAAAGTTCCACTCAATACAGCCAGAGAATATAGCAGAAGACAACAGCAACGCGACCTAGTCAAGATGGATCCGTTTGATCCTGTCGTCGCTTCTCCATATAAGAACCCATACCCAGCGAGTCTCAGCCTTAAAGAGCAGAACTCCAAGATTGAAACCCTATCCAAAGAAAACTTTGCACTTAAACTGAAGATCTTCTTCCTCGATGAGACCTTAGCCAAACGATCTGATGAAAATGTTCAAAAGATCATAGATGAAAACGTCCGGCTACAAGCCGCCTTAGTCTTGCAACAGAAGGAAGCAATCTCACAGCGTCAAAGAATCAAGGATCTTAACAAGAAGGTGCTCTTCGCACAAGAAGGCACTTCCTCCACACGTCCTTGCACGCGTGACTCCAATGTTAACAGTGATAATTCAGACTTCGATGCAAAAACTAGTGCAGACCTTCTCGTTCACGAAGATGAAATCCTAGAGCATGAAGTCCAAATAGAAACGCTTGAAGAGAGAGTAGAATATTGGCGCAATGAAGCAATGCGCGAGAAGTTGGAATGTAGACGTATGGCTGAGTTCATCAAAACGATGGAAGGCGCGTCTTTCAAAACAGGGTCAGCTAACATTGAGGAAGACCTACAGGACGTCTACGAGCAAGAAGCACAAGTGCTCTGTGACGAGCGCAATGAAGCGCATGCCTACCGTTCAGCTGCCGAACAAGAAGCTCTAACCCTGCATCAACGCGTTCACAGCCTTCAAGCCCAACTTAATGAGCGCTCCAAGCAGCTCGCATTGGCGCCACGATCTCGATCATCATCAAATGTCTCAATCAAGGAACTATGGCCCAGAACGCCCTTGAGATCGGAGACTCTTACCAAAGAACGTGAAGAGATCATTGTCTTGCAGCGACAATTGAATGCCCAAACATCCATGTTGGCCTCCCGAAACCGGGAACGCGAACGCCTACAGCAAGAAATTGAAGAACTCAAACGCACACATCGATATGCAGACGCGTCGAAGTCGGTTTCCGGTGACAGTATTCTTGAAAGATCAGTCTCTCGTGCCTATAATCGTCAAGATGGAGCCTCATCTGCTACAACTTTGGCCGACCAAGAGCGCGAAGCCTATGAAGATAAACAAACCTCGATTCGCAACGAACTCTTACGGATCAAAATGACCAACCAAGACCTCGAACGAGAATTCAATAATCATCTTGACATTCTGTCGAACGTCGAGGAGGAGAACGTTACTCTGAAGATTGAGAGGGACGAAGCACTCCAGGACGCACAGGAACTTCAGTCCGAACGAGATGATCTTCTACGAACTGTAGAATCCAAAGAACACGAGTATAAGGATCTTGAGCAAGAAGCTCTCCGTGAACTTCAAGAACTGGAACGACAGCTTGCCTCTACGAAAGACCATACGGCGCAGCTACGACGAGAGCTCACACACCGCAACGAGGACTTCGAAGCTTTACAGTCAGAAATGAGGAACGTAAGCAGCCGTGTTGTTCAGCTCGAAGACAATGATCACGCAAAGAGCCGAAAAATTCAATCTCTCGAGCGTGAATTAGACAGCGCTAGCCGTGAACTGTCCATCATGGACGAACAATGCCAAAGCCTGAGCAACAAGAACGAGAGACTCGATATCCAACTAGAGTCAACACAATCTGAAGCTGCATTCCTGCGAGACGAGCAAGAGACTGACAAGATCAAAATCGGCGAACTAGAGGTCAGCTTGACAGCGAGCGAAGCTTCGTTGCAGGAGCAGAAAGATAAAGTTCACGACCTTCAGCAACAGTATGCAGAAGAGAAGCAGCAAAGAGAAGCGATGAGTTCCAAAGAAAAGTCCGAAGTGCAGAGATTTATCGACGACTTGAACCACCAACTCTCGATAATCAGGGACGAGAATCGGAGGCTGAAGAAGAGCCTGACCACAAAGGAGGTCGAAGCCGAGAGCTGGAAGACAAGGTTGAATGAGCTCGAGAGTAACCTTAAAGAGGCATTAGGGTCGTTGGACGGAACAAAATCGAGTTGGGTTCGTGAGATTACTAAGATTCAAACTGAGCTCGACACTACTATACAAGGATTGAGAGATGCTAAGAACGAACTGGCGGAAAGAGAAAGACTTTTGCGTACCAGAGACACTCTTCTTGAAAATGCAGGCCTCGAAACACGTAGGGTAACGGAACTCCTTGAAAAGGAGCGACAAGGACGTCGTCAAGATCGCGCCCGCCATGAACAGGTTGAGCGATCATCATACGTCATGTCTCAGGCGCAGCAGAAACAAGAAGGGCGCATTGCGGAGCTTGAGAAAAGCAGACAATCAGACCGACGCAAGGCTACAGCCAACGAAACGCAATACCGCGATCAATTAGTCGAGCGACACAATCTACTTCTTGCCACCTGGAACCGTCTTTCGACGCTTTGTGGCACAGAATGGGCGAAAGAGCATGCCTTGATCAACAAAGAGCTTCCGAGCATTGAGAGCATTGGAAAACATTTCCCAGCGTTCAGTAAGAACCTCATCCTGGCTATCAAGAGCATCGAGAGCGTGGTTGGTAGCTTTCGGACTAACGTCCGCGGCATTGAACGCGACTTGATCAAGGAATTCCAAACGCTTGAACATACGCTGGACATCCGTTCCAAAAGAATCGACAGCCTCGAAAAGGTCGTACTTGGCTCCAGCGGCTCTAAGATCCCTAAGCCACCATCAACCAGTCACAGCGTCGGCAGCTCTTTATTACGCCATCATTCAGCTGATGCAGTACCAACAACAAGCGATGATACCAATTCCGGCGAGACAGACCAGCGCTGGATAAGCCGTCTCAAGGAACTTGAGAGACGACTGAAAGCAGAGAGAGAGGCGAGACTGCTGGATCGCAGTGGCGCGAGGCGCAGGTTGGAGGAGGAGCGCACTGAGAATGAGGAACTCAGGCAAATGCTAGAGCGCGAGAAGGGCAAGAGGGTCGCAGAATAGGGGGTTTTCACCTTTTTAACACGTGAGAAATTATGAAGGAGTCAAGCAGAAACATGTATTATAACGCAGACATCCTCATCAGCACAGCAAGCATACTTCATTGAAATTTTTTTGTGTGCCGTTGTATATGATTGTGATTGAATCGCTCAATTGAGCCGAACGATGCTCGTTCTGGGTGAATATGCGCATCTACGGTGTAAGTCAGGCCAGTTACTTTGAGCAGCCCAGTGAGCCACACTTGAGCACAGGATGTTCCATCTAACACATATATACTCAATGGCTCGAACTGCATCCTAGACGGGCGATCATCCTTGGTGCGACGCACGTTGCGACAACTCGATCCATTCTGTGTTTACGTTCACAACGCCAGACAGGTACCGACTACCACCCTGTTCTGCACGCGTCTAGATTATCTTACGAGGCAACTTCCCTCAGTCTCACACCCCTCAGCCTAGATACCTCCGTCGCTCTCTCCCATCTAACTTCTTCGATCAGACATCTTAGACCTTGAAAATCTTACACGCCCAATGGTCGCAGGTCACAAATGCCGCATCCGGACATAGCGTCCTCGGCCCGATTCCGTTCATTAATCCGGATGGATATATTGCCGACCGACGTTATGCATCAACTGATGTCTCCACCTTGAGTTTTCTAACCGACTACTTTAATTGCAACATTTTCAATACTAAACAACATCATTCCAGTTTCAAAAATGTCCACTTACCAGTCTCAGTACCCCGATGTTCCGTACGATCCCCTCTACAAAGCATTTTTTGAAGAGTTCTATCAGGTGTCTGATAACCCGTCGGCTCATGAAGAATATGCACAATACTTCGTGCCAGACACACCACTTGTCATGGGTCAAAAGAAATGCGTTGGGCATCAAGGTATATGCTCTCTCTATTCTTGTAGAACTCACACCGCATTTTTCGACACTAACACTAAATAGATATAATCGCTCTGCGACATGTAATGTGGAGTGCGGTTGAGCAACGTCGGCATAGTCCATTAAAAGTATTTCCATTCGGACCGAATTCAAATGAGTTCATGCTGTACGGAACAGTCGATTATGTGATGAAGACGGGAGAGAGTTGCTCGAAGGATTGGGCTGCGAGGGCTGTGTTGAACAAGGAGGACGGCAAGGTGCGCTTTAGCTTCTATCAGGTCTATTTGGTGAGTCTGAGTTCGAGGGTCGAGGCTTAGTGTGGAGATTGATTGTGAGACAGGATACCGCACCCTCGCCGAAGTAGGTTGCTATTTCAATAGCAGATTGTGTTCATTTCTCTAAGTCGTCTCAGGAGTCAAGTATCCGCCCAGTCACTCATAAATTATCGTACAGGTAGACAGAAAGATTTAAATGAACCTCATATCTGCCCAAACGCATTCAGACTCGCTCTGACTTGTCCGTTCTGCTCGACCATTAGCACGTCTGAGCAGCTCGACCCTAAATTATTATTCCCAATCCAGCTCGGCTCCCAATAATACAACCCCGACCCGCCTGGTGTCTGCGCAACTGCTGCCGCAACAGTCTTGATCCAAGTCGTTTGCCCTGCCACGCTGAACGGAATGCTCTTGGCATCGCTCGGAAATGCGTTACTCGGGTTTGGGCAGCTGACTGGCCAATCCGTCTCGACTACAAGCACGCTCTTCCCATATCGCGAATTGATGTTCTTCAAACTCGTTTTCAATGCGGACAGCGTCGCCGCGGCGTTGCAGAACGGATAATAGCTAACGCCAATCAGGTCAAAATCACTGCTCGTCAGTCCGTCCGTAGTACTCTTCAGCACTGAGTCGTAGAAGTACTGCTGCTTGGTCCAGCTCCAGCCATCTTCGAGGTGGATCATAATCTTCGGCTTTGGGTTCAGGGTCGAGTCTTTGATACCCCATGCCGCGGAATGCAGTAGCCTGGAAATAGAAGGGTAAGACGTGGTTGTGCCGATGGGCCATAGAAAGCCATTGCCGATTTCGTTGCCAACAGAGATGATATCTACGGGAATGTTATCGGCGGCGAAGCGGTTCGAGACGGCCAGGGAGTGGTTGTATGCTGCCCATGCCATGGTGTTCAAGTCGTATTTAGACCATTTCGTGGGCGCATTGTTGTGCGCAGGGTCGGCCCAAGTGTCGCTGTAATGCAGGTCGAGGTATATGGAAAGCCCGGCGGCGTGCATGCGTTTCGCCAGCTTCACGTTGTAGTCGAGGTTGTAAATGGAGTCGGAAGGATTGACCCATATGCGTTGGCGCACGGAAGTGACGCCGGAGGATTTCAAGATAGTTTCGAGGGGTTGGGTGGTGCCGGAGGTCGATTTGTAGGTTATGCCGGCTTGTTCCGTGACGAGGAGGGAGGAGATGTCGACACCGCGGTATTGAAGAGCGGCGGTGCAGAGCGAGGAGAAGATCGCGATGATAGGAAGGAAGTACATTCTAAAGTGCAGCCTGCGGAAACCTTCGTTTGGAAGTGGCTACATAAGAAGTATTCCATGATGTTCGCCTGAGTGTTATATCGGTCAAATATGGCACTGTTCCACCGAAACAGTTACTGGTCGGGATTCTGTCTCATTACCGTGTTTTCAATCTACATGACTCCTATGAGGGTCCAGTCTAAGGTTATCGGGATTAATATCCGAACGATGCGGGGAACGAACCACCCGATATTCTTGGAGTGGACACGACTAGTCCAAACAAGGAATGGTTGTGTATACTGTGTGTCACGATTGGGTGAAAGGAAGATCATGCGTTACATCTTAATGAAGCAGCGTTTCTCGGAGCAATCTATCTCGGATCAAAATCGGCGCAGGCGTTACTGCCGTTAGGGGGTGAGCCATATTTCATCCACGAGTATTGGTCGAGAGGGCTCTTTGACCATGTCTAGAGGTGAGAAAGTTCATGGCAGAAGCCAAAGAACTGTGTAGCAGTGCTGTTGATAGGTCGTGTGGAAAACAGATCTTGACGTATGGGATTATCGGTAGTCAGTATCATATAGCTGGAAGTGCGACCTGCCTGCAAATCAGATGTGTCAATGACCTTGGAAGTAGTAATACATCGGCAGCGTGTGGTGCTTCCATAGTCATGGTTTGTTTAGAGGCTTCTCCCTCATTCTCCTTCATGATTATTCTCGTCTATTTCCTCTTCTTCAATTTGTTAGTTGTCATCTATTCTAGCTTTAGTTCCTTGCAAATAACCTCAAACATATAATCCACTCCCAAGGGAGAAGTTTCGACCTCCGGGAAGTTGAAGTTTAGGGCCTCCTCAGCAACAGAAACAGGCGAATTTGAGTAATCGAACTTAATTGCATCGTGAAGGTCTTCGTCTAAAGCTATGCCCAGCAGTGCATAAATTCTATCCGATTCATCACTGGCCTCATGTTGTCTGAATCGGAAAAGACGATTGCCTAAATTTCAATTTGGTACCCACCACTGATTCACTGTAGATGACCCTGGCATGATGTCAAGTATCACGGATCGGCTAGTCCAAATACCAAGTACCACGGGCGCGAGGGCAAAGATACGAGCAGGTGTTGATTTGTAGCCGCAACAAACCTCAGCTGTGCGTGCTAACACAACTTCTCGTATGAACCACATCCTGTTGAACCACGGTTGATCAAATAGAGTCCTAAGGCCAGACGTTTGTCGCAGTGTCAAATATGGTTCGCTATGTCCTACAACTCGCTTATATTGAAGCTCTTGCCATATTTCTCTCCACTCCCCTTCGTCTAGATAGGTTTGAGAGTATCTCTTGGTGCTTTCCATAAGCAGCTGGTTTAGTGAGTTGAACAGAATGTTGGTATCGCGGTTTGCGTCGCCTAGCCAGAAGATGACTTGATCAGCTTGGTTAAAGATCCGCTTCATGAGCTGGACCTGATCACTATTTCGTTTAGATTTGACTGGTCGATGCAAATGGCATCGACCCATGACAGTCGTTTCTGATCGGTATATCGTAGATGCGTAAGGGCCTTTGCGAGATTGTAGGTTACCATGTGAGGTACTCCGTTGACCTCAATACGCACGCTCCTGAGCTTGCCGCCCCAAGTGTATGACAAGGCTTCGTAGGGCATCTGATTTGCTCCGACTAGAGAGACGTGTTTGAGCGTACACTGTATCACGGAAAGGTCACGGCCACGACCGAGTCGCAATAGACGAATGACCGAGCCGTCAGTGTCGAGAGGCTGATATTCGAAGCCATCGGGACTGGTAAGCATTATGTGGATCAAATATCAGATGAGGAGATCAATGCATCGCTTGAGATCTAGCCTAAATCACCACAAGCGCTGTGACACAAGATCTGGCTGTATTAAGGACTTGCACGACAGACTAGAAAGCCCAGAGGCACGCGTTCAGCTTCACAATGTGGCTGAAACTGCCAGAGAGACTTATGCTAATGCAACTGATCAGACAGCTGCACCTTCATATGTCGGGCGTAGAAGAGAGACTCCACCCCGGCGTCCAGTGAGATATAAATATTGTGGCATCAGAAAGCAAAGCGTCATAGAATATACTTGAGAGAGATTGGCGATTAGGTTCTCGAGGATTACTGCCAGGCTTTGCGGAATGGTAAATCAGACGCGACCACTAGGCATGAGTTAGGATCCGAAAAGGAAGAATGAGATCATTCGTATCGATGTCAGAGGTTCTCAGAGAAGTCATAGAGAAAGAGCAGGCGTCGTATTGAGGATGAATTATTTCTATGTGTCGGCATTATCTGATCCGAGCTCCCGCCAGATGATATCCCTCGGCCCATCACCACGAGTCATTTTAGCAACATCGGCCATGTTTGATCAATTATCGCAACTCCCAAATGCAAGCCGCTCTTCCTGACTATGGGTACCTATAATTGGCAAAGGCCTTCCTGGACGCTCACGCGTGCAAGCACGTGATATGGTTCATGGAGTATCGGACTCGAGCAGGCCCTTAACGATCTTCGATGTTCTTGCACGTCGGTACGGAAGAATCTCTATTGGTGGATTGCGGAAGCTTCCAAGTAGCAAGTCAAGATCTACTTCTGCACCGAGTGCCAGGAACAAGAAGATGAGCGATGACCTCTCACGTTTCCCCGCATCATCGCTTAGTTACCTTTACGTACTATGCGAGGACAATATCGGACAGATTCGGTTTATTGTTGTTCCGCAAAGGTAACATGTATTATGTGTCGACCGAATAATCTACAAAGAAGCCGTGACGGAACGATATAGATGAGGTAAAGAGTCTGCCACTGCTACAAAGACATTGAACAGCACTTTGTCTCATTCACCATGCTTGGCACCACAGCTGTTGTTTCAATTGCTCTGGCATCATTACCAGCACTCACAGCCGCGGCAGTATGTGTAGTCCCTACAGGCTTGGATGACTCGGCGCCAGCAATCATCGATGCCTTTCGAAAATGCGGCCACAACAGTAATCAGAGCAGAGGTAAGGTCGTTTTCCAGAACACAACCTATACAGTTGGTAGTGTCATGAACATAACCGGTCTCTCAAATGTGGATGTCGATCTGCAAGGAACGCTGGCATGGGACAACTCAAATCTCTCCTACTGGTTGAGCAACTCCCTTCCAGTCGGCTACCAGAACCAATCCTCAGCTTGGCTGTTTGGCGGAAGTGGAATCCATTGGACAGGCCATGGTTACGGCACATTCAATGGAAATGGTCAAGCATGGTACGACTTTGTCAAAGGCGCCAGCAACTATCCTAGACGACCACATCAGATTACGTTTACCGGAGTCAAAGATGCAGTCTTCGAGGGGCTAAGGTTCATAAACAGTCAGATGTGGACCATGACGGTCATTCACTCCGAGAATGTGCTCCTTCAGGACATATATGTCAACACAACTTCAATCAATAAGGTACTGTAGCCCCAATCTCACGTGTGTACGAGGGCAAGCTGATTCAAGTCCCAGTCTGGCACATCGAACACCGACGGCGCAGATACAATATACGCAAACAACATCACATTCAACCGTTGGGTGGTCTACAATGGCGATGACTGTATCTCACTCAAAGCCAACAGCACCAACATCCTAATCTCAAACAGCATCTGCTACAGGGGCCAAGGAATTGCGTTCGGGTCCATTGGACAATACAAAAATACCTTCGAGACCATCCAGAACGTCGTCATCCGCAACCTAACGGCTTCAGGCACCAAGTTTGGCACGTATTTTAAGACGTGGACCGGTATCGCACAGGGGTATCCACCAAACGGCGGCGGTGGCGGTATTGGATACATGCAGAACATCACTCTCGAAGACTTCAAGCTCGTCAACACTGCGAATACACTTCTGGTCACGCAGTGCACAAATTATCAAGGTGCTACAGGCGAATGCGATACCAGCAAGTTCAACATCCATGATATCGCGCTCAAAAATTGGTCTGGCACGACTAGGAGCGGTGCTGCTGTATCTTTGGACTGTAGCAAGGCGAGTCCTTGTTATGGGTTCGATGTGAAGAACTTTGGTGTCATTGTCTCGAGTAATTCTAGCGCACCGACGAGTTATTGTTGTGACGCGGTGGAGAATGGGACAACGACGGGATTTACGTGTAACGCACCGATATGGGCGACGAATAACGGTGCCTAAGCTTTCAAGGTAATAGAACAGTGGAGCGATGTGGCGACATCAGGTCAAGTGAAGAGTGGAGACGCATGACATATATGATGAATTTTGAGACCTCGATTGTGATAACCTCTAAAATGAAGATACCCAATCTTGTCCATGGAATGTGTGACTTTTGAACACTCTCTCAGCTTGTACACGCAAGTCCATGTTACATCCATAACCTCAGCACAATTTTAGCATATAATACACTCCAATTCTGGACTAACCAACAAACTACTGATGTTCTCGGCACTTCCTGCGTATACTTTATACCGTAGCACCGCTGTTCACCCTTACCCCACACGGGCCCCGGTCCATGGCATAGCTACCTAATCACCATGTGCAAGCACGCCATCGATCGACACGGCACCATCACAAACGTCCAGAAACCGTAGAACGGCTCTTGGAATGACAATCACGCAATGCTGCCAGCCTCATGGCGCACAGAGCTAGGCAGACCACAGGGATGAGGCGGGGCTGTAAGAATATATATAAGTCCCGTCTCATTCGATCTGGACTACGAGTACCATACACGTATATTCGCATACACACGGTCAGGATAGATTCCACATGCGCCCATTGAACTCTCAAGTAGCCAACACTTCAAGAGATTCAAGATGGTCCCCGGACTCGTTGAAAATCTACCTACAGCTCCTCACCAATTCTCCAACAACAACTCCGTCCCCCAGGACATCTTCCCCGATGGGATCCGCACCTCAGGCCAACACCCTCCACTATACGACCTCCTCGTTCCGTACGACAAGTTCCCAAAGCAGATCATAGGACCGACGGTCTGGAAAGCTGAGGACTACACCAAAAACCCAGAGCGCTGGACGTATGTGTTTAACGAGGAGGAAGTGGCCGAGTTGAGCGAGACAGCGGATGTATTCCTGCAGAGTGGCATACCATTGACGGGGATTAGTAAGGTATGTAGTACCTAGGTGTATTCCAGTTAGGAGTGAGGATAGAGACGAGAGAGCTGCATATGAAGAGCGAGGCTGATACCCCCACCAGGACAACTTTCCGCTACCCGGGCTGCAAAGACTGCTCACAACCCTTCGTGACGATCTCCTCAACGGTAAAGGCTTCATTCTCTTCAAAGGGTTTCCCGTGAAACTTTGGGGCAATCGCAAGTCTGCCGTTGCATACATGGGCCTCGGCACGTACTTGGGGTACTTTGTCAGTCAGAACGGGCGCGGTCACGTCCTCGGACATGTCAAAGACCTCGGCGAAGATGCCTCACAGATTGACAAAGTGCGCATCTACCGCACCAACGCGCGCCAATTCTTCCATGCCGACGACAGCGATATTGTGGGCTTGTTGTGCGTTGCGAAGGCGCTGGAGGGCGGTGAGAGTGACATTGTGAGCAGCCATCATGTGTATAACACGTTGCGAACGGAGCGCCCAGATGTGCTAAAGACGCTAACGGAGCCGATCTGGTACTTTGACCGCAAGGGCGAGACGAGTACGGGTGAAGAGGAGTATATCCGCACCAGTGTGTTCTATCTCGAGGCGCCGGATCCGGCCAACCCAGCGGCGGAGCGCAGGGTTTACAGTAAATGGGACCCGTACTATGTGAGGAGCCTAGCCCGGTTCTCGGACAAGGGCATTATTCCGCCGTTAAGTGCAGCGCAGACAGAGGCGTTGCAGGTGTTAGAGGACACATGTATGAGGCTGAGCCTGCACATGGTGCTGGACGTGGGCGACATCCAATTTTTGTCAAACGAGCATGTACTACACTCGAGGACGGAGTATAAAGACTATCCGGCGCCGGCACCAAGGAGGCATCTTATGCGGCTATGGTTAAGTACGCCAGAGAGTGAAGGGGGTTGGAGACTCCCATTCAAGGATAGTAGAGAGAAGAAGCGTGGCGGTATCCAGGTGAACAACACAAAACCTGTTGCGCCGGAGGATGCCGAATAGAGACCTCATTTAGTGCATATCAAATTCGAGCTCTAGCTATGCGTTGTAAATCTATGAGGATTTCGATTTGCTTTGAGGTTGCTGTTTGATAGGGTCCGGGAGTAACCACACCAATGACATGAATTTGCATCGACACTTAAATGGGAAGATTGGGGTGATTGGAATGAAGAAAGCTCTTGAAGCTTGTATAGTATTTTGTGAACATCAGTCCACCCAGGCGCGACTGTATTGAAGACAGACTTGAAGAGTGAGTTGCCGCCAGTACTAGGCCATGTTCCCACTTTCATCTGTCTGCACTCCCGTATGAAGCCAAAGTCCTGTACGCGCTCTTTTGATGGCAAGATATCTTGACATGTTCCGCGAGCGTGAAGTTTTCAACTCACACCGTCATGCGAATCAACATGTAGACTGCCCAGGTTATGTCATCTTTAAACTCATCTTTAGGCCCTGCTTCATCAGAATCCACGACCACGACCACGACCACCGCCCCGTCCACGCCCACGAGGTCCGCCCCGACCACGGCCACCTCGCGCTGGCGCACCACGATCAGCCACCTCTTTCCTAGCCTTGTTCTTTGGCTTCGGCGCATCGTCAATCAGAAGAGTATCAAGCGGCAAGCTGTCTGGGAGGATGTAGTATCGAATCGTCGATCCACGAATAGAGAGTGTATCTAGGGCGATGGTTTCACGGTGTTTCGGTGTCATCTTGACTGTTCTGAGATTCGTGTTCATTTGTGGTGATACAGATGCGATTGTGCCGTGGACGATGGTGCCTGTGAATATATGGTTGGCTTGGCACTAAGAGACATTCCGGGAGATATTTGAGCACATACCATTCTTGAGCTCAATAGTGACAGTCTCATTCTGACACTTCATGAGAAATCTGGTGTGCATGGTCAGCGTATCGCGAGAGGTTGTTCGGGCTGATCGAGCTTTTTGGAGACATTGCGACGGAATATTGGAACACCCACCTGACGAGCTTCATATTGATAATGTACGATTGAGACGAGTCGGGTCGAGAATAGGAATGATATGGGATGCGCGAGCGGACGTATGTGATCTCGCGGCGTAGGAAGGTCGCGCGTGAAGAAGTGGAAAGCTTGAAGCTGCAAGTTCAACATCGTGCTGTGCATGCCACTGGGGAGACCGAGAATCATCCGTGCGAAAGATCACGTGTCTTCAAGCAATAGTATAGGAGAAGCAATCGTGAGCACGTCACAAACATTGGACCTGTCAAAAGAATCCTCATGTCTCTATAGAGAGTATCATAAGGAAAATTATTTCATTGGGGAAATGCCATGCGTCTCTATGGGTATGTGAAACATCAAGGACAAGTCAAACAGAACGATGTGAACGCTATTCCTCCTCAACCTTCTCCCACTCGCTGTCAGTGCTCAAACTCGCATCGCTCTCAGCCATACTCCTTCTTTTCTTCATCCCTTCGTCGCGGGGTGGAATAAGGCTTGTTTGCGCCGCCGTTGATCGATCTCCTGATCCATATCCATGCCCACGCTGGCCGGCCAGTTGACCCTGAGTATCAGAGTTCCTTGCCTGTACTCCTGATCCACCAAGTACAGCCTGCGGTTCTTTTGAGAGCCTTTCATCTATTTCCGTCTCTGTGTCGTCTCCGCTGTCCATGCCTTCTCCATCTCCACCGATAGCCCCTACCCCTGGGCCACTATTCCCTAATGATATATCCTTCTCGCGGCTCCGGCGTCTGATCTGTTTCGCTTCCTCCTCTTTTGCTTGTGCAGCTCTGAGCTCCGTGGCAAACCAATTTATTGCCCACCATAGACCTCCACTGAGTATTGACAAGATCAGGAAGTGTATGCTTTGGGTAGCGACAAGAAGGGTGACGAGAAGGAGAGAGAGAGCACCGAAAGTGGCATTCGTTGCGATGAGAAGCGTTGGAGTTGGTCCTGGTGTGAAGATTGACTCCCAAAGACTGGTAAAGAATTCAGACATCTTGACTCGAGCGGAAACTACAGGTTACAGAGAACTGTATAAGGACTGGATGAGGCGGTAAGATATAGTCGCAGGTACAGGCTGCAGAGGTCGATGATGGTATTGAGATATCGGAGAGTACTGCAGCTCCAACTATTCGCGATGCGACGCGCTTTTCGAGATTGCTCTTGTTCTGGCCTTAACACGTAACCAGTAAAACAGGTACAGCTTGCTACCAGGATCAGGATCCCCTCGAATACTGAATATACGCAAAGTGTCCTCTGCGTTTTGGCAGGTGGAAGTATAGAAGACTACGAGGAAGCCCGGTCAGTACGTTGAAGTTGGGCGTGACGCAGATCCCTGACGTGGTTGTAAGTGCACGTTGCAGCGAGGGCGAGGGGTAAGCGCCCGGTCCGTTCCACGTGCGTACATCACGACCTGCCAAATATATACTATCTGACAAACTGAATGCCACGGAGCCGGTCCTAAGTACGGACTTGGAATATACGAAAGGTACGATAGATCTTACTTCGGTATGAATAATGAACTATGACGGCCATCCTAGACCGTCACCTGGATCCCCTCACTTCCCATGATCTCCATCTCAATCCTCTTCTTCCGTTCCTCTTCAGCTTCGCTACTAACGTCTTTGAACACATTGTCCATCTGCTCCAATGTTCTTCCCTTTGTCTCGGGTACGAAGAACCACGTCCACACGAACGAGAGAAAACAAAACACGGCGAAAAAAGCAAATGCCCCGAAGCCAGTGTTTTGCACCATTGGGGGTGTAATCAGTCCAACTATGAAATTGAAGAACCCTGTAGATATTTAGATCACATCTGACACAGGAATAGACTCCCTTACAATTCGAGCACGTGCTCAGCGCTACACCTTTGGCTCTAAGAGAGGTAGGAAAGACTTCTGATGGCATAGCCCATGGGACCGGTCCCCATGAAGCCCCGAAGGCTGTCTAGTGGTCAGCTTCACTATCATCGTAACATATCAATTGGCGTACCGATCATGTATGCAAATAGAAAAGCCACGCCAACCCAGCCCTCAACCCTGTGCGAGGACCAGCTCTCATCGAATAGCCCGACAAGGACGGCGATGATGAGGTGAGAAATGCACATCATGACGCTACCGATGAGCAATAACGGCTTCCTTCCAACCTTATCCATAGTATATAAGGACGTTAAGACTCCCACGAGTTGCAAAACATTCAACACTCCGGAAAGAATGAGCTGTGCTTGTTTAGCAGGCTGCACATTTAGACTGGGATGATTGCGACTGGACTTACCCTTGTCTCATAGCCTTGGCCCATGAGCTCGAAGAGTGAATTTGAGTAGTATATCAGAGCATTTATCCCTCAATAGTAGGTTAGCTCTCGTTTAGACTGCACCACCATTTGGTACATACCGACTAATTGCTGGAAGAACATGAGACCCATTCCGACCATGGTCCGTCTCCAGCATCCTCTCTTGAAGCAATCGGCAAAAGATGCCATTTCGAGTTTGATGCTGTTCGTCTTGGACTCCGTAGCGTGCAGGAGTGGGTGGTGTTCGAGACTGACTTCTTTCTGGAATGTGGCCTCAGCCCTGATATCGTACCACTCCTGAATGACACGACTGTCTGACTCCGGCTGTTGTCGCAATGTCCCAAGACTTTTTAATGCCTCTTGATCGCGCCCTTTCATGGCCAGCCATCTAGGGGAAAACGGAAGCCATAGTATGCCAATGCCAAGGACTACCCCAGGCAGGATTTGTAGAAGGAACGGCAGTCTAAAAGACCAATCCCCAGCAATCTCACGGGTGCCGTAAGTGATCCAGTACGCAACAACGATACCGAACACAATGCTGAGCTCCTCCAGCACTAGAAGCGTTCCACGGATCTCCGGAGGTGAAATCTCGGATATATACAACGGGGCGACCATTGACAGCCTGTACTAGATTAGTAAAGGTGCCTCGGGATGATCTTTCGTTGTTCCACTCACATTCCGATTCCGATACCTCCAACCAGGCGACCCACAATCAAACTGGCATAATCGACAGCGGCCGTTTGGATAGCAGATCCTATAGTGAAGATGACTACGGCACTGACAATGCCGTACTTCCGAGACCACTTATCGGCAACCCACCCCATATTGAATGCACCTAGCAGTGCCCCGAGCTCGATCATTGCTGTAAGTAAACCCTTCCAGAAACCAGACCCAGAAGCATCATTGGAAATACGAGGGACGTAGTCCAGAAATTGCGGCATAACTAGAATTATAGACACCACGCCTTGGTCGTAACCAAATAATAGTCCCCCAATCGCAGAAAATGCTGCGCATAGCGCAACATAAGGCGACGACAGTAGACCACGAAACCCTGGCAGTTGTCAAACCAACTTCGTCGTAAGCATTGTAGACCAATTACCTGCCGGCCCATATGTCTGTCGATTATCCCATACCGCCGCGTTCGTATGCGAGGGTGCAACTTCGTGCTTGAGTACAACATCTGGACTGCCCGCATGGGCTAGCACATTGTCGTCGGTCTTACTGTCGTACTCCATGTGGTAGAGCGAAGAGTGAACTGGTGGAAAGTCTCGTCACCACATCTGCTCGCAAAGAGTAACAATATCTAGATGTGGGACCGTCGTCCTTTCAAAATGCAAACAACCTGAATGTACGGGTCTCGTGATCCGTAAGATCCACAGTCCCTCATAGAATCCGTGCATGATTGACACGTTACGGCTTCGGGAAAGTTCGAGGTGGAGATCTGAGGACGTCGGCAGCTATGATCCATGACGTCGACCTTGTTGTGGATGTGGTCCGTGCCTAACAACCGCAAGCCTAGCCAACAGGAACGAGCGAACTGCACGCTTCAACACTTCTCCGCCTTGTCTACTCCTGGAGTGTTAGTATCAGAAGCATGGGGAGCAGAGAGATCCCCAGATTTGGACCCCACTCTTCTCCGTTGGTCGAATGGCCGTACAAGCATTACGCGGCGGCGGGCCAGCGTTCTATGAGCCGTCCAAGGGTCTATACTTGCAATGCAAAGGCCGACAATCTCGATATGATATTATCCTGGTCGTTCAACTCCATCTTACTAATATCTGCCATATTTGGTGTCATGGAGGTATGGCTAAGTCGGCTCATGACCTACATTACACCTACCGTCGGTCACTTGAGGCTGCCCATTACCACTACTTGAGTGTTTGACGAGCGTCTTCATGTCTTCCCTAAGTAAACATATGCTCAGATATGTCTTAGGGGTGATCAAGCCCTCAACATGTAGGCTTCTTAAATAAAGACTTGAATTTGTTGTTAGCACCAGGTCGCATGTATATTGAGCACTATTGCGCCTACGGACTACGGACTCAGCTATATCCAAGTCTTACTACTCATTCCCATAAAACAAACCCCAAAGTAAATCCGGCGGTAATAATGCACTCATATGCGTAAGCTAGCTGTCAATTATGTCATACGATCTAATCTTGGCATATAATTCTATCTGGTAAAGCGAGCAGAATAGTCTAAGGGTCAGTGGATGATCGAAGCGTACCTATACGTACGGCAGAATCTTGGGTAGGACGTCGGTGTATGCAATACCAACCAGCGGCTCCATACTATAGGGGTAACCGTCCCACCACTATCAACCTGTTAGCCAGAATCATGAGAAAGCAAAGCTGTTTCACTCACCGGCCCAGCAGCCCACCACATATGTCCGGTCCACACATCACGATTTGCCTTGAGGTACTTCAGACCGCCAATAAACGCCTGAATGCACAGCTCGTTTGCACCTCCTGCAAACTCGCCAATCAAGCCCAGCTTCTTGTTCTCTCTCAACCAAGTTGTCGCCGCGACGAGACGTTCTTCAAAGATTGTTCCGCTAACACATGTTTGATCATTGCCTGAGGCATCCGTGTCTATCATCGTGTTAGACAATATATTATTCCCAAGTTTTCAGAGAATTGATATGGACTCACCAAGGTACAGATGCATCTGATAAATCAGCTTGTCGCTTGGATCCACTAACTTCACTAAACTCGCGCCATTACCGCTAGACACCCACGTTGAGGCCGCCGTCCACGAGTTCCCTTCAGGTGTGATCCATTGCTTGTTAGCACCAGCACCACGAATGCCGTCGATACCGGCCTGATTGAGTTCGAAGACGAGTTGCTGGTCCATGTCATAGAATTCATTGTTGATGTCAAAGACAACTTTATCATTATCCTTGTACAGTCTTGCAACATTCAACCACCAGGTCTTGAAGCCTGCGGTGTCGGTGATGATTTCGTCATAGAAGCGGCCATAGTTGTGTGGTTGTACCATAGCATATGCACCCTTGCTGGTGATATAATCGATTTGATCAGTCAGATTTCCGAGATAGTATGGGTCGAAAGCACCAGTCAGGGAACCTGGCGTAAGGCGTTCCATGAGGAAGTTGACACGTAAATGATTGATGCCCACCGAGATCAAAGTGTCGATGGTGGATTTGTTGTACCAGGTGTAGTCGATGCCGTAGTCGCCGGGAAACTTACCTTCCCCGAACTCCGCGCCGGATAGATTGATACCGAACCACCATGGGACTCTTGAACTAGTCGAGGATAGAGCTGGGATGGCGCTGGCAGGTGCGGATATGGCTGCTCCAGGTTGACATTGCGAGTAGAAATCGTTCAGCTTCGCGCAGTAGTATCCTGACGTGCAAGTCTTAGGTCCAGAAAAGCTGTCCCCACCGCATTGGGCCCAGGCCCCGGACTGCGCAAGAGCAGGTACAGTAACAGCAATCAGCACGACTGCAAAACTGCTTGAATGCATGTTGAGAGTGGCTGGTATTGAGGAATGCTTTCGTACCACATCACTGCAAGCATCGTAACCTTATAAGAAATAAGAAGCAAGGTGTTGCAATTTCGATGATACGATATCTCGATGTGGACTGAACGGTCGTCATCTAACGTATTTGATGAGGCTCGGGCCATGAGTTGAGCCTCTCCGGGAGAATGGTCCCGCCTTGCTGACAGGGAACAGGGGTAAATAATGTGGGGAGGCTCGTATAGCGCTGTCAGGAGAGAACATGCAGATTACGCTACGGACACAATATTTTATTTTACACTGGTTTGATTCTGATTGAGAGAGGTAGAAGCGAGGCTATTATTCTACTGATACTAAGCGATTGAAGAATGTCTCTTAGGTACTTCTTTGTCTCTCAAATTCGTTTGAGCTTCCGTCCCCTAACTAAAATACTTTACTAGCGCGGTGTTTAGATTAATCATCACACCACTAATACAGGTCCACAGGACCCTCTCCAGACTGCTCTATGATAACATAAGAAGTATAGGTCAGAAGAGGGTGATTGGTATTATTCGAGACATTGGTATACGAATATGCTTCATTGACAATTGTAGTCATCAAGCAGTGAACTATTTTCAGCAGATGGACTATGAAATAAACCTGGTAGGTATACATAGTGCAATCTACACGAAGAAGGTACATTGCACTATGTGGTTCTGTTGTCTGTGAGCAAGAGGCTAGCTAATAGCTGATAGATGTAGATTAATGAAGCGCCATAGCTAGATGCCTTGCATAAGTAAAGAAGAAGAAGCAGAAGATTCAGTGATGATACACAGGCGCTGCACGGACCTGCATACTAGTTCGAGGGCTTTATGCGCGATAGGCTGAGAGTAACATCGACTGAATAATGGATTAGCTATGGACCGTGATTCTACAGATATTGTAGTCCCAATCAATGTTGCCAACAGTCAAGACACCTTCATTGGCTCGTCATCTCGGGCCCTCGGCGTCAAAAAGGTACTCGGCTAAGCCCTGATTACAATGTTCTAGAGCAAGACGATTGGGTAGTGTCTCTAACGTCGCAATGCAGAGAGAATATGTGAAAGTTCCTCTGAGGTAATTAATGCAAATCAAGTTGTGCCCGCTGCCTGCTTGTGGTTGACGGATTTGGCCGGGGTGCGATTTGCCGCCCCGGTGGACCACTTGGTCCTAACAGTTCACTGCCTTAGGCGCAAACCTGGAAGCTTAGGGCTGAGTGCCGGGGAGCCTCGGCCTCCTGCCTCACGACCCTCAAGGTTTGTCCTGTACAGCAGAATAAGAGGCGTCTACCGTTGCATCACCATCAGACACTATCAAACACCAGCGACAGCCACAAGCCACCGAAGAGGCAAAATTCCACCACATCAACGAGATCTGCAGAGGACAAGCTAGCATCGTCTCTATTGCTCTCCACTCGAAGTATCGCAGTTGCCATCTCGACGCTCCTCTCATCGACGAGTATCCCTTCGGACAGAGGCACTACCATGAACTTTTGGAACGGTGTAATGCCAGTAACCCGAAAGAAGGAAAGATCATACTGATGCCAAGAGACGTCGTCTAGTTTAAGCTCAGAGACACGAGGATGTGCTATTCTACGACAGGAAGGTTTGAAAAAGCCCTAGCCACCGGAGAAGAGGGTATGTCTGCATACGGATCGAGGGCGACTGCATTTCGGCTTTCTGTTCTCCGGCTTGCTTGAGGAGTATTCTTGGAGCCGGTCCTGAACGTCAGCCCGAGTCGCAGCCTGTGCTGTAGCTCATGCTCTCTTACGGTTTCTCACGGTGTGAGCTAGACCTGTCACTTTGGACCTATCCATTAGCCAGGTAACAAGAGTGCGTTATCTAGACTGACAGCGATCCGTCTCCCCGAAGAGGATAGACTAGCGGAGTGCTGAGATCCACGATAGTGATAGTGATAGCGCAGGCGTAGTGCGACCCCGCAAGGAATCTCAACAACACCGAGGCAGCGTTCACACTTCACCCCACATTGAATGGTCATCCTATCCACACAGCGCTTGGGAGACATGCAATCAACACGGGAGTTCACACCGCAGCGTGAGATTCGTCATTCTGCATTCCGCTTGTATACGCCTGGCTTGATCTACGAAGATCTCTTTCTCGACTCAGCCGCTGGCGCTATGCTACTCCTGCCCTTTATCAATTCTTTGGCCATTTCAATCTTGGCACTCCTCTGGTTCGCTGGTTTTTTGTCCTTTGGCGGCAACCTTCTGTCCGATTATGTTATGATCTTCAACCTCGAATTCTTCTCTTCACCCAGCCCTAGGAATAAGCGGCCGAAAGGCATGCTTGGCAGGATCAAGATTTCGGAATATGGTGTGCTCGCTCTGCTATAAGAAGCCCATCCTCTCCTGCTGTTCATCCTGCTTGTCCCAGCAGCACGCTTAAGATATACTACATTTTCGTTTCAGGTATCAATATGCGTTTCTTTACCCTCCTTGCCGCTGTGCCGGCTGTCCTCGCCGCTCCCATTCGCGAGACGCGTGCCGACCAGGAGGTCATTCCTAACAAGTGGATTGCAAAGTTCAAGTCTGGCTCTGACGCAAATGCTCTGTCAAGCGCTCTTGCCAGTGTGGGACAAGTCCTCGGTGCTGAGCCAACCCGCACTTTCAATATTGGCGCCTTTCAAGGTTTCGCCTTCGAGGGTGACAACGCTCTTTCTCAGCTTGTTGCCAACCTTGCCTCTATTGAAGCCATCGAACCAGACACCAAGGTCTATGCCAGTGCTCTCATCACTCAGAATAATCCTCCTTATGGTCTGGCTCGTATCTCGCACCGTACTCCCAGCTCAAACTATGTCTACGATTCCTCTGCAGGCGAGGGCACGTTTGCGTATATCATCGACACCGGCATTCGCACTACCCATCATGACTTTGGAGGACGAGCTTCATTCGGTGCTAACTTTGCTGGTGATAACGACAACAGCGATGGCAACGGCCATGGAACGCATGTTGCAGGAACGGTCGGCTCAGCAACCTACGGCGTTGCGAAGAGAACTTCTCTTATTGCCGTCAAGGTCCTCGACGCCTCCGGTTCCGGCTCTAACTCGGGTGTACTGGAAGGTATTGCATGGGCTGCCAACGATATGAAGGCCAAAGGTCGTACCGGTAAGGCTGTCGGTAACCTTTCTCTGGGCGGAGTCTTCTCCCAGATGACCAATGACGCCGCTAAGGCCGCCATCGACCAAGGCCTTTTCCTCGCCATAGCGGCTGGAAACTCTGGTCTTCCTACTATCACCTCATCCCCCGCATCTGAGAAGAGTGCTTGCACAGTCGGTGCTATTGATAGCACCGACACACTTGCCAGCTTTTCTAACTGGGGTGCGCTTGTTGACATCCTTGCTCCTGGTTTAAACGTTACGTCGACCTGGAACGGCTCTGATGACGATACGAACACGATATCTGGTACCTCCATGGCTACCCCTCATATCACCGGCCTTGGTGCCTACCTTCTCACTCTTGAGGGTTCGCGTACTCCTGCTGCGCTTTGCAAGCGTATTGTTGACTTAAGCACCATGGGTGCCGCCAAGGGACTTACCTTGAAAATTGGCACTCCTAACGCCATCGCGTACAACGGGGCTGCATAGATGGAGATATGAAATAACGGGAATTGTGGAACAGCCAAGGGCTATGATCTATAATGTATATATGAATGTCGCATATGAACATGACCGAAACTTCGAGAGAAGTCAATTGAAACGAATATATTATCAGCTAACGTAACGAACATGTATTGGTACACACGAACTCAAAGTATTATCCTCTTGAGGACCATTGTGTCGCTTATAGATACGCAAAGATCGTATACTGACTTACAAATGATCACGCAGCTATTTGGGCCCACAATATGCACCGCAATCTAGAGGCCAACATTTACATAGTTTAGCCTTACTGGAGAGCGAATTCCTGCACAGGAGGTATCCTGAATCCTATTTGAGAGCTGCATGTACCTGGTACAGTCTGTAGGGCATTAGAGTAAATATGCTCTGGGCATTCTACACTTTGCCATACACGAAGACTCTCTCTATAGTTGCAAGAGGTCACGCTAATCTTCTCCCATTCCATCTCAATACCAGTCTATATCTACAGTCATTATATGAGTCCACGTTCCTCCAATTTGGCTCTGTTTCACAGATCATGAGTAGTGTCATTTCTCCCATATCTGGCACCGCGACGGTACAATAGCTCGAGATAGGTGTGTCATCCTTCTTTGTCGTCTTCCAAAACTCAACAATATTCTTCACTGCCTCAAGACTATGTTCGTCTGTATATGGCGCGTCTCCGCCACGCTCCGCAAGTACACACACTTTGACGGAGAACAAGTTGCGGTCTGCACGCCCCTGCCGCTCTGGCTCTATTGTGAGGGCGAGGAGTAGACCAAGCTTCGACGATTGCTTTTGTAGGAGGACGTACTTAGGCTCCAGTTCCTGGGCATCCACCGTCCACGGCTCCATGGTGTCCGCAGATGGCAATACAGGCGGTCCCCAACTGTTCAACTCTCCAATCTCACCCTCGCCGGTGATTATGAAGCCGGACTCGGCACAGAAGCGCAAGAGTGCGGTGGCGTTTATCATGGCGAGGATGGAGACGGCGTGTGGAGCCGGCGGCTCACGTGTAACGTAAATCCATTTTTCGTAGATGAGTTTCTTCGTGGGAATGAGTGAGTAGGGAATACTAAGGAGGTCAGGAGCAACAAAGGAGCTGACGCGGGCAAAATGGTGGTCAGAAAGTTGGTGAAGGTAGATGCCGATGACATTGCCGTCTAAACTTTCGCAAGAAAGAAGCGCAATATAGACGTTATGATGCTGATAATCGTCTGTTGCGGCTTCAATGGGAAACATGGGAAAGAGAATCTTGGTACCGTAGTTCGTGGTAGTGATTTCGCCGTCTATTGGAGGGATCGAGAGACGTTTACAGAGATAAGAGAGCGTGATATTATGCAGAGGTGAGGAGTCTTGAAAGCCTTCAAGAGATGGAGATAGCAGGCCAATGCGGAATTGGGGCCCTGTAATATCGGTCTTGGAGGGACTTGGAAGGGGACCTGAAGGTGAGCACTCAGAGAGCATGCTAGTATCATCGTCAGAAAAGGTATAAGGTCGCTGTTAGTAACCGTATACGGGGTTATCGAGGATGAACGGACTCGAGCAAGACTTGTTGATACTTACCCCCAAGCGAATATGCTGCGATCATCGCTCTTCTTCAAAACTTCCTCCTGCAGCCGGATGAAGGCATTGCACCCCTCGCCATAGAGGGCTGGCATATTGACGTTAAATATCCCAAGTAGACAGTAAGCCCCGTCTTCGATTCTGGAAGTCTCTCGATTACTAGCCCAAGCAAGCTTCTGTGCGACGTTGACATCATCCATGCTGCCAGTCTTGAGCACCACCTCTTCGATTCCCGTAACTTCTGCTAGTTTGCGAGCCAATTTTGTCTTGGATCCAATGACGTCCCATCCCTTGGTAGTGAAGAGAACCTCACTAGGGGCAATTAGCTCCTGCAATGTCCATCCTCGAGTGAACCAGCTTGCTCTAGAAAGATTATTTTCCCAGCTCTCTATGTCCAGATCGTCAATATACGCAATGCAAATTGCAGACTTCTTGTACCATCTGAACATAGAGTTGAGCGATTCAGTCAATTCAGTACTACTCGTCTTATCGATGCAGCACGTATCCATCCACAGCCAGTCGCAGCCAAATGATTTGGCAAACTCGCATGCACTGCTTAATTTCGCCCATCCCTTCATGGAAGACACGTCTTGCCGTTGGAGATCCTGGAATGTGACTTCCTCTGCTCTCCATCGATGCGAGAGGATTGCGTAGGCTGGTACCTCAGCTATGAAGTTGTGAAGCTTCTTTGTGTTTGTATCTAGGAGCCTCATAGTGGAATATTAGGGAGGGAGGAGAAGTCGCGAGCCTCGTACGCTCCGGGTCCGCGTAGACTTCTTATACATTCGAGTCAGTCATGATCTAGGCCAGATTCAGTATATATACGACGATAATGTGGTCGGTAGTAGATGCCGCTCTGGGTAGCTCCAGCCACTGGTAAGCCAGCCAATTTCTCATGATGCATTCGGATCGCTCGATTGTTGAAAGCGCCAAGACCATCCGTCCGTAACTTTTTCAGCGCAACTCTTGGCATGCACGCCTATGCGCGACATAACGTTTTTCCATAGTAAATGAGCATTTTGAACATTATCGTGCATAGCAGCCATAACGTCGTGAAATACGTCGAATCCACGTATATAGGCACTCATTAGCCTTATCTCCATATTATATAATACTTAAAATACCCTTAAACCATGCCTATAGCGCGTCGTAGCGGTAAGAGGGCTCGTTTTAGTAGGCCGCTTAAGATACCCGACTACTTAATAGAGGCTCCTCCTTCTCCTTAAACGCGTCGTATATATTAACCGATAGTAAGGGCGATAGTAAGCCGTAGTTAGGTAGTCCGAAATAGGAAGTCTAAGAGTAAGACGGTAAATAGTATACTAGCTCCTATCGTTAAATATACGGCTAGTATATCTAATTATAACGCGAATATAGTAGAGATACTTATCTCTATACTATAGGCGTTAAATAAGGCGATAGATATATATTCGTCGCTATTGCTGTTATATAGTAATAAGCATAATATAGAAAACGAGCCTCCTCTATTAAGTCCTTCTACGGCTATTACTCTCTTTATACTATATCTAATATTAGTACTTCGTATTAATGGAAAGAAGGAGAAATAGAAGAACCTATCTTTAACTCTACGCGAGTTCTAGGCACTAGATAAGACTAAGGATAAGATAAATAAGGCTATATAAGAGATAGTTATTAATGAGTCGTAGGAGTTTAACGGAAAAACATCTCTAGTTATCTAATCTTAGTCTATCTTAAATAAGTATATATACTTAATAGAAGTCTTATTCGCCCTTATAGATAAGGTTAAGATTCTATCTTATATTAATCGTATTTATATAAGGAAACCAAAACACGATATTAATCTAAAGTTTAAAGTTAGAGTACTATACCCCGGATATAAAGCTATAAAGAAACGAAGAGTATAAGTATAAGAATAGGATTATTGGATAGTAGTGTAGCCAGATAGAACAATGGGGTGTATTCTATCACAGAACGAATTACTACCGAACCCTTTTGGTAGGAATCCGAGAGTATATATATAAAGGGACGCTAATCTATCTAGCATGTGACTATTTACCGCCCTTCACGTTACCTCCTAACCCTATTAGCTAAGGTACGTATAGGTCGAGTCCTGCCTAAGGCTAAGTCCTAATAATTATCCCTTCCCTCTAGGAAGCTACCCTTAGCGACCTAGATTATTACCTATCTCTATATCCCCATCCTAAGTCTCGTAAGACCTTAGTCGTTCTCTACGCTTTATCTTAGATACTTACTGATATTTGCTGATCTAAGATTTATATAAGTGTTTTCCTAATAAACTAGATTTTATCTATCTTAACTTCTTATATAGGTGAGATTACCTAATTAGGCCTAGCGTATCACGTGATGTAATTAGGTAAGCCCGGGTACTACCTATATTAAAATCTTTTCTTAGAAATATTCCTTTCTTTAAAAAACTTCTTAACTCTTTATAGAGTTTTTTAGATTATTAGGTATATCACCCGATCCTTATAGACATAGATTTATGTAGATTTACTACTATTTAGTGCGATTTGCGTAATTTACTAATTTTCGTACCGTCCTTAGCTAGTAATAACATAATTCGTAATAATCTATATAAATTAATAATAATCATAATATGGTTTCCCGAAATCTCGACGCTCTAAAGTAATCGGCGCGGAAATAGGCGCCTTCGAATAATCCCTATCTTATATACGTTACCGACATGTTAAAAGCCATTAATCTACCCTAACCTAGGCCGGGCTCTAATAATCTAGCTATATATTATTATGGTTATCGCTTTCCGTCGTATATTACTTACGGTAGTACTAAATCTATAATATACGGTACTTATATAACCAAGAAGCGTTATTACTTATAGGTATTTAAGTAAGTTCGAAGAACTTTACGTAGATTTACTTATATCGGTATAGATTACTACTAGGCCTCTAGTAACCCCTGCTAATAAGGAGCGTAGTACCACCGATCGTAACGCCTTAGAGAAGGCTTTCTACGAGCTATATACCTAAGGTAAGGGTTACGCCTAGGAGTACGATTCTAATAAGATCTGTAAGGGTTTATCGGAATCTACTATAGCTATTATTACCGCGATTACTAGGTAATATCGTTTTTCTTAAATCGTTATAGATTCTTACTAATATATATTAATCTCTATAATAGTGCTAAAATCTCTGCTCCTTCGGACTTCTTTCTATATACCGGCGATATTAAAATTCCTAGAAAAGGTTCTAGTAAAAAGGCTAAGGTTCCTTCCTCGCGCGTGCTAAAGAGCCGTAAATTTAGGGAAGATGGCTCTAATCTAGAAGTTTCTATACTAATAGTATGTGGTTCTATACCGATCGTTGAATCTTTTCGCTAATTTATATAATTCTTAGCGTGCCCGCGCCGGTCCGTCCCTCTCCGTCCTAGGTTCCGCCGCTCCGTAGGTTTCTATAGAGGAGTTCATAGCTATAAGGCGCGCTATATAGAATTTATAGCGTCGGAACAAAAGGCTAGAGACTTATGTTATAAAGCTCTATACTATACTAAACAAGAACCAGCGGAAGGAATTAGATGTAACTATCGCGGTAATTAGTACTTCTACTCCTACTCCAACTTAATCGGTTTAGATCTATACTAATTAGTGCTAATATGTCTCTTTTATCTAGCGTTTTAGTTTTTTCAGTTTTAATTTTAAAGCGATCTTACTTCTTCTAGATAGATTAGTATAAGTTTATATAGATCTATATAGATCTTTATATTTTCTTTTAGCTTCCTTAATTTCATCTTTCTTTAATAATAACTTCTTTAATCTCTTTAGTAATCTATACTGATCTATACTGATTGGCACCGATTTTCGATGTCTATTTCTCTTAGTGAATTATTTTTCTAAGTCTCTTTTTTAGTTAATTTTTTAAAGTTCTAAGTTCGAACTTTCTAAGGAAGTTCCTTAATTCCTTAGAATGTTTTAAAGATCTATATCTCTTTCACCTTCTTCCTTTTAGGCGGCCGTCCTCGGCGCCGAACTATACTAAAAAACGTTAAATCGCCGTACTTTAGTATAATTCTCTATGATTCCGCGGCTTTCTTTACTAATTACTACTTATACGCTAACATCGCTGCTTTACTAATATATATTACGGGTTCCCAAGTATCTTCGTTAGGATTATACCCTTTCTAACGAATTTTATATAGCCACGTGCCATCTTCGGCACGTTATTAGCCTAGTATCTACTTAACTTCGTAGATATCCGCACCTCCTTACGTAACTACTTTATATAACGTCTATTTAGAATAATCCGGTAACGATAAGGCATGGAATGGCTCGAGAAGCGTGATGTGGAATATATTATATATCTTTAACGTGGGAGGGAGTTTTAACTCATACGCCTAGTTATTAATTACACGAGTAACCTTAAATGGACCTATTATTATATAGTTAAGCTTCTTCTTCGGCCTAATACTACGAATATTTTTACTATTTAGTAAAACTTTATCTCTAACATTAAAGATCATAGGCTTTCTACCCTTATTATAGTGCGATTTACTATAATCTATAGTATCTTATAATAACTTTATAACGCTTCTTTATATTTAGAATAGTTCTATCGTAATCTCCGTCGCCTTGACGTTAGGCTACTCTAATTTACACTAAGTTCCTATAAACTATGCTTTATAGTTTCGACCAAAGTTTACTTCGAACGGACTTATATAGGTTAACGCATGTCGGCTATTATTATACGCGAATTCCGCGACATAGACCAACCTTACCTAGTTATCTTACTTATAGTTATAATATACGCGTAAATACACCTTAACTATCTAATTCTACCGCTCTATCTACCTATCTATTTATGGGTGGAACGCGGTACTAAGTTTCCGCTTAATTCCCAGCGTATAGTAGAAATCCTTCTAAAACTTAGACGTTATCTACGGACCTCTATCTAAAACTATACCGTTTAGCGTACTATAGAGCCGAACTACGTCACGAAGTAGTATATCTATAAGATCCGGTGCTTAGATCGTCTTCCTTATAGAGATATAGTATAATATCTTCGTAAATCTATCTAAAACTACGAGTAAACTATTATAAATATACCTAAGACACTCACTTAGAGGTAGATCTATAATGAAATCCATCGACAATTCCTTCTATGCTTCCTTTAGCATAGGTAATGGCCTTAATTCGCCATATGGTAAGTGTCTATATACTTTCGTATGCTAGTAAACGTTATACGTTTTTACGTAGTCTTTTATATATTTATAAAGACCCGGCTAGTCGTACGTCCTTCGGATTAAATCGACCGTCCTTATAACGCCGAAGTGCCCTACTAACGCGTAATTATACTATTCCCTTAAAATATTAATTTATAGGCCGCCTTCCGGCACGTAGAGTCGGCCTTAGAAGTAGATCGCGTCCGATCGTCGTTCCCACCTTAATAACTACGGCGGTTCTATAGCTATTCCCTTTATACTTATGACTTTCTTTACTAATACATCGGAATTCTAGGTAGATTTAATTAAGTCTTCGAGGATTTACTCTATTTCTTAGACGTTAGTTTAGATTACTTAATGCCCGCTCTAATTCCCGCGGAGAGTCGCCGAAAGTGTCCTAGCTTCCGGCACTCTATTAGATAACTAGTCTTTTAGTATCTATAGTATAGTATAGTCTAAATTACACCGACTATCTACGTTATTCTTTGACGATTTCTCGTAATCTTTACGCCGTGATAGAGGATCTACTTTATTCTCTCTTCTAGCTTTATATAAGATTTTAAAGTTAAATATTAATATCCACTTAGCCTAACGTACTTATCGGCGATTAAGAACCTTAGTTAATATAAAGTAATATAGATTTACGTGATCCGATAACAATTCAATCTAATATACGGAGCCTTCTAAATAATATCGCTATTACTTAAAACTCTCAATAATTATAAGT